CATATGGTCTCAAACTTATCACCGTCGGGGATGACGGGGCCGGGGACGGTGCTCCATTCACCGTCCCCACCCCCCACGGTGACCCGCATATACTATATCCAGGACCAAATCTAGACTTTCTCAGATGTTTTGGCCCATAATATTCAAGCCCAAGTAACAGGTACGAGTATATAACTCCTAACCCTACTAGTCAAACTCCACACATTCAGAGTTCAGATTCAGATCGAGACATATCGAGACATGCCGTTGCTCCTCCTCCCCTTCAGAGTTCAGATCCAAATCGAGACACGCTGTTGCCGCAGCCTGCCGCGCACCAGCCACCAGGCGCGCCGCCGCTGTCCAGACGCGCGCGCAGCCGCCGTCTTGCCGTCCGTCCGGCGCTGCCTCCTTTTTATTTATTTCCCTTTTCTCCTCGCCTCGCCTCTCCTTTTTTTCTTGTGTGGTGGTGTCGACACGTCGCCGGGAGCCACCGTCGTCACGCCGCTTGGCGCCTGCAGCCGTCGTCGCGCTGCCGGAAGCTGCCATCGCCGCACCGCCCGACGCCTGCAGCCGTCGTCTTCCCGTCCGTCCGCCGTACGTCGCCAGCGCCCTTCGTCATCGTCGCCATTCGTCAGCATGCCATCCGCCGACCATGAATATGTTGTTTAACCGGGGACGGGGTAACCACGGGGATAAATTCACTGCGTGGTGAACGGGGCTGGAGAAAATATACCCCCGTCGTGGTTGACGGGGGCGGGGACGGTGAAATTTTATCACCGCGGGGACAGGGACGCGGAGATGACCCCCGATGGTGAATTCCCCGTTGCCATCTCCTCAACCGTTCTAGCCGGTGGTGGTATAACCGTGCACTGACGACCTTAAATAGAGAATTAGTAAATAAACATAGAAAATTTGAAGGTAGGAGGCCAGATCTGGGAGGGAGGGCTATATCTTTGTCTCGTCTTCTTCCTCAAACCGTTCCAGCCGGTGGTGGTATAACCGTGTGACGCCGGCCTTAAATTATTTTATTTGAAGGAAGGATTCTCAAAAAAAATTGGATTGCACGAGACAACGTACCATAGACATGTAAATAATAATATGCATGAGAAGGAAAATAATCAACCAAAGGAAAAGTAGAATTGTTTTAGCACAAATCAAATATGCTCAAAGGCCCAAGCGATAAACGTCCAACTAAAATATTTTCTTCTCTGATACTCCCATAAAGAAATGAACTTCAAGCAGCTGTTAGTCAGATGCCTGAACCTGCATTCGACAGCCAACTGGCTGGTGGCTGCAATAAGCCAATAACTGAGCATTATGTCAGTGACATCATATTCGCTCCACGAAACCGAATACAACATGAGTAATGATTTGCAGTAGTATTTGCTTTGCTTTTCTATAAAGACAAGATGCATTTCATTTTCATTGCAACTACACGGCATAAAACAAGATGCTTGGATTTCTTCTCGGTGATGTAATGAGTAAGTGACACTACAACTATAAAGTTATTTTTTCCTCTAAAGAAACAATTACAAAGTTAAGCTGGTAAATATTTCAAAAATTCTCAACAGATGAAGAAATAGCATTAATTAGTTCTCCAAGCATCAGAAGCATTAGCAATTTTTGCATATTATAAACGTTCACAACAGGGGACAGGAGGAATCCAATTGCATACTGGATTGGAACAAAGTAGTTAAAGCAGCTAGTAAGTGATTTAGAATCGAATAAAGCATAATAAAACAATACATCAGCTCGTGACAAAATGGTCTTGCCTTGAACCATAAGCTTGTTGAATCAGAAGTATACATTCATATGTTCTTATCTTCTTTAAGAACTATGCAAAGTGAATCGCCAATATTTCCATGGTTAATGAACAGAAATAACTCTCGTATGCATATATAGTGGAGGTTATATTAACAAAAATCCTAATGTCCTCACAGGAAATTTATTTCCATTTTTCTGGGTAAAGCAAATAAGTAGATATTTTATATCGGCAAAAAAAGTTTCAAAACTGAAACTTTTCTCATTATGTTAATACAAAATCGCATGTTCTCCCCTCACAACAACAAAAAAAAAATCGCATGTTCCGCCATCATGTCATTAAAATCTAGTAAGTATGAGTGATGTCATGGAGAAAAATATTTTGGTAGATTTCAACCACCTAAAATTGCACAATACTACCCTAAATTTGCAGCTACATAATGTATTTAGTAAAGCAAAACCGAATTTTAATTTTGTTTGTTTTGCTTTTCTGGAGTTGGCCTTCATTTACTTTATTATTACCCACATTTGAATTTACTTTGTACTTTTTCTAGGGTGTGAATACAATAATACTGAGAAAAATATTTTGCTAAACTTTAACATGAATCCAATAATGGATTTTCAGTCTTCCTGTTCAGAATATCAAACACACATGAATTAATAACTACACCAGTTAGTTAATTATGGATCTCCACACATATGTATTTGTAGGATATTGAAGGCATGTTAAACTCATACATGGTACAATTGATCAATAACAGTAATGTATTTGTTGCACTAAAAGAAACACAAGTTCAGAAAAAAAAAACACTAGGAAAAATGACCAACTTGCTTGGCATACTACAATAAAAGATGAATATTGATTTAAATTTGAATTTGTAGTAGGATAGCAGGTGAAAATAAAAACCGAAACCATATATACGTCCATGTGTTTTTGTGGTTATAGATACAAATTAGAATTGTAAGGAATCTATTATCAGAATTTAAATATCTAAACCATGTCCATATCGAGATGCTTTTGGAAGAAGTTGGCTCTATTTGGAATTGTATTTTTCCATTAAAAAAAAGAGAGTTGCACTTGTGCCAAGTGTAGAGAGCACGACTAATCAAACCCGCGATTAAAAGCATGAACACTGGTTTAGACAACTAGTGACTATGTAATCAATATTGTATGACTTTTAAGGATATTTGTAGGAATTCGTATGACTTTTTAAGGATATTTGTAGGAAATGCTACAGGACGGTATCCCATTCGGATGGAACGATACCTCTAAGGTATGCCTTATAGCTAGTAGGTATCGGCTGATACCCAAATATAAGGCAATACCTCTGGGGTATCTAGTATCATCCTGTCCGAATAAGATACCGACGTACCGTTATGTGGCATTCCCCAAGTTAAGAAATTAATCTATTCAATTAAGATTGATGAAAAGTACCACCAGAGAATCAACGGGAAGATAGAAATATGCATGCTCTAAAGAGAGAAAATTATACTGTATGTACAATGTACCTACTATCTGTACGCTTGTCATCATTTGGTGGAATTTTGTTTCCATTTGCATAGATGCACGCAAATATCAATTCAATATACAAAGAACTACAAATCAAGCACATCTAGGCACGATGGAAATAACTGAATGGACATGGAAACTTCATAGCAGTGTTAACAAATATTGTGAGAATCATCTCTAAAAGGAAAGAAATTCGCATCGTAAGATTTGAACTAAGTGTTGCAGAATCATCTACGATTTTCCCTTTACTAATATACTACAAAGTTATATCGCCATAATTACAAGGATTTGATTTCTCTAGCTCACAGTTTAAGTTTCCATGGCAAGATTTCTAAGATAAATTCCCTAATACCAAATGGTACATAACCATCCACGATTTTCCTTTACTGATATACTAATGCCAAGTTATATCTCCGTAATTACAGGGATTTGATTTCTCCAGCTCACAGTTTACGGTAAGTGCTTGAACAGGAGGATTCGAGAATGAGATAGACACTTCCAAAAGCAGAATCCGGCCGTTAAATTGCTGTATCGCAGCACTAGAAAAAGATTCCCCAAAATATTTTAGTTAAGTAACAAGGGCACAAGGCTAGCCGCCAGCCTTCACTTGCCATGCATGCATATAATGCATACCAAAACATCACGGGCCCAAGAAAAACAAAAGGCAAGGCCAAGAGAAAAAAATGGCAAGTTTTCTGTCAACATATGTGGCAACCCACCATCTATCCGACGGCCAGGATTTGCCGCCGAGTTCTATATAAACCCGACCCCTAAGCAATCCTTGTACTCAAACCTTCATGTGTTACTAGGCTAGACTAGAAACCTATGGCACAAGGATTCGTATAGCCAGCCTTGTCACCTTTGTTTTTCCTTCATATACTTTGCCTGATGGCTACTATCTTCATGTGTTGTGATTTGTGAAGGGGAGAAGAAGAAGAAGACGAGCTCCCTTCGATCCAATCCAGGAGAGGAAGTGGTAGGATGCAGCTGCCGGTTCATGGATACCTCTGCAGTGCATGTCGTAGGCTTGCACTTGCATGGGTTTGCATGACCCGGGAGATGAACCCACCATTGTCTTCCTCTTATGCTTGGATTGAAGGGAGCTCTACACCTCTCTCTCTCTCTCTCTCTCTCTCTCTCTCTCTCTCTCATATGACTAATATTATCATCAAGGTATGGATATTACTTTTGCAGTTAGCTTGTTCTTAATTATTCTTCTGGTTTTCTTCTTGCAGGTGCAGGCTGCAGCCACTGCCCAAATGAAGGTTGCATGGGAGGTATCAGGTATGGAGCAAGCGGAACAGGAGTCCTCAGGAATCAAGAAGACAAGAACTAGATGATTGATGGGATTAAGCTGTGTAGATCGTGTGGAGCAAAGGACTTATCGGCAATATTGCCTGCGCTGTTCTTGTTTTCTTGTCTTCTCTTTCCTATATTAAATAGAGTATATGCATTTTTGTTTTAGGAAAAGAGATCCCATATTACTCTATAATCTATGTCTTGAGTAAATCATATCAGAATTTCACTCTGGTACTCAAATCACATAAAGCTAATGTAAATACAAACTTGAATGTTTTTTGTTTTTAGTTTCCTGTATATTCTACTTTCGAATCCTAATTAACCTTCACGTCATACAGTTTAACGATGATATCGTGAATGAGCCACTCCAGGGAATCCGCACATAATTGCCCCGCAAGAGCCATAATAGGCTGGTGATATCGTCTCCAAGAATATGCATGCAAGTTAGGCATTCAAACAAATCTGGTAACTACGTATAGCACGAGTAAAAACGAGGTAAAAACCAGGAACATAGGCATACAAGTACTACGTACAACACGCAACTATTTTGAGGCATACAAAGTAAACACGCATGTGACAAGGTAATATATACAGTAGCGTATTTTTCTTTGGTAAAAATAATAAAAGAACACGGTAGCATAAAAAAAGATGGCAACATTGACCTGTCATGGTGTTTACCTTGGCGTAACGCACACTCGAAGCCAAGAATCTCTGAATCCGGATTCCCGGGACTTGTACATGACACGTTACGTCCAAGCACGGACAAGTGTTTCCTGGTACCCCGCCTCTCTCACGTCGTGCAGCAGACGCCATCTGCGAAACCGATGTAACGTTGATGTGAGCCATCATGCACAGAGTTGCACACCAACACACACTGACACAGTCCCCCCCAGCTTTCTTCACCTGGCCCGGCATGCATGCCCTCATGAGGCACATCGTCGTGTCGTGTCATGTCCTGGCCGAAACAACAATGGCGGTTTCAGACGCTGCTCGAGCTAATGCCCGCCGCCTCGTCGTCGTGGAAGAGGGCCTTGGACACCGTCGCGAGTGACCCGGCGGCGTCGCCCGGCTTCCTCTTCCCCGAGGCGGCCACCGTCATCGGCGTCTCGCAGACCATGTCGGTGCACGCAGCGCGGCGGCGCTTCCTCCGCTTGGACGCCCCCTGCCGCGACTGCGGCGGCGCGGCGGCGGCGGGTTCCTTCCCGGGGTGCTTGAGCGCCCAGACGCGGCGGAGGTCGGGGACCCAGCTGGTGAACGAGGAGAGCCTGCGGTCCCTGTTCCTCCTCTCCTCCGCCCTCGCCAGCCGCTCCTCGTGACTGCTGCCGCCGCCGTGATCGCGTCGCAGCAGGTGAGGTGCGGAGTTGCTCCGGTGACGGCGGCTGTTGCTCCCGTCGACGTCGTGGTTGCTGCTGCTGGGGAGGGACTCGGAGCATTCCACCTCGTCGTCGAACAGATCGAACTCCATCTCGGTGTAGATCTTCTTGATCACATCTTCCATGGATTCGATGTACCTGAAAAGAGTTGGACAGTTAAAACTTAAACTTATATTTTTTTTGGTTTTTCAAAAAAAATTCAAATACGGTGAACGATTAAAGTTGATTTTAGGACGGAGGGAGTAGTAGAAATATGATTGTTCGTTTGAACTCTTTTAAAAAATGACAGCACTGTAGCCCAACACATGAATACTTTCGACTGAAGATATTGTCGTACACTGCTCGTATTACCTGAAAACAGGAATCATTTTTTCTTTTTTTTCTTTTTTTTGGATAGGCAGGAAAGGAAAGCAAATGTTGGCCAGCAACTCAAAGTTCATTCAACTTGAAAGGAAATGGCTCTAAGAGACTGAGAAGGCTAAATGGAGTAATGGACAATAGTATTTTCTGAGCATAAATTCTAAATGGAGTAATGGACAATAGTATTTTCTGAGCATAAATTCTAAGGGCGGTATTATAAGACTACCATTAGAGTATGCGTACAGATTCCTGTCATATCGTTCAGCTTGGCTATATATATCGTCTGAGGAATAAGCTTTACTGTATTTAATGTTTCAACATGTATACTCAACACAAAGAGAGAATAAAAAGGCCAAAAAAGGAATACGTAGTATTCATGGTAGTACAAGTATACAACCTAGCAGAATATATCTTTTCAAGTTGAATAGTTCTGCATTTCCAATGTAGAGAGAAGTTAGAACATTGCTTTCAGATCGACGCAAATTATAAAAGAGTGACCACTCTGATGTCAGTACTCACTGCACAATAATGCTTTATTCTCCTCACCATCAGGGAAGATAAATATCATTTCTACATTATGAATTTGTGCTCGCACAAGGTATCATTATCATGTTCAGTTTACCAATGATGGTGGCCTATTTTCCCAAACAAATGCTGTACTAGTTTTCATATTTTTGCTTAGTACGTTCTCCTAGAGGCATCCTGGCAATGCCTGTATTGATTGGCTAGAAAAATCAACCTTCATTTTACCTTACAGAACTACCCCCCACCTGAATGAGATAACATTCAAAAGCAGTCAAGAAACCTATAGCTCAACAAATACATGCTAAACTACTAGCTCAACAAATACATGCTAAACTACTAAGTCATACCTGATCTTAATAGTCTTTTCGGCAAACTCAAGAATACTATTGGACTGAAATGAATCCCCTTGGAGGTTGATATCAATAAACTGCAGAAGGGAACAGATTTCTTTTATCATCTTCTGTTTGGAACCTTCCTCGATACCAGGTCCAAGTTCAGACTTCATTATCTCCATTCTAAGCAAAATCTGCAGTTCATGTCTGATACATACTTGTTAAGGTGCACAAACCACAAAATTTGCATCCACATTTATTTTACTATTTCAAAGGCCATACTAAACAAAATAAATGCAAGACTGAAATGAAAATAAGAGCATTTAAAAAGGATACTCTCGGATTTTGTAAGTTGTGCTATATTTTGGGATTTCCTGAGATGTAGCACATGCTGTATTTCTGTCTTTGTACTTTGCAACCAGCTCTTTAGGTTTCACCAACAGAATACCGGAAGCTTCACAGGCAATTTTTCCATCAGAAACATCTTCTACTTCCCCACGATTAGAGTACCTCACTGAGATCTTTCCGTGCTTAATCATCAGTGCATGAACAGATAAGCCAACCAAGCGTCCAGCTAAATTCCCCAAATCTGCATCTTCAGAACAAAGACTTTGCTCAATCTTCTGAGGGACACTATCAAGAAATGCTTCTAAATCTTCCATAGAAGAAAAGTCTGAAGTCTCATCACCCACTGGTTTATCCACTTTGTTGCAATTTATTTCATCCATTGGTTTGTCCTCTTTGTCACAAACTAATTCATCCACAGAAAAATTGACAAGAGGGGCTGAAGCATCCTCCTCTAAAACTGGACTTTTTGTTTCTGCCTCATCTTTTGAGGAAAGATGTTTTTCTTCTTCTGCAACTGCAACTATGCTTGACGAAGTACTAAGACATTGCTGTTTCACTTGTTTCATCCAACATTTCAAAAACCGCATCTTTTTAGATGTGGCAGCATACCTGCTGAAATACAAGTCTTCCAAGTCCACCACCGGCATGCTGCCATCAGCACTTTTTAGGAGCACATCACAGAAGGAGATCCAAGTGGTCGCCTCAAATAGCTTACTGACCAGCTTGCTTCTCTTCTTCCTCGCACTCTGCTCCTTTGATGTATCAGACATGCAACTATCCAACAATGCAGGGCCTTTTGCAACCACCTGACCAAAACCAGCACCATTCTTCGCAACATGAAGTAACGCATAGTTCATCGAGAGAGGCACGATAACACCATCTAAAGGATTCCCATCCCCATCGGAAATTGAAACCATTGCACAATAGTTCTTCCTATGAAGAAACACCAGAATAAGCTGCCAGATCGGCTTGCCTCCCCCAAGCTTATCCTTATCATCGCCGAGCATCAATTCGACAATCTTATGTGCGAAGAACTCCTTTTCCGCAGCCTCTTCACCGTCAATCTTACCGGCCTCTTGAAAGCAACCACGCACCATGACAGCATCACCATCCCCGGTGATCAACTGCTCCCAATTCCCCACCTCACACACTGCCTTCACATGCATCTTGAACACACTATCACCCCTCAATCGCCATGGCGTAGAGCCAATCACCTCCACCTCGCAACCCTTGCAGACCAGTGGCTTGCCCTCCACATCGGCGATCTCGAGCACGACCTCCCCACGGCTTCCACCTTCCTCACCCCCAAGCCCAAGGCATCCCCACACAAGCCCCGGAGTTGCAATCGCCGATCCCAATGCGACCGCATCGGCGGCCGTGAACCACCACCCCAGCTCCGTCACCGCCCTCCGAACCCCCTCGCCGCAGCCGCCGACGGCAACCCAGCAAACCTGCACGCCCCTCGCCGCCAGCCGGTCCCTCACCGGCCTGAAAACCCCACGAAACCTCCCTCCGAAGTCCGCGTCTCCCCCGAATTCCTCGAATTCCGCGGCGGCCGTGAAGAGGACCACCAGATTGGGCGTCTGCTGGAAGACGCGGCGGCGGCGGATGGACTCGGGGTCGTCGTCCCAGGGGTAGTCGTGCTCGAGCTGGAGGATGGACTTGGCGATGGAGGAGGAAGGGGGCACGCGGCGGTGCGCGCAGGCCGGGAGCGCGAGTCGGCGGAGCGGGGCGAGGGACGCGAGGGTTTCCCCGTGGAGGTGGAAGGAGAGCGGGGCCGGGGCGGCGGGGAGCGGCCCGGGGAGGAGGGAGAAGGAGAGGATCGGGGAGAGGGAGGAGAAGAAGAGCCGCGCGGCGGAGAGGGAGGCGGCCGGGGAGGCGGAGAGGAGGGAGGTGGCGGCGGGGAGGACGGCGGCGAGGTAGTGGGAGGCGAGGGGCTGGGCGGTGGGGGCACTCGCCTTCGGGGAGGGGAGGAGAGGGTCGACGTCGACGAGGAGGACGACGCGGCGGGGCTCGCCGGAGACGGTCATCGGTGGTCGGCGGCGGCGGCGGAGGGGATCGAGTGGGAGGGGAATTTGGTCGGGGTAGATCTGTGTGGAATGGTTCGGTTTTTGTTTCTTTTTTTAAATTTTTTTTTAGCGCGGAGGAGAGGGATTTCCAAAATTTTGGCGGGAAGGCGGGAGAAGGGAAGAGGCTGGCTCGCTGCGGGTGGGCGTAGGCCTTGGCTCGAGGCCCGTGAAAGCTTGCGGCGGCGGCCGTTGCGCGACTGCGATGTTTCGATCTCGGGCAATTTGTTCGAATTTCGTGGCACTTACTCCCTCCGTCCCAAAAAAAAAAATAAACCCTGTTTTCTGTATTTAACGTTTAACCGTCCGTCTTATTTAAAAAAATTATAAAAAAAATTAAAAAGATAAGTCACGCATAAAGTATTAATCATGTTTTATCATTTAACAACAATGAAAATACTAATTATAAAAAATTTTCATATAAGACGGACAGTTAAACGTTGACACGGAAATTTAGGGTTTGCCTTTTTTTACACGGAGGGAGTATTTCAGAGCTCCTCGTCGAACCACTGGGTTTCTGTTGAATTTCGAGACGAGCTTCGTTGAATTTAACGGAATTTCGTGAATTTTATCATCTCGCTGTTGCTCGTATTTCAGTCGTAAGGCAAGGTCGCAAAGCCTACGTGTGATGTACTCTGGTCATACTCTAGATCTCATTTCGGAAAATCTTAGGGAATGCTGGTTGTTTGCCTAGGTTCAATTGAGCCCAAGCCAAAGCCAAAAAATTAGCCGTCCATTCAGTTTGTTCTAAAATACTCCGTATTAGCATCGCCAAACTGTTTGGCTAGGTTGAATTGAGCCCATGGTAAAACTTCGACAGAAAACCAAACGACTAGATAATCTTTACAAAAAAAATTGATGATAACAAATCCTTGCCATAGAAAAAAAATTAATAAGGTTAGGAATGGTAAATAACCAAATAAGCATTTAACTACGTTGTGGGCCCGGTGCACCGTAGGAGCTTTGTGTTCCCTATTAACATGTGCAGAAACCAGCAGTTGCAGTTCAACTTCATTAAACTCTGTACAAGCGGCCAAAGCCTGGGTTGGGGAATTCTTAGAAAAAGGGATGTCAGATAAAACTAGACAATGATGCATCTGTAGAATTTCAGTTTATCTTGCACTGCAGGCACTTCCAATCTTCTATTTATTCATTCTAAGAGAGGCCTTGGTATATTATTTCCATGAAAACAAAAACAAATAACAGATGAATAAATGACAATGGATTGTCTTCTGTGAGAAAAGATGAACATATAAATGGGATAACTACACCTCTTAGGCCTTATTATGAGAAATCGTGAGCAACATGAACATATCAATTTATTCGCTATCGGCAATACTAAGGTCTGTAGTTTGATGACAGTGGCTCCCTATAAAAAATATATATGTAACAGACTTGAGCAAAGTGATAAATCATTTTAACTGCCAAAATGCTTTCTTTGACACCATCATGCAGAAGAAAACGGTATTGTGCAGCATCCTGTATTTATGAATCGGTCAAGCAGCTACCTGCCCAAGAAGGCTTCGACGAATCTGTAAAAAGTACACGAATATACCTTCAGAACCCTAAACCCTCCATCATGTCTTCACATGCTATAAAAACTATAAATACATAAGGTACATAAGACCCTATGTACTATCTTCACTATATCCACAAAAATAATGATGCAGAGAAATATTCAGAAGAGCCACTTTTCAGAAAGAGCAATGGAAAAGGAACGACACAGTTACATACCTCTGGTAGCTTCTTTCTGAAAACCACCTCTAGTCTAGCATCCAATGTATTTTCACAGACTATCTTTCCATCTCGGGAAGCTAGCACAACTCCACCAGAGCTAAATAAAAATTACAAATATCAGGCATTCAGATCTATATAGTTATCATCTAATAAACATGATTTTGGTTGATTAGTATAAGAAAAATGGCTATAGCTTCCAAAAAAACAAGGCGAACATATGGGATATTTAATTGCAATGCAGAACAATGCACAAACACTTGAGCAAAAGAAAATGTAAGGGTGTGAACTGTGGAGTCACGAAGATCTGCTGGCTGTGTTGATGGAAACACCCCTGCGTATTCAGTTATCCTACTTCATGAAAGGCTGGCACTATTGACACTCTCAAAGTAACATATTTTTCCAAAAAATATATTGAGAGACAACGCATTCCATTGTATAGTATCATGAAGCTATTATATGCCATTTGCTTCTAAGGATCAATGCATATTGCATAAAGATATTCATAGTAATATAGGAGTAGGGTACAACGAAAATTAATGCACTCCAAATATACAAACAGGTTCTATCACAACAGGTCAATCACTTGAAAATTTCCAATCCGATATCCAGGTAGGAAGCAGTGGTAGAACTTAGGGTAGTAAGTATCAAAATAAAAAATTTGATGACAATGCAAATTGACAAGTATTGTGGTTTATTATATCAGCAAAAGATTGCAACCATTACCAGGAGGGTCCATGTTAGGGTAGTATTGAAACAAAAAATGTGATGACTGCAGAAGTATGGAAAATTGGCAAGGAGTGGCTTGCGATAGCAAAGATTGAAATCATTACCAGGAGGGTCCATGTGCCTCATAATGACTGGGAGCAGGAGGCAGATAGACATTACGGTCTACCATTATTTCAGGAGGATATATATTTGCTTTGTCTGCATATTCATTCTTTGCAGACTCCAAAACTGATTCAACAAGCTCACGATCCTCCTTCCTGCAGCGCAGAATCACAGCTGGCTCCTTCAAACGCAGCAAGCTCTGTTCAGGATTTTTTTTGGTCAGCTTATCCTCAAGCATGAATAATAAATTAATAATGTATGAACACAAATAATACAAATAGAGGTTTCCAAAAGGTAGGCAAATTCAAGTCACTCTGTTTAGAGCATGAACATGGGCAGATATGTCTAACTGGTGCTCAGCCAAAAAAAAATTGAATTGATAAGTACTCTCTGCTGATAACTATGAGACTTCCTCACAGTTCAAGATTAAAATATCATAGCTTTTGACAAATAATTAGTATGACTGTATGTAGGTTTAATGGCATACAAGTAATACCATGGATTGTGCTTATTTGGCAGTAAATTCAATCTTGATTTCCAAGTTACTGATATGTATGTAAAAGAAATCAACAGTCGAAATTCGATTCATGCCAAGTCAAATCACACCTTATATTTGTCAACACCTCAAATAACAGAATATATATTCATGAATAACATTATCGAGTCCCGTCAGATGAAAGAACACATGAAAAAAAAATCTACTCATTATGGGCAAAGTAACAACCACATTTACATAAGCTTGACAGTAAGTTCTGAAATTGGCTACTTAAACCTAAAGTACGATCATTTAATTACGAGTCACTGACAGGGAATTACAGTAACTATTGGTCCACAATAATGTTCTCTATATTGTATTTCCTTTGCAGCATGTGTGTTCTGATGTGCTTGTTAGTGCATTGGAAATTGCATGCATTGACGTGTTGTTGGAAAAAAGAATGCAGCAGGACCACAAATTACCAGATGCAAAAATAACTTTACTGACCTGAACAATAAATATCCTAAGAAGATTCTTGTATACATGGTGATCTCGGGTTATGTACAGTAGCTCTTTCCCTGCTGCCTCCAACATAGACATCGCTAAATCATCTTGAGCTTGCAGAACTTCAAGTCGGGAAGCATTGAGCTGCTTTGAGTATTCACTACACAAAATGCAACTTAATGAAATCAGAGAACTAACCTTTTGCAATGCTTTCTTTATGGCATCATAGTTTACCACGAATAATTCCATGATGAATGTGCCATATATCAACGGGTTGAAAACTATTGATAATGTTTTTTGATGAATAACTTGGTATTTTCCAATGTGCAGAATCACAAAAGGTAAATGGACTTTCTTAATAAAGAACAGTACAAACAGGAATAAGAAGTTTACATTTTCTTCTTGATATCACCTTGCTTCTCGTTCCGTTCAAATTCCAACCTGATCCTCTTCTTTTCAGCTTCCACCAGCTGTAGTTTCTCGATTTGAAATTCCTGAGAAGTTTTAGTTCCCATTAACCCATGGAAAGGTATCCCAGTTATCCAACAGAAAAGTTACTAGACGGAAGTCAACAGAGTAGTAGTTCATGTGGAGCAAAACACATTAGTTTCACACTTATTTCTGAATTCCCACTCCATGGTAGTACAAAGTTTTGTTAAACAGTCATGGTACTTTCAAATGCAGGACATAAATTGCACAGTAATACAATCCTAGATTATTTGGACGGCATACGAGATATAATAAGTAAAACACAGAATTTCACAGTGGGCACTGGGCAACCAATGCAATGCCGTGGATCCAAACCACATTAGTACAGCAATCCAACACCACCCAGTTGAATCGCTCAAGAGCACAGTTCAGAGTTCAGACACCAATTGCAGCTTCCCTAATCCCCACGCCCCCATCATGTACCCTCCAGGAACGCCGCCATTGTCCGATCCAGGCGCAATGCGCTCCAATCTGACACTCACTACCCATTGCGCGATCCTTACTACTAGGAGATCCGATCTTCCGAGAGAGACACCGGATCTCCGCGATCGCGCCCGCCCGAGATCCAAAACCGCAACGGATCCCTACAAGACGGGTAAAGGTGGGAAAAACTAGGGGATGATAGATACCTCGGCGGCGGCGGCCTCGATCTCGGCGGCCTTCTCGACGGCCTCCTGGCGGATGAAGTCCGTCATCTGCTTCAGCTGCCGCGCCACATCGCCGTCGTTCATCATCGCGGCGGAGTACGGATGGCCGCCCGGCCTGGTCCCTCCGGTGATCGCCGCGGCGATGGGGTTTTTGATCTGCTCGCGACTCGCGACGGGTGGGTTGCGTGGATGCGCCGAGGTGGCGATTCGGTTTCTATACGGGGAGCGAGCGATTTATGTATACGGGGCCCTGAGAAAAAAAAAATATAGGTATATTTTTTTTTTTGATGTTCTGAAATCAGATCAGGTTTCAAACCACCTGCCGGTTATGGTCCAGGAGTCCAATCGTTTTCCGATTGGTTTGATGGCTTGAACTCAAAGTGAAATTTCTAACTTTGGATTTTAAATTTGAATTTGGATTTCTTTTTCCGGATATTATAGTTCTAATTATATATTTTTTATCTATTTGAGCTTGTTTACTTCTCCTTTTATCCTAAAATATAAGGCTCAACCATTCTTAAAACAATGACTAAGAAAGAATTTAATCGTACTCTCGATTGGATCACATCCGTACATGTAAGCAGTGTAATTGGTGACTTTATAGTAGAGGATTTAAAATAAAACAAATTTAAAGGACGAAGATGTGATAGTTAATGTATACATGCATATATAACTTATACTAGCATGAGGTCCGACAGGCCAAGTTAACAGGGATGTACACGCTATTAGCGGAAAGAGCAAAGGTTTTTCTGAAAAAAGTCAATGACGCGCCGCGCTAATTCTCAGCCATTCCCACGGCGTTTAAGTAAACTAATATTATGAAATATATAAAAAAATAGTTGTGCCTTATATTTTAGAATAGAGGGGTAATACATATTTTTTTACAAAACAAACCACTCCTATGTAATTTGGGTTACACATATATCAGTGCACATCGTTCGCAAACATCCTAAGGTTACCAAACACATGCCCACAAGTGAGAATCAAACCAAACTTCAACGCAAACAGATGGCTATGTTTTTCCAATGATGCTACATGAAAAACTGGCAGTTTTTAGTTTTTACAGCGTCCAAAGATGAACGCGTCAGCTAAAGCAGCTCACATATACATCACAGCCGCTTGTAGGAAGTATAATTCTTTACTCAGCCATGAACAACACAGTTACAATCACACACACACACACACACACACGTACGAAGATGGCAAAAAGCTCATGGCTTCATCAGAAATTCAGAAATTCAGAAGTAGGGGAAGCGCGCCCTCATCACCGCCGGCGACGAGCCGGACTCCTGGCAGAGCGCGTCGAGCTTCCACGCGGGCAGGGACACGACGGCGGCCTCATGGCGGCTCAGGCTCTCCTTGCCGGCGCCGCTCGCCAGGGACGGCGAGCCCGGGCTGATGGGCTCCTTGTTCGCCGCCTTCACCGCATCAACGGCGGCGGCGGCGCCGCCGCCTGCCGCCGGCACGACGGTTATCTCCGGTCGCCGGCTCTTGCCTTCCATCTCGCTGCTTCCTGTGCTTTTGCTGCAACCTGGAGGAGGAGGCTTCAAATGCTTCTATTCTTCTTCTATGCAATGCGACTGATTAGACTTATTCAGACATCATCCCGGCTTGGCTTATAAAAGATGGATTGTGATGGGTTGCTTCTCCTATCCTTTTTGTGGGACAGGATAAGACCAACTGATCAAGAATGAATTATTGATTTTCTTCATGGAATTTATTGGCTTACAGATACTGTTGAGTGGATAATGGATCTTGACAATGACCTGATAGCTATTCTTTGTGGTTGTTTAACCTTATCCTATTCAAGTGGTAATCCTGAGAAGTATACTGAGGTGTGTGGATAATTCAACATGATAGGAGGTCACATATTTTAGAGACATGGACATGATAGGAGGTCACATATTTTAGAGACATGGGTTTTCGCTTAATCCTTTACGTGCCCCTGAATTTTGCCTCATCCTCTGTATGCCCTTGAGTTTTTATTTTGATCACTTTTATACCCATGTTGTGAGTTGACTCTAAATTGACCATTAGAATTCTCCCAAAATGACTATATTGCCCTTCGCTTGTACTTTATGCTTTCTAATTTAAAAGCATAAGTCTCGTTACAAAAAAAGCTTAATCTAAAAATCAAAAAGGGGCATTATTATTAACATCAAATTTGAAAACAAAATTAATTTTTCAAACATTTTTTAAAGATAATGAAATTCAAAAAATGTTTTATTCAGAATTCGAAAAACCAGAATTGTTTCTTATTTGGGTTTAAATTTCAGCGAAAATTTTCAATAAATTTCATCAAATCTGATCTGAAACTTATTTAAAAATCTAAGTTTTAGATTAAGTAATTATGGCATGTTTGTTTTTATAAACGAATCAACTTGTACGTTGAGAGCCATGTTTTTGTTTAATCAAACTACTCCGTATTAAGCAATAAGAAAGACACAAGGGTAATGTAGACATTTTTGGAAAAATCTAACGGTCAACTGACAATCAACTCACGGAATGGGCATATAAAGGATAAAAATGAAAACTCAAGGGTACATAGGGGATAAAGCAAAATTCAGGGGCACAGAAGGGATTGGGCGAAAATTCATGAGTACGTAAGGGATTTTCTCCATATTTTACCCCAATACTAAAAAATTCTAGTAGACATGTAAAAACATCTTTCTATGATCATTCAGGACAAGAAATGGCCATCAAAAGTTCAGTTTCATGTTCTCCAATCTCGATAATCCATATACTCCAGGTTATCAGCTTCTCATGTCCGATCCAAAACAAGTAACAGGTTTTCACCTTGGTATAAACAAATATAGAATCTAGTCTAGCAAAGATATATGGAGATGGAATGATACATACAGAGATAACTTGTACATCAGAAGCAACACATTGCCGGACGAGGAGCTGATCAACTGAAAGCTGTCACAAGCCGAACAGAGTATCATTGGTGCCAAAGATCGAACCACCAAACTGCCTGGTGTTCAAGTCACCATCCAAGGCAGACGGGAACCTGTCGAGCCACTGGGCGAGGTTTGGACTGTCAGAGTCCTCAACCCATGGCGAGGTCATGTCGATAGCATCCAGCGCGATGGGATCCCCATCACCCTTCTTCATCTTGGAGTCGGAATGGAGCATGAAATTGTAATGCACATAGGCTTGGTCGGCCAAAGCCTCCTTGTCCAACTTGTTGCGCTTCTCTGAATGATTCCGAACGATTATGCTCCAATCTCTTTGGAAGGTCAGGGTGCTGCAGACCTGGCTGACTATTCTGACAGCAGCATGTTGAAGTGATGGAGCTGAATCACCATATTGTTCCCACCACATCCCTGATCATCAAAAAGGTCATTACTAGTTAGAATACAGATATCAGCAAGCACGTGCAGTCATTAACGATGTTATATTATTAGCATTTACAAATTTAGTGCCACATTTATATATAGTAAAATCTATAAATATTTTCATACCATAAAGTTTGGATCCTTTTTTAAAAATTTCTAACTAATATATGTGTGATACCATTGGCTTGTGTGGTTTACATTTAGTATGTTTTTCTCCCAAATCAGGTGATTGGACCGTGGACCGCATGCTTGCAGCAAAGAAACACTAATGGTGCAATATTTATATGTAGCTAGTGCCCAGCGGCCTCAAAATGTTTTGGAAACAAAAAATTTTCCTTGTTTTGTTCATAGTGTGAAATTTTGAATAGTCAAATATATATTTCTGAATGGACCTGCATTTTGGGGCCGCTTATTTGTTCTCAAGCGATATAGCGGTTAATTCCAGCTTGCAGGTTTTTATCATCAAGCATGAGAACCATTTAAACATAGCAATCTACTAGAAATTGGTGCGCTTGCTAATTAGCACGTTAATACGCCAGTAAAAACCATATAGTATTAGAGCATCTTAATAATATTTTTATTTTCACTTTCTAGTGTAACTTGTAGCAGATAGTACTCGGAAAAAATAACCAAAAATCTTAATTATTTTCACTTTTAGCACGTAAGAGCAATTATAACGTTCAATAAACTGATTTGGGATTAATTGATCAGGTGCATATAAAATATTGTGTTTTACATGTAAACTAATACAATCGGTCCAAGCCGCCTATTTTTCCCATTACAGCTAGAGGCCTTAGCGGCTAGTGGCCCAATTCGTTCCATGGCCCTATGGATGTTGCAGTCAAGCACCTGATCCTTCTCAATCTAGTGTGTTTTCTTTTTTTCTTCTCACGGTTACTCCCACATTTATTTGTACCGCGCCACCAGACTACAGCACAGCATGTGCGATCGAGTAGCATGCCTGTGTAGAAGAGAAGAGCATGCGAGCGAGTAGATGATGCTAAGCAGTTCTCTCTCTACGTGTATCAATGAATAATATGGAACAACAGGCCAGCTTTTGTTTTCTTCGTCTTCTCTCTTGATACAGGTGTAGCCATGTAGGAGTAGATGAGAGCATGTGCTCTGAGTAGCGAGAACGCTCTCGTGCATTAGCGTTGCGTAGCTTAGTTTTGTTTTTGTTTTTGTTTTTTTATCCTAAGTAAAATTCTTCATTTATCTTGAAGTTTAACTAGGACACGTGGTTCAATCATCTCGTTGGCAAGCCGCTAGCTTGAGATTAAGTGATTACTGGAGTAACTAATTTCTATCTTTCAGTTGTTACGTTTATCCTCTAGTTAATCGACCTATACTACTGCATTTTAAGAATATTAGAACAATGCCACTACGATAAATAATACCTGGGGAGGTGTTGTTACGGGCCTCTTTTGCAATGTTAGAGCCAAACATCCCTTGTGCCTTTCGAAAAGCATGCAGCTCCACTGTGATACCTTGCCTTTGGTCAGGGACTGTAAGCACTTTATCCAGAACATGGTAGAACTCCTCCTTAATACTAGTGAAAAATTTGACTTCTGGATTATACTGAATGCTTGGGTTCAGAAAAGCAGCTGCTGAATGAAGAGGTGAATGCAATTCCACCTGCCACTTTTGCTCGACGATATCCAGAAATGACTTGCATTTTCCTTCATCCATTATGTAGTATGTTCTAATAGAGTCCATCACTTTTGTCATAGACTCATATATATAACCAATAGCAGCCTTGCCTCCTAAGACATCCCTCATGACCCTCAATAGAGGTTCAGAAACAGCAGCTATCTCTTCGACTGCTCTCCAAAACTCATCGTCATCAAGGATCTCAACACATGAACTGCTTAAAGACCTGTTTGCATACGAAGAAGATGCATAGTCAGAGCTGTGAAACATTTGCTTTAGCTTTGGTCTGTGCCTCAACAATGATTGCAGTGTGAGAAAATCCGACACACACTTTGTAATTCCTGAACAAACAAGCTCCTGCCCAGCTATGCACTTTCTCATAAGATCAAGAACCCACTTGTTGTTGTAGACAAATCGTGTTATGGTTTGGGCTTGACAGATGCATCGGTTCACCCAATCAATCTTGGAGAAGTCATCCAACATTGAGTTTACACAAGAAGACGCACATGGAGACCAAAAAATGGTGTTATAATTCTGCATGATCAGCTTGTCTACACTGCCGTAGTTTATATTCCGATCAGTGATTATTTGCACCACATTGTCTGGACCAACTTCCCGAATCACATCATCAAAGAGTTCGTACAACTGGTGACTTTTGATGTGTGGAGAAGCATCCACTGTTTTCAGGAAGAATGTCCCTAATGGGGATGATACAGAAAAGTTGATGAGAGCTTTTGATTTGTTATCAGTCCATGAATCAGCTAATATAGTGCAGCCTGTTGTCGCCCAATCCTTTTCAATCTCTTTGGTTTTCTGCAAAACCTCTGACTTGAGCTTGTGCAACCACTTTGTCTTCAAAACCTCGGCTGACGGCCCTCGGAATCCCTGTCCACCAAGTGCCTCCATCATGTGCCGGTATGAAACAGAGTCTGCAATATTGTAGTCCAACTTATTCTCAAAAAAGAATTCAGCTATGCATCGTTCGGCTTCCGATTGTGGTGCTGAGCGAGCCTTGTTTGTCACAGATGATAGCTTCAGTACTGGAGTAGATACTTCCAACGCAAGGAACTGTGTCTGGTCAGAGGTTGAAGTAATAGCAGGAGAAGTAGCTCGCTCTGGAGATGTAGGCTGAGAGGGAAGGTCCCGTATTCTTCTTGGACGCACCGACAATTCAGTGTCACGTTGCCTCTTGAGAACCTGTGTCTCTCTGTGCTCTTCTTTCGCTGCTATGACAGCCTTCACCTTTTCTATGACATCCGGCTTCACCTTGGTGCAAGGATTGACGCCTTTGCTTGAGATTTGAGACAGATGGAACTTGAGTCTGCTTATACCACCATTTAGGACCTTGTAGCAGAACCTGCACCTGACCTTGTTCCCTTCCATCTTGTCACAGTACTCCCAGCAGACATCCCTCTCCCTCACTGAAACATTGAACAGAAATAAGCACAAGCCAGCCAGGAATTCAGCTTCCAGGCACTCACTGCATGAATGGCCTTAGTTACAAATGGTGAATGGAGAGAGTAACATACTTTATGGCGAAGCAGAATCCGGCTTCTTGTTATTAAATATCTGCACAAGAATCATCAGACCCATGAATTTACAGAAAGCTGATGCTTACACTTACGCTTACATATGGTGAGACCTAAGCATCTAGGAACTGGATACATTGCAAGTAGAAAATCAGGAGCTAAAATAAGGCATTTCAAGTTTTCAGCTGCTAGAGGCAGCATAGTATCACATTGTGCATAAACACAAGCGATTCTAATCTTCTTCTTGAACTTAATCGGTAATTCTAAGTTGTTCCCCTTTCATTCAACAGTAGTGAGATGAGCTACTGCTCATTGAGTCGAGTGAACTCAAGAAACGACTCCCCGATTCTGCCATCGATCCTGAAACCTGGAGTACTATGAAACTGTGGTGCGGCTATATGGCGGAATCATCAGTACCCCAGTGAAGCAGCAGAAATGGGCACAAAGCTGACATTTCCACCCAATTTTAGTTTCAAATCCACATCTGAACCCAACACAGTAGTAGGCCACAGAAGTGGGCGCGCGATTTAAAACAAAAACATCGATTTAATTCGCGAGAAATAATAACCCGCTCGCGAAATGACGCGAGATCCGGGAGTTGCTCCCCGAGTTGTTCGCCCGTAGGCCGCCGGGAGAGGGAGAAGGCGAGGCGCCCGCTGGCTGACCTGAGCAAGCGTGGGAGCGAGCGGCGCAGGGCGGGGGAGGAGTAGGATCTCGCTGGAGTGGTTTCTCTCCTCTGCTCTTCTTCTTCTTCTTCTCCCCCCGATTTTCTCGTCTCCTGGTCGGGAACTCGGGGAGGTAGGTTTGGGGGCAAGCCGCCGCCGCGTCGTCGCGAGCGGAGTCGTTGGGGAAGAGAGGAGAGGAGCGTGCTGGATCCGATCCAATGGGTGGATGGATGAGCTCGCGGACGCGAGATGCCACGAGATGGACGGCCACGCTCCGGTCCGCGAGAGAGAGAGAGAGAGAGAGAGATAACGTCACGTCACGTCTCGGGAAAAAAAAATCGGGAGAAGTTACGCGAGCAGAGTATACCTTTTTTCCCCTCAAAATGGGCCATCAGAACGTGGGCCTCCAGCCTCCAACCCAACGGTCGGCCCAAACAGCGGTAGGAGCGCAGCATCGCTGTTCGCTTCTCCGCGGGCGCCGCGCCGGCAGCCGGGGGGGAGCCGCGCGGCGGAAGGGCTCTCATCTAGACTAAGACCAGCCACGTGTGCACGGACGTCAGGGCATCTACCGGCGGTGAGGTGCGGGCTCCGGCGAGGGCGGGCCATGGGTGGTTAGTCCACGCAGGGTGCATGACCGGGAGGTGTTTGACGAAATGCCTCAACAAAGATGGCAAAGGACAGAAGGTGTTCGAAGAATGGATTGCTTTGAAGGTTGGATGGAGGTGGTGTCCTACTGTCCTGATAGGGTCGCCTTACTGCAACGGTGCTACCACTAACCAACTGGTACACGTTCTCAAGGAAGCGCACAACTGGTACGTGGTTATCTTTACTCATGCACAGTTAAGACAATATTGTGTCGTTGACCTGCATGTTTTGAATCATGCTGGAAACATGTGGTTTAGTGATACAATCTTGTTGCAATCTGTAGTTTTTCTGATATTGTTTATATGGTAACGTCTCCACAAATAGCTTTGTGTTATTTACACTATTTATGAGTTTGTATGTGATTATATTTATCTCTCCATGGTTACTTGCAAGTTGCAACATCGCTATCATCCAGCATAGCTACTATATTGCCATCCGTTTCACCTAGCTGCCTCCCAACCAAATGTTTCGCCTCAAAACAGGCCAAATGTTCGATCTTCTAATAATCCTTTAAAAATAACTCGTTGTCCATCCAGCAAAGTTTATCTTAGTATGAACATCAGCGATTAGAAGAAGGGCCGAAGGGAAAGACTCCAAAGTCCAAAACTCCAAACATATTTTCCACTAAGATTAGGACTTGCCACTAAATTATAGACACTTTTTTGACTCTTGACCTTAAAAGTTAAAAGTTACTCACATCCTTGACTTAATTTGTTATCCATCTTGGTCTTGGGCTTTTGGTGTCATGTTTTTCCTATTTTGCTAGGAGTTGGGTATCTGGGACATCAAGAATATCCACATTGTTAGTAAGGGGTCTAACTAGATGGAGAAGAGAAGCAAGGAGATGTTTTCACTGTTTTCCTTTGTGGTAATATTTCTCTGCTTGATAACCAACGCCATATATTCGGGTAGTAAATTTGTGCATGCAACAGATACTCTCCTTCCAGGCAAATCTCTAAGTGGTAACCAGGTCTTGATCTCAAAAGGCGGTGCCTTCAGGTTGGGTTTCAACTGCCTATCTCCTCCATGTTATTCAGATTCTACCTTTGGTATATGGTACATCAAATCATCAACTTGTAGGTCACTACTAGTTTGGGCACCTGTTGCAAATTTCTGCATCTTTAACCCATGGTCCTCTTCGTTTATCCTCTCAGAAGATGGGAAGTTAAACCTAATCATTGATGGTTCGCTTAGCTGGTCATCAAATGGTGTGGAGACCTCTGTTTCTGCAGTTGCAATACTTCTTGACAATGGAAATCTCGTAATAAGAGACCAAGTGAATAGTACCATGGTGTTCTGGCAAAGCTTCGATAACCCAATTGGTATTCTGCTACCTGGAGGGTGGCTAGGATTTAATAGGATGACAGGAAAGAACGTCTCCCTTTCTTCCAAATATTCGACCGATGGATATGACGCATATGACACTGGAAATTTTATTTTGGATATAAATGCGAACGAAGGTAGAGGGTTTACCATCAATGCTCCTGACTTCGATTCTGGCAATACATACAAGATAAAATATTCTGGGGCCTTTCCTAGATGGATGGGCGTTCGTGCAGATGGAGGTTCGTTTCTCCTTTTCAATGACGCAGATATATATGTACAATTATATCCTGATGGTAATGTTACTGCTGCGAAACTAGGGGATTGTGGATCTGTGCTGTGGTCTGCTCCAGAAAATTGGTGCGACTTTGATTCATACTGTGGTTCAAACAGCTTTTGTATAATACCCAGCAAAGAATCATTCTTTGAATCCCCATGTTATGATTTTTCTGATTTGGGTTATTTGATGAATGTCTCGTTAAACTGTAGATATAATGCTCCCCATAAACAAAATGTTTCTTTTCATCCGATGGTTGGAGTTTACAAATTTCCCCAAAATGAATGGTCAATAGAAGTCAGAAGCATAAGAGAGTGTGAAGCTGCTTGTTACAGTGACTGTTCATGTACTTCTTTCGCTTTCAACAAGACATGCTTATTATGGTACGGGGAGCTGCAGAACACAATAGTGTTTGATTCTAGATCAGAGGGATATCTCATGTACATGCGCGTGGTCGAGCAAAAGCAAGAAAAATCAGAATATAAGGTTGCAATTATTGTTGTAACAGTGATAGGTGGGTTGGTCCTCATACTTATAAGCATGATTCTTTTGTGGAGAGGCAAAAGAAAGCTATTCACAGAAAAACCAGTGAATTCTGATAGCAGACTTATGATCTTCTCAAATTCACAGCTAAAGAATGCAACAAAAGGTTTCTCTGAAAAACTTGGAGAAGGTGGTTTCGGATGTGTTTTCAAGGGGACATTGCCAGGTTTTTCTGTGGTGGCCGTCAAAAAGCTAAAAGACCTTAGACAAGGGGAGAAGCAGTTCCGATCAGAAGTGCAGACTATTGGTATGATTCAACATATCAATCTTGTTCGTTTACTTGGTTTCTGTGCTGAAGGAAGCAAAAGGTTACTGGTATATGAGTACTTGGTTAATGGTTCTTTGAATTCTCATCTGTTTTCAAACTATTCTGCAAAATTAACATGGAACCTCAGGTACTGTATAGCACATGGAATTGCAAAAGGCTTGGCTTATCTGCACGAGGAATGTAGGCATTGCATCATACATTGTGACATGAAGCCAGACAATGTACTTCTTGATGCAGAATTCTGTCCTAAGATTGCAGACTTCGGTATGGCAAAGCTTCTTGGTCGAGATTTCAGCAGGGCACTGACAACAATGCGAGGGACTATAGGATATCTTGCACCAGAGTGGATCTCAGGGTTGCCCATTACACACAAGGCAGATGTTTACAGCTATGGAATGATGCTTCTTGAAATCATATCAGGGCGAAGGAACTCGGAGAAGATCAAGGAAGGGAGGCACACTTACTTTCCTATCTATGCTGCATGTAAGGTGAATGAAGGTGATGTCATGTGCCTGTTGGATAGGAGGTTGGATGGAAATGCTGATGCAGAGCAACTGGAGAAAGCTTGCAGGATTGCATGCTGGTGCATTCAGGATGCTGAGGATCACAGGCCAATGATGGGGCAAGTCGTTCACATGCTGGAGGGTGTTATGGATGTTGAGGTCCCTCCTATTCCGAGGTCACTTCAGTACTTTGTGGGCATGGAGGATAATAATACTCAATCTGCGGAATGTAACTAATATCTGAAGTTTGGACAGGATCTGATTCTAATAAGATACAAAATTGGAGTACTTGAAGTTCATGCAATTTTCTATTTTTCTTTCTCTGCAATAAAATGCAAACTTTTCTTGTGTGTGAGTGTGTCCTTCAGGCCTTCAGTTTTCAGCTCATGCTTCGCTGGGCGACTTCTCCGTTCATTTGCTTGTATATGTATGAACCTATGGGTCTGGTCCCTTGTGGCATTGCACAACATACGCAACGCCTATGGTTGTCAGAGATGTGCCGTGCTCTCTGTATACATTGCTTGTTCATACCTGATAGTGAACATTTGAGTGGCTAACAGCACTAGTGCACTACCAGCATAAGACTTCAACTGAACTAAAGGTAGGTCAATGATCTTAAAATTCTCCTTTGGATTGGCCCTTATTTAGATATACGAGGTGAAAAGTTCATCTAAACTTGATTCATGCACAAACACACAAGCCTATCAGTACTGTCACATCTGGTGTGTGTGTGTCCAACTCCAAGGGAGGTGAAGTGCAGCGCCAGTTGATTCGTCCGTGGTTAGTGTTAGGCCAACACGACGGCCCAACAATATCTATATTTCAAGGCCCAGCCCACCATGGCCCGACCATAATCCCACCCTATGTGTTAAGATGGGCCTCCTTGACCAACCGCGGCTGCCGGCTGCCGACGCCGGGGGCCTTGGCCTCCGCGAGTGGCTGCGTCCTCGTCGATCGCCGCCGCGGATGCGGCCGTGCGGGCATTGATGCGCCGGTGACTCGCAGGCAGATCGGGTTAGTCACCGTCTCTCCGCCGCCGTTGTTACCGACGCCAGACGGCCAGAGTGTCCCTAATCTGTAGCCGGCTGTGTCGAGGTTGGGTGCCCGTCTAGACGAAGCCAAGGTGTTCGACGAAATGGCTCAACAACGAGGGGGGCATCACCAGCGGCATGCCGGACTGCGTATCCCAGGTAACTGTGCCTTCAACCTTAGGGACGAACATCTGTTTCGTTCGCAATACTGTGATTATGATACTGTGCACGATGAGGCACCCCTGGTGGCAATGATAGGTTGGTTCTTCAGATTAAGGAGAGATTTCTGGTGTGTGTGCAAGAACATCTTATCAGTAGGAGTTCCTTCATTTTCTTGGCCGGCTGTTCTAATTGACGATGCGCTGCCAATTAATTGCTATGTTTTGACCAGTCAACGCATAGGTCGTTTGCCCAATGGGCAGGTATTGCGATGGTGATTTGCCACTCGATACTAGCGACTATTGACTTGTAAAATCAAAGCTTGACCGCTTTATTTTTTAAACAAATTTTCTCTTGACAACCCAGTCTACTGGTTGGAAGGGACAGAGCACCCTTATAGGTAGAAAGCGCATCCCCTTACGCCCATATGCCATTAGTTTTAGCGAGAAATCTCATTCAAATGAAGAAGGGAAACAAGTGCAAGCCTTTGCTGTTGTCCTCCTCCACGGTAATACTTCTATCATCCACCATCTTCATACATCTCGTGTGCCAGTTAGCATTTGCAACTAGTGCAACAGATACCCTCCTACCAGGCCAATCTCTGCGTGGAAACCAAACTTTAGTCTCAAAAGATATCTCTTTCAAGCTAGGTTTTAATTGGTTATCTGCTTCGTTCGGCATCTGGTTCGCTAAATCAATCTGTCATGAGTTAGTCTGGGAGCCTGATAAAAATTACTCAATCGGTGACCCTCAATCTTTATCACTTACTTTCTTAGAAAATGGCACCCTACAACTACTGAATAATGATTCTCTTCTTTGGTCAACTCATTATGTGAAGAAAACCTCAGTTTCCGTTGTTCTAGTTCTTCTTGACATAGGAAATCTTGTCATACGAGATGAAACAAATGATTCCATGGTGCTCTGGCAGAGTTTTGATTATCCAAGTGATACGATACTTCCTGGAGGAGGTCTTGGATTCAACAAAATTATTGGCAAGAATATCTCTCTTATCTCACCTTCCTCTCTTTATAGTTTAGAGTTAGACACGAGAAGTAGAGGGTTCATAATCCGAGATATCCCCAGTGGTTCGATGCTTTCTGGCAATTTTCCCAGCTGGATGAAAATTCGTGAAGATGGCACCGATTTTGTAATGTTCTATGATGCACAAACTTACTTGCATTTGGATGATGGAGGGCGTATCGTTCTTTACAATCTAGGGGATTGCTACTCTCCTTTGTGGTTTTATCCAGAAAATCCATTTGGATATTGTGGGCCGTATGGACTCTATTCTTCTTACTCAAGATCGTGTGGATGCCCTATCGGTTTTGACGCACACAACACAGAAACAAACAGGTTTTTGGGCTGTTCAAGACTAGTGCCTATTATTTGTGCTGAATCGATGTTCTATGTAATAGATGGCATCGATAGCTTTCCTGACAGACCTCAATTCTTAATGGCAAAAAGTACTGAAGAGTGTGAAGCTGTTTGCTCAAGCTACTGTTCCTGTATGGCCTATGCATACGATGTAACATGCCTATTATGGTACGGGGAGCTGTGGAACACCACGATGTTGGGCTCTGATTCTGTTGGAAGACATATTTACATACGTGTTAGCCAACAAGAAACAAGTCTTAAGAATAGTAAGCATGTTAATATTGTTGTACTAGTAGCAGGTATATTGTCCCTCATTATTAGTGTTGCATTGAGTTTCTTATGGATATTCCTTGCAAAGTTATTCGCAACTAGACCATTAGATGCCCGGAGTGGCCTCATGGTCTTCTCGTATGCCCAAGTGAAAAACGCAACAAAAAATTTCTCTGAGAAACTTGGAGAAGGTGGTTTCGGCAGTGTTTTCAAGGGTACGTTGCCAGGTTGCTCTGTCATGGCTGTGAAGAAGCTAAAATGTGTTTTCCGAGTAGAGAAGCAATTCCGGTCAGAGGTGCAGACCATTGGGATGATCCAACACACAAATCTTGTCCGTCTACTTGGGTTTTGTGTTACAGAAAGAAACAGGCTGTTGGTGTATGAGTATATGCCAAATGGTTCTCTAAGTTCTCATCTGTTCTCAGACAACTCAGAAACGTTATGCTGGCAACTAAGATACTGTGTAGCGCTCGGAACTGCAAGAGGTTTGGCTTATCTACATGAGGAATGCATGGATTGCATTGTGCACTGCGACATGAAACCAGATAACGTACTTCTTGACACTGATTTCTGTCCCAAGATCGCAGACTTTGGTATGGCAAAACTTTTGAATCGAGATTTCAGCAGGGCACTGACAACAATGCGAGGGACTATAGGATATCTTGCGCCAGAGTGGATCTCAGGACTACCCATTACACATAAGGCAGATGTTTACAGCTATGGATTGATGCTTCTTGAAATCATATCCGGGCGAAGAAACTCGGAGAAGATCAAGGAAGGGAGGCACACTTACTTTCCCATCTATGCTGCATGTAAGGTGAATGAAGGTGATGTTATGTGCCTGTTGGATAGCAGGCTGGAGGGAAATGCTGATGCAGAGCAGCTGGAAAGAGCTTGCAGAATTGCATGCTGGTGCATTCAAGATTATGAGGATCAAAGGCCAATGATGGGGCAAGTTGTTCTCATGCTAGAGGGTGTTATGGATGTTTTAGTCCCTCCTATTCCGATGTCACTTCAGAACTTTGTGGGCATGGAGGATCACTCTACAGATCTGGATACCTTCTGAAACATCTTCTTTTCTTGATTCATGTTTGATATAATGCAACTACACGAAGTCTGTGCTTTTCACGTTTGTGAAACACACAGAGCTGGTGTTCACTGCAGTTTTAAGCGCTGTCTTCAGTTTTTTTTTTTTTTTTTTTTTTTTTTTTTTTTTTTTTTTTTTTTTGAAAATATGCATAATGGCATAAGGTGTGCGTATCTTTGTATTAGACTCGAGGGGTTTCAGTTCATGTTTTTTTGTCAAGTGGCAAGCTCGTTCGTTTATGGAAGTGTAGTCTGTGGGCATGCGATGTCACGCAATGTATCATGTATGCAAGGCATAATATTCCGAGTTATTGCTTTTCCTCTATGTAACATTGTGAATTGTTGATAGCGGTATGCTCTATGTTCTTGTAAATATTTGAGGAACTTGCAGCATGACTGATGGCTTGAGGTTGAACAAAGGATGTTGATCCTGGATCTCCTGGGTAGCCGTGGTCTTGTGTAGTTCGGATCAGATCCTAAATTGTTTGAGCTTTTCTACAGTTGTTAAGAGGACATCAGGAGAGGAGACATCAAGATTATTATGAAGTACTGAGAGGTACCTCAAATTAACACTGAAAATTTGGTGCTCTCTGTATATATCTTCTTATGGACTCTGAAAACACTCAAATTATTTTGTTCCCAGGTGACTCTGATGCGCAGCCAATCCTCCGCGATGTAGCGGTAAGCCACCTCCGTCATGTGAACCATGTCCCAGAAGAGACGAGCAGAAGGATCCTCGCAAGTGATCGCGCCCTGATTGCCACAGAGAGCAGTCCCAGGCCCTCCACAACAAATGGTAAGAACATCATCTTCAAACCCTGCAGCAATTGCAACCATTAACCCTCACTGCTTCCCTTTGCTGCAAAGATCCTACAGAACATGTACAGAAATCTGAAGAATCTGATGCACTGTGCTACTGACCAAACTTGCCAGGTGACTGCACCATCTCCATGATGGGGCTGAAGAAATCGGCGTAGATGATGCTGGCATCCGGGTGCCTGGCCTGGAGATTCCGAAGGGATTGTTGCAGCAGCGAGTTGTGAAGAATAGCTAGCTCGTTCTGCACCTTCAGGCAGCCGGTGACCGGGTCGTAGTCATCTGGGCCAGCTTGATCAGCAAACATGGCGAGAATTAGCGGCGTGCAACCTGACGGTGTCATGCCTGGAACGACCAAACTCTTCGCCCCGTGCTTGATCAGCCTCTGCCATCATTAGCCGAGTTCATCGGGTGATCGGTACTAATATTACTTGTAGTATTCATTTCAGTTCCAGATTAATGTCACATGATTGATTATCATGTACTAGATAATTATTACCTCGATGGCTATGGAGATGGTTTCGATGATATATGGGACGAACGATCTGATCTCTTCCATGCTCTTCTTCCTGAAGAAGAACTCGTAATCGTTGAATCCGAATTCGCCGACGAAGAAGAGGGATCTCCCGAAGAAATCCTTGCATTCTGCAGAGCAAAGGTATGAACTGCCTTTTTAGTTTCGCCAATTCTACGCGAATCTGTGATACATAGCTGCTACTCTTTTTGCCTTGTGTTGTGCTGCAGAGCGAAGGCTTGAGCGACTCGAACCAGCCCAGCTGAACGCCGAGGCTGGTGTTGACCGGGAACGGGCTGGCGCCCGGAGGAGGATCGCCGGCGTGGAAGATGCTGGAGTCGAGGGCGGTGGCGGCGCCAACGGCGAAGTTTGCGCCGCGGCGGAAGCTCCCGTTGTAAGCCAAGAATGGCGGCAAGAGCGGCACCCCCAGGCGTTCGGCTGCAAGCAAGCAAGCAAACAGAGAAAATCAAAATCCACCATGATCACAACAAAATTGACGATTGCCACATCGATGAATCGACGGCGGGGGAAGATGATCGGACCGACGAAGTCGACGACGAGGCGGCCGTCGCAGTTGCGGCCGGTGGGGTGGCCGAAGAAGGTGGAGCCGTACGGAGGGCGGGTGACGGGGTCGAAGACGGAGTACCAGCCGAAGACGACGGGGTTGTTGCCCGTGTCGGCGAAGGAGTCGCCGAAGCTGAAGATGGCGTCGTAGCGCCGAACGGAGAGGGAGGAGGCGCCGGCGCCGGCGCCGGCGGCATGCAGCGACGACAGAGAGGAGAAGAGAGACGACGGCGGAGAGCCATAACATGGTCATATTTCGTGTTCTGCTCGATGCGGCCTGTCGGTAACTCGGTACGTGTGGACAGATTATTGGAGGAACACTATAACAAAATAGGGACATTATGACTCCTTCCCTCTTTTAATTTCTTTTTTTTTTAAAAAAATACGTGCAACATGAACTTCAAGATGGGCCATGCATATATATATATACACTATGAATTTAATAGCGCCAAAATTTAACTCCGGTGAAAACGAGGTAAGAGTTGAAAAATCGTGAAAAACATACCTAAAAGTTTTGTATATTTATGAAAAAAAAACTAGAAATAGATGTAGATATGAAATACATTCTCACAGAATGTCAAGTTCAAACTCAACTTTGTTTAGGAGTAATAAAAAAGACAAATTCATGTAAATAGTAACATGACACTATTTTCCTAGAATCTGTCCCTTTTTTTTTCTTTTAAATAAAGTTGAGTTTGGATTTGAGATTTAGTGATAACGTATTTCATATCTACATCTATCTCTAGTATTTTTCCATAAATTTACATAACTTTTAGATATGATTTTCACGAGTTTCCAACACTTAACACGTTTTCACCGTATATGTCCTCGCTAACAAATTGGTACGTGCCATATTGATCTGGTAAAAATTGGCTTAAATCAAATCTCTAGCCAAGTACTCCCTCAGTCTTTTAGAAAACCTTATAAGACAGATTAATATGGATGTGAAAAGATGAATATTCCTTCATTAAGAATATGCATGTCTTTCCTTGGCTTTGATGCTTTAACTAGACTATCGACATCCCCCAAGCTCTGAACAATAATATTTGCACCTGATGATTAGAGATAGGGGCGGTGATCTCTAACCAAGGAAAAGAAAATGAGGATAATGCAGGATTAATGGGCTCCTCAACTAAAAATAAGGTTTTCTTTAGACAAATGCTTAAATCTAAAAATAAGGGTTTGTAAGATGGAGGGAGTAATATAGTTGTTGGTCAATTGGTATGGCACATTTTAGTAGCAATATGCAAAATGATCCAAACTCTTTGAACATCACTATCTAGTGCATGAGAATCATTGTATGTATTCTTATCCACTTTGTAAATATATTAAACAAAATGGCGGTCAAAATTGCATTTTAAAATTCACATCAAAACAATATATTTTCAAGACCAAAAGGGAGTGTAGTCTAATTAGTTGTCAGTGGTAGAGCCAGAGACTACAGTGAGCTCAAGTAGGAACGAGATTTTGGTTACCGACAACTTCTCTGTAGGGTTTTCCAGCGATATAAATTGAAGACACAGCGACGGACCCCCAAGTGGTTGCTCTGACCTGTCCGGGAACCGACTTGGTGACTGTTAGTTAACCTTTTCCGTAAATATTTATACGCTTCAATAAGATTATTCTTCATTATTGATTTAGTATAACATATAGAAACTTGTGTTAATGAATGACTACTCAGCTATTTTCTAGGTCTCTTATCTTAAAGAGCTACGACATATAAGGTATTGATTGAGTGGCAGTAACTAAAAAAAAATTGATTCTTTGATAATATGGTTATGATAGTCGCTAGGGCGGAGCCAAGTCTTCGGCAATAAGGGCTTAAGCCCTAAGTTGGTTCTTTAATTCCATTTGAATCATACTGAAGCTTTAGTGAAAATCTGATAGGCTTGAAGAATCTTTGGCTCCCTCCAGCCCGCTGTCCCCTATTGTACAGATCATGTAAACATAATTATGATAGTACAAATGGTTAATTTCGACATACACCTTATTAACTATTGCAAAAGTACCATTTACCCTCTCCGAAAGTAGTTACTGAGTATTTGACACCCCATACAAAATATGAAACTAGACGACAGTATCACCGTACTTCCCGGTTAATTATATACTATATAGGAACGTGTGGACTATGGAGTGTAGAGGAAGGAACAGAGTCACGAAGAAGACGATGAGACAAAATCGTGCTATTTTCATTGTTCAGCTAGCTAGTACAGCTCAACAGTTTTGTCGAAAAGACCAGTTCCAAAAAGGAAAAATTTGCTACCGGACACCAAAAAATTGCCGCCTTTACTGTGAGACACCCGAAGATCGTGTATTTGCTCGTGGACAACTTAAAAAATATAGTAATTAGCAGGCGGACACCGGCCGCATTATTTTATTATTTCTGGTGGAAACGGAGAGAGAAATTTTAGTTAAAGACAAGTTTGCCCATTGACTCACTTGTCAATCTCTCTTTACCTTTTCTTCTTCTTCTTCCTCTCATGTCATGGTGCCCGCCCGCGTCGCCATTGCGCACAGCCTCGTCAGCGTCTACGGCATGCTCGGCGACATGCGCCGCCTCCGCACGAGACCCACCACGGAGGCGGAGATCCGCCGCTTCCACTTGCCGGAGTACGTCAACCTCATCCGCAACCTCACCCCGAAGAGCTACACCAATGACGTCGTGCTTCGGCAGAAGGCGGAGGATGACCACGGCATCGGTTTACTCGGCGACGACAATGATTGCCCCGCCTTCGACCGCCTTTGGAAGTACTGCCGCGGCTACGCCGGTGGGTCGCTTGCCGCGGCGCGCACGCTCGTCAACGGCGCCTCCGGATCTCACCGCCGCCGCATCGTGATGTTCCTGTTCCCGTTCCGCAGCCACATCGCCCCGATGCTCTAGCTCGCCGAGCTCCTCCGTGACCGCGGCCTCACCGTCAACGTCGTCCACACCACCTTCAACTCCCCCAATGCCACGCGCCACCCGAAGCTCACCTTCGTGCCCATGCACGAGCGCCCCCCCTCCCCCGATGCCGTCACTGACTGCTGGCGCTCAACGCCGCCTGCGAGGCGCCGTTCCGCAAGGCGCTCTGGTGGGTGGTGCGGCGCAGCATCGGCTAGGCTCCGGGGGGGGGGGGGGGGGTGAGGTGGCATGCGCGGTCGTCGACGGGCAGTGGTACGTGCCGCCATGCTCCACTGCATACTCAGCTACTCGCGCCTCCGCTCCCGGGCACCGGCACCATCAACGAAATCCGTGAGGGCGTTGGCAAGCACTACAGCGTGAACGTGCCGCTGGATGCCGGCTGCTGGGCAGCAAAGGCGAGTTCTTCCTGGGCACCGTGCGCCGGGATGCCACTGTGCGTCGTCGCTGTCGGCGGTAAACCCCGGCGATGCGCCGCCGTGGCCGAGCCGTCCCGGCTCGGGCTGGCCACATTGGCCGCGCGCGTCGCGCCTCTGCTCGGCTCAGTAGCAAGCGCGAGGAAGAAGAAGGGGAAAAGAAAAGAAAGAGAGCAGGGGCATTTTGGCACTTAAACAACTCTTTCTCTCTCCATTTCGACTGAAAATAATAAAATAATAGAAGGAGTGTCCAGCAGCTAATTACCACTTTTTTATAGTGTCCACAAAAAGATTCATGATCTTCGGGTGTCCCATAGCAAAGGCCGCAATCTTTTGATGTCCTGTAGCAAATTTTGCCTTGCAAGAACTATAATTTTTTCCAGACATTTTATATATATAAAAAAGGCTATCCCATTTTAAAGGAAAATAGGACCAAACCTTACAATACACAGTTAATTAGAGAACCGGTAAAAACCACATCTACCACAACACTTCATGAACTAACCTAAACTACCAACAAACACCAGCCTACCTACACCTAGCACCGATGGAGCCCAAACACATGACATCATTGCTGCTTACCACATAGCAACACGACACCTTTGACTTTGTGAGGAAAATATCGTCGTTGCCTAGCTTGCTGCCTCCAACGACACAACAGCTCCGACTTCATAAGAAGCGTCGTCATTTCCAAGCCCGTTGCAAGGGATAAAGCAGCTTCAATATCTCATGGTGGACATCAGCCAAAGACATCGAGAAAACCACTTCAAACACATGACAGGCACCAACACATAGAGAGAACTTGCAACGTGCCATTGTTGCCCAGCATCGTCACATCCCAACAACGAGCAGCTTCGACTCCACCTAGCAGAGACCAATGAAGTGAGCAAGCCACCTGCCGCAAGCAAGAACTAGAACCACGAATGCGAAGGCCTCATCGAACAACCCAAACATGTAGAACTTCAATGAGTAAACAGAAGGCCTCGAGCCAATGTAGGAGTCCAACAACCACCACTGTCGCATGAGTAAGATTCTCCAGAGGTTTACACATGGAGTTTGGCGTGGGAGGGGAGGAAACTACATTACAACATCTCCAAGGAAGGAAGCAGCGCCAAAGACGTCGCGCGCCATCGTCCAACAGGCAACATCCCATCAAGGCTTTCGCCAGCAATTCCCCATCCAATCCGAGCCGAAAACCAACCCGTACAAAAATGGTGTCGCTGGAGCACCGCATTGGCTAACACCACAACACCACATAGTTCAGGCAGGAACAATGTCATTGTGCCACCGTCATCCCTGGTGTCCGGCCCACACCTCCACCTTACCTTGGAACTCCCCGCAGAGGAGGGGAGTAGTTCCATGAGGAGAGGAGTTGTCCAACCGGACAAAAGGAGACGACTCGTCATCGCCATCCGCTCCGAAGCAAATCTTTCACTGGAAAGAGCCGGCCATATTCATTGACGTCACCATGATGGCCAGAGACCCAACATCGCCAAGCGAGCTCGCCGCCCTGACCAGCCGCTCTCCAAATCCAGAACTCCTGGGTGCGGCGGCTAGGGTTTCATCGTCTCCCAAGCCACGCATGTGGGAGCAACGCGGGGCCCCTCGTAATGATAGCGTTCTCTACAAGAAAATAATTCAGTATGACATCACATGAGGATACAATAATTAATTAAGTAGTACCACTAGTAGTTTTCAAGGATCTTTCTCGTGATTCCTGACAAGAAAATCAAGAACTGTTGATGTCGAAAGGCAGTTGTAAATTAAAGGCTAGACTGGTTCGTTTAGCTAATACAACCCTCTCGTTTATCGTGAACGTGCTTAATTTCTAAACTGTGCAGAAGTACAAATGCACGTACGAGATCGTGCCAAATTAACCTTGAACTGGAGAAAGAAAACCACAGTTCGGTACACAACAAGAACGAATTTTATTCAAATATCCATCCGTTCAGCAGTTTTTTTCATAATTTTTTTTGAACGAATCGATGAGACCGCCAATTTAATTGAATAGAGGAGTTTTTTCTCCACAATTTTACTCGGATCATCTGCAAGGCTGATGTTCCTTCACGAAGGAAAATCGACCAACAACTAACATTACATGTAGTTCTTTTTAAAAAAAAAACTAGCATTACATGTGTGTATCCGACGTTCGTGCCATATCAATTTTAGGAGGTAGCTCTTGCAGATAAGGTTATGGCATGAAGCCAATCATCGGCGATGTAGTGGTAAGCTGCCTCGGTTAAGTGGACGCCGTCCCAGTACAAGCTCTTGGATGGATCCACACAGGTGGTCGCACCTTCATCGCCGCAGATTATCCTGGTGTTGTAGTGGTATTTTCCGGGACCTCCACAGCAAACGCTGAGAACATCCTTTTGAAACCCTACAAATTAACCACCATACAAACTCCGATTACTTCAATTCTATGGTTGCACCCATGAGGCCATGACCCATCAATGCCATGGAAGTAGATCGTCAGACTTAATTGCACAGGTCACTAATATGTGAATTCTACTTTGCTGTGGCTATATATATATTGGGGTTCAATTGCACATGTAGTATATGACAGCAGATCCCATTTCCATTCCTAATGTCATGTATATGTGTATCATATTTTTTATGGATAAAATAATATTCGACTTAAATTCTTTTGACGTCCTATAAGATACGGTTTATTAAAAGACCATTTTTTTTGTTGACCGCTTATATTTTGTAAATAAACTTACGAGTAGACAAAGATATCATATTATTGTAAGTGCAGAAAATTATACTCCCTCCATTTTGTTTTATGTGATGTTCAATTTTTCAATTAACCAATATCTTTCTTAATTATTTCAAAAGCGCAGTCATTCTCCTTCCTCCTCTAAAATAACCACTCCCTCTCTTTTTCTAAAAAAAAGAAAACTCCCCTCAAAAACCGGTAAAAGTACCCTTGAAAACACTATGAATTATGATCATGTTACAATACACAGCTATATAACTAAGAAAATAAAAGAAAAGGAGTATCAATTACAACCACTATTAGTTAAAATTGTTAAATATATTCTCAGTTGAAACGTCACGAGTATTTATTATGCAAATTTATTAAATGATGGGCGCTCATCGCATGGTACTGATGAGTGGTTAATGGTTAGCGAGCATCCCATTCTTTTATAATAATACTACCTTCATTTAAAAATATACTAGGTGAAACCCCGCGCATTGCTGCGAGAATTTAGTATGATAACAATAAAAAAAAATAACGTGTAAGATATCTAGATAACATCAGATTAAGTAAATTAATGTGGTTTATAATAATTTAAATTTAAATAGTATGTAGAATGGTGATTCAAACGTAAAAAGTAAGGAGGTGTGACTTTATGGAAGAAGAAAAGTAGGGAGAAAGTTTGAACCGTAGATTAATCATCTAAAGCCTAAAAACAATTGATATGATATGACTTAATTTGAGGGAAAAAAAGAAGAAAGATAATATGGATCATAGATTAATCATTTAAGCACTAACTAAGTGATGATGAACTATATAAGTATATATGATATCATAAAACATAATAAAGATATACATTGAAATATTATGTGAATTATGTTGGATGATAATTTAACATGTTTGTATTTGAAAAGCTCTTAAATTATAAAAACTATAAAGATATAGCATGTTTGTATGATGTTTAAATGTGATGATTGTTAGTGGATGATGATGTGGCATGCATCTTGTTAGTGGATGATGATGTGACATCCTTACATGTTAAGCTTAAGGAGTTAGTGGAGGATAACTTTATAGTAAGATAGGATATCGTTGTTGATTTTTAGAATATATTTGACTATTTATCTTATTTAAAAATACATTGAGTGCAAATATAAAAAATAAGTGATACTTAAAGTACATTTAACAATAAAACAAGCTACCCACCACAAAATAAATTACATTTACGTATGCCAACAACATCATGTATTTAAAAGTGAAGGGAACACTTTTGTTAATATTGAATATGTTAGACTTTTAGTTTGACCACTTCCATTTTACATAATAATAAACTTGTAAGTATACAAACATATCATACTACTTCCTCCATCTTATGTATGACTTTGGTTCGATCGAAATCAGAGGGAGTATCATTTATGATGTGGATTTATTAATGTTTTATATATTGGATTAAGTCCGATCTTTATATAAAATATCCATCAAGCCGATGTACACGTCCAAACAGATTTATTAAACGATTGGCGTGCATCGCATTCTAATGATTGGGGTAGTAAATAATTGTACTTACCAAACTTGTCAGGATTCTGGACCATCTCCGAGACGTGTCTGAACAAATCGGTGTGCATGATGGCGACATCCGGGTGCTTCTCCCGGAGCTCCTCGACGGCGTCCAGAAGCAGCGAGTTGTGCAGCGTCGCTACCTCGTTGGGCTCCCTCAGGCAGCCGGTGCTCGCGTCGTACTCCGCCGCGCCGGCGTCGGCGAAGGTGACGAGCACCGGCGGCGAGCATCCCGACGGGATCATGCCCGGAACCACCACCGTGGTCGCCCCGTCGCCAATCAGCTTCTGCTTCCACACAATTCATTAATCCACGCATAATTGATGAACTGTTTGATTTCTCGGTAGGATCGGTCAAAGGGTGTGTTGTTCTTGCCTCGACGGCCATGGAGATGGTACGGATGATGTCCGGGACGAACGATCTGATTTCTTGCATGCTCCTCCTCCCGAAGGAGGAGTGGTAGTCGTTGATGCCGAATTCGCCGACGAAGAAGAGCGATCTGCCGAAGAAATCCTTGCATTCTGCGTCACTAATCAATTACGTGAGCACAAAGTGGTTCTTGATTGGTAAATTTCAGCTTAATTATCTTGGAGATGGATCAACAACTGATCGTGATTGATTAATTAACCACCTTGAGTTGTGCTGCAGAGTGAGGGCTTGAGTGAATCGAACCAGCTCAGCTGCACGCTTAGGCTGGTGTTGAGAGGGAACGGGCTGGCGCCCGGGGGATCGCCGGCGCCGTGGAAGAAGCTGGAGTCGAGTGCGGTGGCGGCGCCGACGGCGAAGTTGGCGCCGTGCCGGAAGCTCCCGTTGTAAGCCAAGAACGGCGGCACCAACGGCAGGCCCAGGCGTTCGGCTGCAAGCAAACAGAGAAAATCAAAATCCACCATGATCACAGCAAATTAATTCACGCTTGGCCGCGCATCGATGAATCGACGGCGCGGGAGAAGATGACCGGACCGACGAAGTCGAGGACGAGGCGGCCGTCGCAGTTGCGGCCGGTGGGGCGGCCGAAGAAGGTGGAGCCGTAGGGAGGGCGGGTGACGGGGTCGAAGATGGAGTACCAGTCGAAGACGACGGGGTTGTTGCCGGTGTCGGCCAAGGAGTCGCCGAAGCTGAAGATGGCGTCGTAGCGCCGGACGGAGAGGGAGGCGACGCCGCCGCCGGCGTCACCGGCGACATGCAGCGACGACGAGAGGAGGAGCGAGACGGCGGCGGGCAGCCACAACATGATCATCTTTCGTGTTCTGCTCGATGCGGCCTGTCGGTTGATTATTAGAAGACACTATGCCAATCTAGGGATAGATGGGGAAAGTCATTTCATCCCTCGAGAGGATACGCTCTCCTTTCGTCCATACTATCTAAATAATTAGAAAAAATATGAAAAAAATTGACAACATAGATTAATATGAAATATATCACTCCACAAATATGCAAGTATAAATTCAACTTCTATAAGTTGTAACAAAAATAACAAATATAGTTGCGACGGTGCGATAACTATTTTCAGTTTAATTTGTTATTTTTGTTGCAACTTGTAGAAGTTGAATTTGGTCTTGCATGTTTGTGGAGTAATATATTTCGTATTAATCTATGTTGTCATTTTTTTCAAATTTTTTAATAACTATTTAGATGACATGCAAACAACGAGGGGATATCCACTCGAGGGATGAAAATCCACATCCGGATATATGCTGATCACTGCCTTGAAATCATGGGACCACGCATTTAATAGCGCAATTTTCTTGAGGTTTGGTAGTAACAACGAATTGTAAGGCGCCATATTGATTTGGTTAAAAATGACTTAAATCAACTCTAGCCAAGTAAATTGAAGTTGTTATTTAGTTGGTAAGGCCAGTCCCAATCCAAGACACTAGATATAGTTTTTATAAACTCCACATTATTAAGAAACTAGTACTACTAGACACTACACTTTTAATGCAAATACTATTTTTTCCTACTTAAATTTATTCACTTTTAATGCAAATACACTTTTAATGCAAGACCTGGTTTCCTTCTCTTTTCTTATTTATTTACTTGCCAAATCATCTTTCATCGTAAGTGGCAGCTTATTAAGGCAATTGATACTGCACGAAAGAACTGCCTGTGGAGGGGAAACAACCCATCTTCTACCAGAAAGTCCTTAGCTTCTTGGGACAGAATGTGCACACCTAAAGAGAAAGGGGTCTGGGAGTGATAAACTTTAGAGTTCAAAACATTGCTTTACTCTTAAAGCATATGGTAAAATTTTATAACGGTGCTGATCTTCCTCGGGTAAATTTGATCTCTCAGACCTATTATGCTTCTAGGATTCCTCACTTGGTGTTGAATAAGGGTTTTCCCCCAAAAGTGAGTTTGGTCAGTGTCCTAGGGCTAAAACCACACAATAGCAGTGTCCTGTAGCAAAATTTGCCCTTAACTTTTTACCACTTTTAAGAAGTTGCAATTAATGATTTACCGCTAACAGTCTATAACATATGGGCCCTCATGTGTTTATAACATGTGGGTCTAGTGACAAATCTTTTAGTGTCACTTTTCATACCTAGGCTGTATTCAGGAGGTGAGGTCACCTCCCGCGCACGCAAAATTGACGATGCATTTTCTTTTGAGGAATTAAGTATTTACTATTTTTTAAAAAAATATTAATAATATTTTTTAAAAAAACTTTTGTATAGATTTTTTTTAATAAAAGCACGTTGTTTAGCGGTTTGAAAAGAGCGTGGAAAACGAGCAAGTTGGGAAAGTTGAGAAAGCGCGCGTCATGGCGTTGCACGCGCATGGAGCAACGCACGTGGTATAGGGTAGAGAAAATTCCTTGTGTACTCCTGAAAGTTCGTCCAATCCCTTCTATACCCCTGAGATTTGCTCATTTCCTTCTATACCCCTAAATTTTAGTTGGATCTCTTCTATACCCCTTCCGTCAGTTGACCGTTAAATTCATATCATAAAATCCATTTTACCCCTTGATATTAAGAAAATATAAATTTATGAAGTATTTGATGGAGTGTATAAATTTAATGTATACGACTATTATATTTATGAGTTTATTTTGTGATATATTATTTAACAAAAATAAGTTTTATCTCGCATAACAAGATTTATCTCATAAAATATTCCATACTACTATAACAAAATATGCTATATAGAGAGAGTTTTTAATGGTAAAAATTATTATTTATTGTTTTATCTAAAATAAATTTTGTCATAGATAAAAATTATTCTTGTTTTCTCTTCGCGAGGTGAAACTAAAATATTACTTTTGTTAAATAATACCTCACAAAATAAACTTATAAATATAATATTCGCATACAATAAATTTATACACTTCATCAATATATACTTCATAAATATATATTTTCTTGATACTGTTAGATTTAATTGGGTAATTGATCCATTTAAATCAATTAAATCAAATAAATTCCAAGGCTCATTATGCTAGGAATTCATGTGTATTTATTCTCTTATGGGATATTAATGGGATGAGGAGTTTTGAGAATTAATTTATTTGATTAGGGAATTGGTAACTTATATCAATTACTCCTAATTGATGGATGGTTGATGGTTGTGTAGTGGAGGATGGTTTATGGCTAGTTGATGACAATTAGTTGCTCTATTCCTCTTCCTATTCCATTGGTAACCTACATCAATTACTCCTAATTGTTGGTTGGTTGATGGTTGTGTATTGAGGGATGGTTTATGGCTAATTGATGAGAATTAGTTACTCTATTCCTCTTCCTATTCCATGACTCTTACTCTGCATCTTCCATTCCTCATATAAAATGAGAATGGATTTGATCTCCCGAAGAAGAAGGGAGACACACTTTCATCCATTTCCAAGACTGTTGCTGCTACGGTAATCCCATCCCGATGAGTGTGTGCACACGCAGGCTGTTGATCCCGATGAGTGTGTGCACACGTGTTGGGAGAGTAGGCCTCCGAAACCACGAACTGTTGCGACGTTTGCACGGACGGGCGGGCGATCAGGTTTTTGGGAGCGCAAGGTGCGACTACTCACTGTTCGTCAACGTCTACTTCGTCTTCACCAACATGTCAAACAATGGAGACAACAACAACACTGGAGACAAGGAGAAGGAGGCTTCCGTCAACAACAACAGAGGCAATACTGCCTCAAACTCCAGCGGAGGACCATTCTTGGGGTATAACCTTCTTACATTATTTCAATTAGAAGTTTTACTGTTAATGTTCATCGCAATGTCAACATTGCGTTATTATGTGATTGTTGATGCTTATTCTACGTTAAGCATGCTCATGTTGATTACATTCACCACTATCACTAGATCAAATCCCATTGTAAATATCATGTTTATTATCTTGTTATTTTGGATTAAAATACGCCGAATTATGACCAAATTTCTAACAGATACCAAAGGGCAAAATAGACTTTGTGATAGAAACTTAGAGGTCAACTATAACTATCAACTCATATAAGAGCAGGTACAATAGCAGACTATAAGAGCAGGTACAATAGCAGACTATAAGCCAGCTGCAAATATATTTTAAGGAGATAAATAAAGAGAGAGAAGAGCAGCGGGCTACAGATTTGTAGCCAGCTGTAGCACGGACTCCAAGACACAGTGTGTATGACAGGTGGGACCAGATATTAATAGTGTAGTATATCACTATTGTATGAATGAGCTATTAGATTAGCTATAGATGAATTAAAGCTAGTAGTTGGCTATACTATTGAACTTGCTCTAAGGGGTATAGAAGGGATCCAAAGTTCCAAACTGAAGTTTAGGGGTATGGAAGGAAAAGAGCAGGGGTATGAAAGGAAAAGAGCAAATCTCAGGAGGCATAGAAACGATTGGGTGAAGTTTCATAGGTACACGACCCTACCTCCCATTCACCGTACCTCCCCTCCTGTTTTTCCCATCCAAGATCGAGAGGGGAGAGAGAGGCGGCGGCATCCTGCGTAGGAGCGAGCGACGCCGACGTCGTGCGGCGGGGCCAGCGGCGCCCGTTGCTTCCTACCTTCTCCGTCCTTCTCCCCCCATCCCTCCTCTCGCCGGCCCCCTCATCTTCTTCAGAGCCGGCGGCGGCAACCTACTACAGCGCCCTAGTGCCCTTCTCTCTCTCGTCTGCTGCTGCTCCGCGCATCCTCCGTCATCCTCCTTAGCCAAGGTAAGAAACCCTAGCACTGTGTAGAATCTCTGTTATTTTGTTTCCACTGCCAGATTTGTGCGGTTCCGTTTGCATGAGATGAATTACCTTGCTGTCAATTGTTCAAGGACATTGCAATGCATTTGTTTCATCAATTTTTACACAGTAGATAATTTCCTGATGTGTATTAATATATGATGTGGGCAATTGTGTTCTTACCCCTAGTTTTGATTGCAATTGTGATTTTACCCCCACTTTTTAAACTTTGTGATTTTACTCTCACTTTTTTTAAAACTGAAGCTCAGGTTTACCCCTAGTTTGGATGTCTGTTAGGTATGTCAGATTAAATGAGTTAAAAGAAGGGAGAAAAACGATTTACAAGATGCAAAAAGTCCAATTTAATTCGTATTCATAAATGTAAACCGGTCCTTAGCTGAATAATACCCACTTATCTATATACATCGTGTTATCCAAAAATGTGCTAGTGGCAAAAGTGATACAAGAAGGTGTGGAGTGGCTGAAATTCAAAAGGAAAATTGAAGGAGAGAAATAAGAAGCTTGGGGCAATCTCTGTAAGCAATGCCATACAATTGTTCTGACAGATGATCCAATCCAAACAGATTGATCTAGAAACTTAAAAAAACAGAATATTCTCTGTTATAGGGCTTGATATTGCAACAATCTGGTTTTAGATTCAAAAGGATCTGAATTCAAGATCCCTGCAAGGATCAAAGTTTTATTTGGGTGGGTTATCCTTTGTGAGGTCCTTTTGCATTCTGTGAATCATTTTTCTCTCTTCTTTTTAACTCATATAATCTGCCTGCCATACCTAACAGACATCCAAACTAGGAGTAATCCTGAGCTTCAGTTTTGAAGAAGTGAGGGTAAAATCGTAGGGGTAAAATCACAATTGCAATCAAAACTAGGGGTAAGAACACAATTGCCTCATTATTATTTCTATCCGCCATCGTCCTGTACTAGTATTTTATTCCTTCTTCTATGTAAGCATAAAGTTTTACCGTTATTTTGTATATTACTGGCAGTTAATATGTTATCCACAATTATTTTATCTTTTCTTATTACCAGCATACGAACTTCGGTAATCAGGATTCCTTCCCCTGCAGGAATTATATTTGGTGACGATGAACCGCCGGTTTCTTCATGTGTTGGTCAAAGACTTCACCAATCATCCCTGCCCCTACGCACTGCACAGCATCAACGCTTCAGGCCTTTTCTATCCAGCAGCAGTGAGGCCGAATGGATCAGGAGAAGGTACAAAACTAGAGGAAGACTACCTGCCTGACCGCACTGTGTCCTTCCATCATCCCAGCGGCAGTGGAGGCAGCATGCAGTTCATGTCTCTCGGCCAGAGCAACAACGCCATTATCGGTGTTGACAATGAGTGCCGTACCATCCTTTACAACACCGAGTGGCACTCCATACGCACAATGCCCAGTATGCACGGTTGCAAATGGTCTCCTCCGGTATCACTTGCAGTGAACAACAGCCTGTACGTCATGGAGTTGTATCCTCGGCAAGATGGCCATGTCTCCTTTGAGGTGCTCGCCTACGGCAGCCAGCATGCATACGGCAGCCAGCCCGTCTATGGCAGGATGCCCAGCAAGCCCAGCAGAGCGTACCGGGAGGACTGGTACTGGCGCTCTCTCCCACCACCTCCCTATGTGCACTATCAAGGATATGAAAAGGACGAGGCGCCGCCGGGCTACGACATTTCCGTCGAACACCCTTGCAAGATCACGGCGACTGCGGTGGTCGGTGGCGGCTCCGGCTCGAGCATCTGGATATCGACAGCCGGTGTCGGTACTTTCGCCTTTGACACGGCGAATGATACATGGACCAAGCGGGGCGATTGGGCTCTGCCGTTCCGTGGCAACGCTGAGTACGTCGCCGAGCACGGCCTCTGGTTCGGCCTCTCAAGTCAGGGTGATGACTTGTTCTGTGCCTCCGATATCGCAGCAGCATCAGTATCACCACCGGTGGTGCTGGACGCGTGGGGGTTGGATCATCTAGGGGTGACAACGTCGCGCAAGTGCTACCATAGCAAGTCCTACCTGGTGTACCTGGGCAATGGCAGGTTCTGCGTCGGCAGGTTGTTCCATGTTGAGGAGGGTGACACGGAAACGGAGAGGTTTGTGGTGTTTGATGGGCGTGGAGGTGGAGGAGCGAAGTGATGGTGGTGACAGCAGGGTGCTCAGGATGATCAAGCACAGGTCCAAGCGTTACCGTCTCAGTGCCTACATGACGATCAATCTGGTAGCTTGATCGAGTGCCTTTGATTATCGGCGATATCCTAGCAGAGGAGACTCTACCTCTACCATCTCCATGACGGGGCGGAAGAGATCGGCGTAGACGACGGTGGTAGTGGCGGCGGCGCCGGGGTGCTTGGACCGGAGCTCGTGCAGCGCGTCCTGGAGCAGCGAGTTGTGGTGGGATAGGGGGGTCTTCTCCTCAGCCCGATGCCGTCCTCCTCACAGTCGATGCCGTCCTGGTTGGCTTCCTCTCGGTGTCCGTAGCAGTCGTCTTCGCCTCACCGGCCGCCATTCTTTCCTCCATGGCGACGCCTGCTGCCACCTTCCTGGACTTCGAGACGGTGGAGGGGCCTTCCGTTGGCCGGCGCAAAGGAGCCCATCATTTCCCATGTTGTCGTTGCCGTCGTAGCTCCCATGTCGGTTGGGGGTGATTGAATCAAGTGGGACAGCTCCCATGTCGCCGAGAGAAAGAAGAGGAAGATCCGAGGGTGGAGAGGGAGAGGGGAGGGGAGCCGGCGAGAACGAGCGAGGCGGCCAGGCGGGCTGTGACCTTGGCCGGTGAGCTCGCCCGCCACCGCTCCGCCCGCCGCCGCTCCCGCCACCCCTCTGCTCCGTCCGCCGCCTGTCACCCCCTCTGCGCCCCTCCGCCTATCACCCCCTCCGCGCCGCCGCTCGCCTTCTTGTAGTGTAAGGGAGAGAGAGAGGGAATAGAGACTAGAGAGGAGGGAGGCTGACAGGTGGAACCACATGATTTTTTGTGTAACTGACATATGGGTCCCTTGATTTTTATTGTTTTTTGGATAAAATTGCCACGTAAATGCCACGTGGGACGAAGACCTAGTTAAAGGAGTCATGTAGGTGCTACGTCGGCCAAAACCACCCTCCATACTGCCGAGGGGGGCCTCGTTTGCCCGGTTTTCTTAAGTTGGGGGACGGGTCGTACCTGGTTTTGCGGACAAGGGATGAAAATCAGACTGACCGACAAATAGAGGGACCTAAAGTGAACTTATTCCGCACCCAACCACAGCCCACCGGGTAACCTGGGACATGGCCCTAAGGCCCAAAACAAAAGGCCCATTAAGCCCTACGAAGTTTCATCGTGTGCGGTTGGGCACAGAGACAAGAGTTTATGCTGCTCAGCCATCCATCCGCGACGTGGCGATACCCCGCCTCCGTCAAGTGGGCGCCGTCGAAGTACAGCGACGCCGACGGGTCCTCGCATGCCGTCGCCGCCGCGCCGCCGCACGCCACGCTCTCGTTGAAGTTGTACGGCCCGCCCCCTCCGCAGCACACCGTCAGAACGTCCTCCCTGAACCCTGCCACCATCAGAAAAAAAAAATTAAGAATATACATTTTCTTTTAAAAATTTACATTTATATACATAACTATATGGAATATGTGAAAAATATACTTATTCCGCGAAGTCCGTGAAGTGGGGACGCGTGTGAGTCATTCATTACGGTGCGAAGCTACGGGACCGATAGCCTTGGGCCGGGCCATGGGCAGGACACGGCTCTACGACACGGGACCGATTGGGTAACCGATTGGGTACCGTGCAGCCGTGGCGCTGACCGGGTCGTCCCGCAGCTCCGCGCCACGTGAATGACCCACCCGCATCCCCACTTCGCGGACGTGTATATTTGGGCAATTCCTCCGCTAACTAATATGTACTAGAACTTGCGGCGCGCTTCGCGGCGCCCTACCGGTGCTTTAAAAGGAGGAAGTTGATAAGAAGAATCTGTGAAAGCATTAGAAAGACCTGAAGAGCCTACTCATTTCATTGGCTATAGCATTGTCATTCAGACCATTCAGTTTGTGATTAGTAACTATAATGGATTAAGCAGGAAAAAAAATACATGAAATGGATGTGAACACTGTTCGCGAAGGACAATACATAATTTAGATCATGTTATAACAGCATACATGGAAGCATCACAACTAACATAGATAAATAGGCAAGGAATCATGCGGAAGACTACTGACGGCCATGCCTGCGAAATTCGAGAGGAAGCCGACGTGGGAGGATTGCCGGTGGACCACCTTCAATTGGTCCATTGTCTAGGTCAATTTGACAGGATACCCAGGTAAATGTCTTGACAACAGGTAGGCGAGGCCTTTGCTGCTCATATTGTCTAAGAAGTTCACCATCGCTATCACTGCCACTGTCTTCGTCGGTGTAGTCGAATAGTTTTTCCATGTGTACCAGAATCAGAGAGTGAGCTGCGTTGTGGTTCCAGCTAACATTGGCTGATGCTCGTGCTCCCTGTTTGGTCTCAATGTTCCATCTAATCGCCTTGGGTATAAGGTCACAGTCGGTGGTCCAGGCAGCTAGCTTGAAAACAGAAAGGTCATGTATATGGTGCTCTCCATACAACTCTTCAACCATGCAACTGTTGTCCATTAGCTCTGTTATGGCCTGCTTATTCCATGATTCCGGCGGCACTCCTTCAAGGGCAAGTATAACCCTTTGACGCAGTGGGTTTGTAACACTATGAAGATTCATCTTGAAAGGCTCAAACTCGAGGCGAGTTGTCTTGAACGTGAATTTTTTTTTGTTGCAGGCCATTTCAGCCCTTTCTTGTTGCTTGTCAGCATCCATGAATAGAACAATATACATCTTTGGACGAAAGGGTAGCAGAGCAAAATCATCAATTTCACACCTGCACACAGCACTTACCATAGCAGATATCCTTGTGCTGTTTGGATCACCAGCTCCAAGGACTTTCACAACAACAGCCTGCTGATAGATGACATCAGCAAGCAGCTGCGATATCTCTCCACACCCTGAGAACTTTGTCGCAACCAATGGTCGCTGTGTTCCGTAGGAAGAAGGCCGCCGAGGTTGTGCTACGCTGAGCTCACCACCATAGCCAAACTCCATCCTCAGCTGCTCCTTTTCCCAGGAAAGAGCGTTGAACCTTGATCTAGCCATCCAGAAATCAATAGGCAGCAAAGATTTCACAATGTGAGATAGCAAATAAACAGCGAGGAAATGAATGGTGTTTTAACCAATCTGTTTGTTGTCGCTTTGTTTTTCTAAACATAGTATGTATAGCACTGATGCATATAAAGCCACATGAAGAAGAGTTTCCGAAGTTGATTAATACCTGAACGAAGCGGCGGTTGTTTTCTCCCCTTGAAAGGCTTCTTCAGAGCGCAGCTCTTGTTCGATGTTTGGGCTCTACCCAGCAACAGTGTGTCCTGCAGGCAAAGAAGCTAACCATGGAAGAGGATAAAGAGAAAGTGTAGGATGTACCGTGCTAGCACCCTGTGCTGTCTATTCGAAGGGAATAGGTAGGTGTGTAGCCTTTTCTTGCATGCAAACGTGCTGGCAAGGTGGCATGGGGCGGCACACCTAGACCGGACGGCTGGTGGTTGGGAGTTAGATACATGCCTTCTCATGAGCATTCTTGCACAGTGTGCTGTTGGATTGGGATAGAATGCGGTGAGAGTGTATGTGAATAGTTGCTCGATGCGTACCGAATCAATACTCGCAGGTTGTGAATCGAAGGTAGAAATAGGCTAAAAGCAAGCAACAGTCGAAATACACACTGAGCTGGAATATATATGTATCCCGAAACACAGAGCTACTATTGCGTAAGTAACATCATACTGGGTACAGCAGCAAGCATTCGTGTTTATCGTGTGCTATGCATGATAACATAGAATCCTAGCCACATAATGCGTAGGGTCGCTGTTAAGTCTTTACAAAAGGAAGCGTCTGGCTACAACCATGCTCAAAGGTCTATAGCGAGCGACAAAATAGCACAGTTTGTAAATGCATGGCACAATATTAACCAACGAAACACTGTAGAGTGGTTCTAAAGAAGCTTGGTTAAGGTACCCATGCAAGCAGAGCATGAGACCGATGCCGAGTCTGATACAACTGTGCAAAACAAAAGCGTACACATTCCTTTGCTGCATCAGGCCTTGTTCTCGCCGCTGAATTGCAGATGAAAATTTGTCAATTATATAATCTAGCAACAATCAGTTGTCATTTTGCATATAAGAAAACAAATGCCAATGCTAATCACTCTGAATCTGTAGTACCTGCCATCAGCGGTATCGTCACCACTTTCTTTGAACAACTTCTTAGCTGTGCCAGTGCCAGGAGATGGCCTTGCCCTGTTTTGCAACCATAGTTAGCTAAACAGAGCAAAGCTAGGCTACTTTAACTAAAAGCATGGAAGACTGAGAAGAGCTGTAACCTTTTGTTGTGGGACTTGGATGTGGTTTTCTTAGTAGCAGAATGACCACCCATTTGGGAAAGGGGCAAATTGTCATCATCCTATAGGATCAGCTAAATCATTAGCGAGGAAAGTTTTAGCACAGAAAGACTCAGGAATAAAAGGTTGGGTATGCTTGCTAAGCAGGCTAACCTCATCTTCTTCGTCAAGGACCTGAACTGGAGTCTTGGACTGGCATTCAACATCATCATTTTTGTCCTTGGCTCCAACAACCAACGGACTGTTTAATCCAGCCGATGGAGTGGCAGGCGGATCACTGAATCCAATGGATGGAGCAAATGCTGCTGTGGACTGGCCAACAGAGAGTTCATGTGTTACACTTGGTGATAGAGCTAGAGAAGGTACCATGGAGGATGCCTGAGATGCAGATGGAGATTGTGGGTGGCAGGATTCTGGCTGTTGCCGTTTCCGACAATCATATTCACTTGGAATGAGACATTGCTTGAAGACATGGTATTCTCGGTAATAGCAACTTTCCAGGTGAAATTTTCCTCAAGCAAATTTGTGATCTCCTTGGGTATGGCCTCCTTGCCGGCAGCGTTGCCCTCTAACAGAATCTCCACTGATCGACCAATAAGACACTGTGCTAGGCGGCCAAAGAGCACGAACTTAGCGTCAGCTGTGTCATCACCTGCCACAACGCTAAGCTTGAACCTGCAAACATAGAGTAATGTTAGAATTGGCTTATCTTCTTTGGTTTGACATAAGTGTGGTTCCGGAAAGCAATGTTACTGACCTAGGTGATGCTCCCACAAGAGGAGGGCATGACTCATTCTGGCACTTGTATGCGTTTCCATATGGCCTTGCTGTTCTCCTGCATATATCACATGCAGTGTACCACCAAGAGTACTCCATGTCTATTTTCTTGATGACAACAGTAACCAAGAATTCATGTTTCTGCACAAAAGAGGTATGAAACAATGGTTATAGCTCATTCTAGGGAATTTGGATAGCAAAAGTGTATAAATCACACAATGTATCTTGAATTCGAAAGGATTCAGATCCTTAATTTGGATAATCGTCTTGGGCTCAGCATTGCTATAAGCAGGTGCTGCAGGAGGTAGATCAGTCCACTCTATAGGACTATAGGTTGCTTAGATGCTGTACACATAACGACAGTGTTAGTATGTATATATAAGCCAAGCTACATTTAAGAAAACGATATGCACTTTGTATAGAAACCTTAGTACAGACCTGTTTCTCAGAGAGATGACCTCAGGTGTGTCTGCGTTAATGTACCACTTGCAGGCTGAGTTACCTGATAAAGAGACATCGCCTAGAGAACATATATTCTATTAAGCATGGAACCATTGGAACTACGATGTAGAAACATGGTTGAGTATTTGGAATATTCATTACCATAGCCCTTCACAAGGGTGCCAACGAAGATTACTATCTGTGGTTCTTTCTGACCAGCAACAAACACCTCATCGGCAGGAAAGCTTGTTGCACGTTCCCCCCAAAGCGCCACATTCAAGATTGCATTGCTATAGGAAATATGCAGTAACAGATGCATGAAAACCAAAATGCAGGTGGCCAGATGTATCTGGCGTATCTTTTGGCTGTGTTAGAGGTATAATGGTTGTATTAAGAATCTCTGTGAAGATAAGGGGAAAGTTGTATCTCTTTTGGTAATTGGTTAGCTCAGATAAAAGGGAACCATATAAACAAATCAAGATTAAGTTAGTCCTGATGAATCTATTTTATTTTAGTATGCAAGAGTTGGGGCTAACTCAGTGTTGCGGATGAAGACACTCCTCTTTACGGTGCCTTGAAGCGGAGTCACGGGCGACAGCTGAGTAATAATTCCAATGATATCTTTTTGATTTTGACAAATAAAGGGAACAATATCAGCCATTTGCCAATTAACATAACATGAAGTACTATGCATGCATTAGCAACAGTAAAGTGAGACTACCTGTGAATGAGTCTTTCTTGCCAACACGTGAGCGAAGACCGCCAAATGGTGAGAGTGAATAAGTATACAAAGGAATCTCAGCTGGTGGATCGACACGCTCCTCTAGTTTAGTCCACCTTGTGAAATAGATGGACATGCAGTTGTCGACTGGTTTGTACTGCCTGTTACACTTCCTCACACGGAAGTACTTAATGTAGTACACCTTGCCTTCAGTGATGATTGGCCTGAATATCTCATCACATGGGGGATAAATCTGAGCAGCAATGCTAGTCCCCTGTGGCAATAACAAAGTCAGAAAACACCTTGTGTGAACTAAACAAATCAAGGTAATCGTTGCACAGATCTGACCTTCTCATCAATCAGGACCAAGCCAAAGTGAAGAATCTTGTCATCATCCTTTTGGTCACAGAAAGCCCAAAATCGCGAAACCCGAACACAAATGCGCTCGTTGTCGTCACCAAGGGAGAGATCAGAGAGCAGGGTGTGTCCCATCTGCAAGGAAATTAACAAAGAATTTGTCAGTAGCCAGTTTGCTGTAGTTTTAAAAAAACCGAAAGCAAAACAGCAAGGAAAACTTACAAAAAACGTGACCCAAAATGAAAACAATAGCGGCACAGTGAATAAGATACGAAGAAATGAAGAAAACAATCAGGCAGAACATCAAACAACAGCAAGCATCGGAGTCTCGAGTTTCAGCTAGGTATCAGCATCCTACGGAACAGAATCGTAGCAGCGTGTTAGATTGTTGGAACTTAAGATATTCATGGGTAACAGCTATAAGATCGGGCAATACATGATGTACCATCAGATCCACTGTTTGCAGCACCTCATGGTACACCACATTTCTAGTCTTGGAACTACATGCCTCATCATCACCCTCAATAAGAATCCTAAGGCCGTCTCTTGAAGTCGATCTAGACACCGCAACATACAACTGTCCATGCGTGAAGACAGCTTTTTTAAGGTATACGCCAACCCTTTTAAGGGTTTGGCCCTGGCTTTTGTTGATTGTCATTGCATAGCATACACGCACAGGGAATTGCCTCCTCTGAAGAGTGAAAGGCCATTTAGGGCTCGTAGTTGTAAGCGCTATTCTTGGTATGAACACCCTATCTCCAATGTTTGTTCCAGTCAAGATCTGACATTCTAAGAGTCGTTGCCCAAGAGAAAGGGCTAACAACCTGGTTCCATTGCATAAACCCATTGATTGATTTAGGTTTCGTAGCAACATCACTGTGACACCCTTTTTTAGCGCAAGTTTATGTGCTAGGAAATTGTTGGCGCTAATTGAATTTAAGAATTCGGTTGGGTACAGAAGATCAAAATCTGGTATGTGCTCAGACGATTTCGAAATAGTGTCGCAACTAAGGTATTCCTTCACCTCACCAGGTACCATATCAACCATTCGGTCATTTATGTCGTCAACAGTTGAGTTATTCGGGCATACAATAGCACGCGATGCTAGGTAAGAACGGTCTGTATACTTAGATGCAAAACCTGGGAATACTTCGTTTACTATAGAATGTATTTTATCACCAGTTGTTTTTATCAACAAATCATCAGGGATGTCAATCCAGGTTGCTTCAGATTCATCGTTCCTTTTTGACACAGGCAACTTGCCATCACCAAGCGCCAAGACCCACTGAGCAAACTTTTCTAGCTCCTGCTGCTGCTGTTCACCAAGATTACACTGTAGGAGCCTCATGTTGACAGTAAGTTTTAGAAGAACAGCATGACTCCAAAGCGGAGAATTCGTTATAGATGCATCGATTATAGAAGCACGGGAGCCTTTCCTTACAACTGGTAATATCTGCCTAAAATCGCCACCTAGGACAACAACCTTTCCACCAAAGGGCACCAAACCGTTGGAAGGAGCATGTTCGGAAAGCAAGTCTCGTAAAGTTCGATCTAGAGCCTCAAAGCACCGCCTATGAGTCATTGGAGCTTCATCCCATATGATTAGTGATGTTTTTTGAATAAGTTCAGCAAGCATGGTCCCTCTTTTGATAGTGCATAAACTATTTTCGTTTATATCAATCGGGATTTTAAACCTAGAATGGGCAGTGCGTCCTCTTGGCAAGAGGAGAGAAGCAACCCCAGATGAAGCAACTGCGAGGACAATTTTTTTCTCGGACCTTACTTTAGAAATCAGTGCATTCCATAAAAATGTTTTACCAGTTCCACCATGACCATAAACGAAGAAAAAACCAGGTTTCGATTCATTAACACGGCACATTATTGTGTCAAATACCCTTTTTTGGTCCGAGTTTAGTTTCGGTATGATGGAATCAGCATGGGCAGCAAGAGCAACACTATCAAGAGCTAACTCTTCATTGACCATCCTATTCCCAGAATCGTCATCTGTGCGTGCTGTTGACTGTGGCAGGTCGTAATCGTCTATATTACCGCCGCTATTTGCAAAAACAGATTTTAATTCTTTAATCAAAAGAGATAGAAGCCTGTCATGGGGGATAACATAAGAAGGGTTTGACAACATTTTTCTAACGCGGTGTTGTATATCATCTGTAAAGTATGTCCAATATTTATCGAAAAGAGATCGCACATTTCCAATAGAACAAAACATTACCACGGTTACAAACAGCTGCCTTAGTTGGTAGGAGGACGCAGACACAATAGCCTCATCAAAGAGCAAGTGCCACTCGTTATCATTCTCATGAAGCCCTCTTGCCTCGCATGCTTGTCTAAAAGTTGGGTAAACAACACCCTCGTAGGTCCTTATATCGGCAAAGCACGTCGCACCCTTTACTATCATCAGCAACATCCGTAGGTAGTATAGTTCTCCAGCAACTGGGTTGATATAGTACATTCTACCGATTTTTTCAACCGGTGTTCGTGGACGCCAACAGCGTGCGCTGTTGTCCCAGGTCCATTCTTTCGGGAAATCACAGTATGTGAGGTGTCGTGCCTTAGAATGTTTTTTATTAGCTTCAAACCATTCTGTCAACATGGTTTTTTTCGCAGCAGGGCTTTCAAGTAATTTTTTGAGGTCAGTTCCTTTCTGATATCGCACAAAATTCATGTTTGGAAGGTGCACAGCCAAACGCTCAACAGCAGGAACCCTATAATGGATATCAAACTCTAGGGTACGCCAGATTGATTCACAAGTGGATAGAAATCTAGCATTGATGTATTCGTCTATCTCATTTCGTGGTGCTGCATTACTGTCGGTTGGCTTGTTTGCTGTGTTACCAGTAGTTTCAAAATATACTTTAGTTCTATCAGATCCCTTCGTTACATATTTGAAAAGATATTTTATCATGTTCGATTTATTGCACCATTCAACATTAATGTGGGCTTGGTATTTTTTCAGAAGTTTCATGTTGTATGGGACAACCCATCTATTGTCAAGTTTAATTCCATTTTTAACAACATATCGTCCATTGTTTCGGCGCATATATACAGTGAAGCCAAACTCATCCATAATTGTCTCGTCCTGGAAAGACTTAGGGAAATGTTTAGAGCACTGATTGTTTTTCATACACACACATGATTTATTTTTCTCACCGCAAGGACCATGTATCATAAACTCATCAACCAAAGCATAACCTAAAGGGTCAGTAAATACGTCGGGAATCTCAGCAGAACTGAAACCATCGACAGTAGCAGCATTGAAATCAGTGGTGCTTGCTGCAAGCCACACAAGGCAGTGAATGTGCGGTAGGCCACGTTTTTGGAACTCCACTGTGTATAACACTACATAATGATTTTAAGTGTTAGAAACAGTCCACAATACACCTATCTAGCTGCAAAACACCATAGTCATGACCCCTACCTGCAAGGACTGGGCCAAAAGTTTTTCCCTCCCTAATATCAGTGATGAATTCATTAACTTTCATGTTAAATACTCGCACAATCATGTCGGAACGATCGCTCGGTACCTGGCCTGGTTCAAATAGGAGGGCATCGTATATCTCTTGCCATTTTGAATTGCACGTGAAAGTAACAAAAAGGTCAGGGGAACCAAATACACGACAAACAGCCATTGCATCTTGGTAATTTTGGACCATGTAATGACGGCCTCCAGTAAAACTGGAAGGCAATACATATTTCTGGCCCACAGAATCACCAGATTCAAGACCATGGTCAATTGCATCCGCAATTCCCTGCACACATTCTGATCGCAAATCAGGTTGATTGTCAGCAATGAACTTTAGTCTCGAGCCCTCAACAGTCGAGTACATATCTACACATATAGAATCACTAAGACGACCGCAACACGTATATGGGTTTGGTTTATTTAGTCTATAGTGTAGGCGGTACCGATAGTACTCAAGCATTGTCACATAGCGTCGTGATGTTCCAGTTATGCTCGGGAAATCAGTATATTTTATACCTAAGTGGAACCCTCGTTCCCCATAGGGGAAAAGCAAAGGGTATTGCAGCGCCATATAGGATGGATGCAAAGCTGATACTCGTCTTAGCCTACTATCACAGGACTGGACAACAACATCGTATGTGTATTTATCGTTTGAATAATCGCCAACAATTATCCCCGCTATTTCACCACTTGTTGGTAGGTTATACTGCACTTCATCTTTTGAGTTGCACCCAAGGAGCCTAAGCGCAATTTTTTCATCGCCATGATCTTTTAAACGTTTCCTAGCAAAGCGGAAGGATTTGACAAGGTCGTTGTGTTCATCAAGCATAGCACCTAACTCTGTAACAATAAATGGGTCAGGTTCATCAGTGGAGCTCTCTTTATCGAATACACGCATCCTATTGCTGACCTCATTTTCAGTATCGTATATGTAGAGTTGAGCAAACTTTGGCGGGGCACCCTGCTGTGGTAGCAGGCTGCCAATCCGGTGGTGAACAATACCATTGATTTTGAAAACACATGGTGCAGTTCCATTATTAATCGACTTGTCTACATCAGCTCTTAAGGAAGTAAACGCAAAAAGAGAGTTGTATGATCGAATTTGGCGTAGGAAACGCCTTGACCGTCTGACGGAGCGTGGGGCTCCTCACCGGGAGACCGCGCAGGCCCCCCTTTGCCGGTTCGGCCGGGGACTCAGGGAGAGATTCTAAGCTCTCTGTATGTGGAAGGCTCGCGAGACAGGAAACACACAAGACACGGGCGATGTATACAGGTTCGGGCCGCTGAGAAGCGTAATACCCTACTCCTGTGTTTTGGGAGATCTGTGTATGAAGGAGCTACAAAGTATCAGCCAGCCTCTCCCTTGTTCTGGGTTTCTAATCTGGAAAAGTCCAGTCCCCCATCTCAGTGGGCAAGGTCCTCCTTTTATATCTTAAGGGGATACCACATGCACCATTTCTCTCTTTTTTGTGGGGACTTACCCCACCTTTTCATAAACAGACGGAGACTTGTATGGTTGCCGTCCGAATGACCTTCTGATGGGACGGCCCATACCTACCTCCACTTCCGCCGGAAGCAGGCGCGACGTGGGAACATGGCTGTCTGCTGACGACATGACCAGTGTCAGACCGGTCACAAATCGGTCATTCTTGTCCACCACGTGTCAGTTTATCAATCTGCATGTTCGCCCTTCTTCATACAATATCTTGCCTGTAATGGTTAGGATGAAGCCTGGCATATATCTGACCAGGACTAACGTGCCATCTCTGGGAGGTAACACACTAGCTCCAGCTGGGGACAAGCGCCTAGAAGCCCTCGTCCTGACGGGATGGGGCGAGGCGTGTGTCAGATCGCCTGTCGCCACCTAACCCGTGATCTGACCGGTCTGTGACTGGTCACAGACCGGATAAACGAGTGCACTGCACTGCGTTACATGCGGCGTGACACGCTCAGCCAAACCGCAATAAATGTGGTTAGGTGAGCCCCACTGTGCTCACCTAACCCATACACGCGGAGCAAAAACCCACGAGGGGTCGGGGCGCCTCGGCCCTCGGGGCCGAGGGGGGTGCGGCCCGACCCCCTCGGGGGGACTAAGAGGAGGGCGAACGCATCACCCTCGGGCCCGACGTCCCTCGGGGGTACCAGGCCACGTGTGCGATTGTGTCTGCCTCAAACCTCTAGTCATGATACTCCTGATCCCATGTCACCGACAGTAGCCCCCGGCGTTATGCCAGGGCGATCGCCCTCTTTAAGGGAAACGGTCGGGCGTGACGCCACTCCTAAGACCTGGTGACAGGTGGGACCGGTCTCCACAATTGGGCAGAAACCCAACGGTCACAAACCACGCACATCGGCAATGGTAACTCGGCTGTCAACAATGAGCGGTCTCTTCAAGACTGCCACATTACTTGAGTAGCACACGAATCTGGACATGGCGATTCGTTTCGTCTGGAGATATGGTAACGTCGCTTCGGTCGGCGAGCGTAATTAACGCGCGCACGATATGATCTATCTCGACTGCCACAACCGCATATCCACCTCATGCGCCGCAAGCGGGCGAATGGGATTAGTGGAAGCGTGGGCGCGAGAAACGAGGGGGCGAAATAGTGGGCGCGAGAAGCGAGGAGCCGGGCACAGCGTTGGCAAGAGTATAAAGGCACTGAGGAAGGGATCTGTTTCCTTCCTGTCGCCATTATTCCCCTTGTCTTCGCCGCTTGCGCCCTAACTCCTTCTTTCCTGTGCCCTACCTTCGCCACACGCGTTCGCTCTTAATCTTCTCTTCCTCCGGCGCCATGGCACGGGGTTCCGCTCTGCTCGATGGTAGCGTGCTGCCGCCTTCCCGGATCGTGAGCGAGAGGCAGGCTGGGCTGTCGCGCCGCTTCATGCCGGAATCTGCCACCGGCCGGGAGATAGTCACGCTGGGCGAGGGACGCCCGGCGCCAGACTACCCGGGGCGGTCCGTCTTCTTTCTCCCCTTTGCAATGGCAGGGCTGGTTCCACCATTTTCTTCTTTCTTCATGGATGTTCTGGAGTTCTACGATCTCCAGATGGCGCACCTCACCCCCAACGCGGTGATGACATTGGCCATCTTCGCGCATCTGTGTGAGATGTTCATTGGGGTGCGCCCATCTCTTTGGCTGTTCCGGTGGTTCTTCACCGTGCAGTCGGTGTCGCCGCCATCGGTAGTCGGTGGCTGCTACTTCCAGCCACGGGGGCCGGTGCTGAACCGCTACATCCCCTGCGCCCTCCGCAAGAAGTGGGACGACTGGAAGAGCGACTGGTTCTACACTCCCCTCGCCGACGAAGCGCGCCTCCGACTTCCGAGCCAGCCCCTGGCGCAGGCCTCCAGCTGGCGGGCGCCGGTAGATCTGGGGGATGGCTATGACGCCGTCCTCGACCGCCTGGCGGGCCTGCGATCCCAGGGGCTCACAGGGGCCATGGTGTACGGCGACTACCTCCGTCGTCGGATTGCGCCGCTCCAGCAACGCGCTCGGGGCGCCTGGGAGTACACCGGGTCCGAAGACTTCACGAGGACCCACCAGGGAGTGAGATGGGACTGGGCTCCTGAGGACTTCAAGATATTGGTCCAACGGGTGCTGAATCTCAACTCCGTAGAGGCGGCCCTCATTCCCCAAGGAATCCTCCCCCTCTGCAGCGATCCAGACCACGCCTCCATCCTGACCATTATGATGGCGGTCGGGGCCTCAGAGGAGCGAGCTCCAAAGGGCCACGACGGCGCAGGCGGGAGCCGCAGGGGGGAACAATCTACCCCGAGAGGGGGTCGTGCTTCTGGGTCCCGTGACAGGGGTCCGGGGAGCAGCCGCCCTGCCGACGCCCGGGGGAAGAGGAAGCAGGGAGGAACACCTCCCCCATCTCCTCCCCGAGGGGGCGGGGCGGCGCGTGCCAGCAGCAGGCGCCCGGAGGGGGCCGCGCCAACATCGCAGCCCGAGGGGGAGCGCAAGAAGTGGCCCCGCAAGATGGGGGAGACAGAACCATCTCGGGGAAACCTCATTTCCCCTCCAAAGTGGTCGTTTAACCGACCCCCTCGCAGGTTCGTCTCTCACCCATCGTGACTGTATTCTCTTAACGCGAGTTTTCACTCACCCATCTTGTTCGTCTTCTGGTTTTTTCTTTTGTTTCAGCGAGATCCCGTCGCGTCCCTCCCGCCATTCCAACTCCGGCCAGTCTGAGGCCGAGGATTCGGCGGCCGCAGTGGCCCTCAGGCGGGAATCTGATCGGCGAGAGGCCGCGGATCGCCTACGGGAAGCCGAGGAGGCCGCCCAGGAGGCCGCCCGGGCTCGCCAGGCCGAGGAAACCGCTCGGGAGGAGGCCGCCCGGGCCCGCCAGGCCGGGGAAGCCGCTCGGGAGGAAGTCGGATTTCGCCAAGACGAGGCGATGGCGACTTCCGAGGCAGCTCGCGACGAGGCCGCGGGCGCGTCGCTTGGGCCCACTCCCTCGGGCGACGCTCAAGCGACAACTTCTGGGGCATCTAGCGACGAGGCTGCGGGCGCGTCGCTTGGGCCCACTCCCTCGGGCGACGCTCAGGACCAACCGGGTCCGGGGGACATCCCCGAGTCTGGCACTTCCATCGGCGGCCCGAGCCGCGTGGCATCCTCTCCAAGGCGGCTCTTCCCCACGCCTTCTATCGCCCCACTGAACGCAGAGCCCCTTCTGCAGGCCCTGGCCGCCGCAAACACCACGGTGTTGGATGGGTTAAGTGCCCAGGTGGAGGTCCTGCAGGCAGAGCGGGCGGAGCTCGACGCCGCGTAGGCGCGTGTCGAAGAGGGGCGACGCTCGGTGGAGGCCATGGTGGAGGTGGGCCGTAAGGCTCACCGCCGGCACGTCTCGGAGCTTGAAACTCGTAAGAAGGTGCTGGCGGAGATCGCCAAGGAAGTGGAGGAGGAGCGGGGGGCTGCCCTCATTGCCACCACCGTGATGAACGAGGCGCAGGACACCCTCCGCCTTCAATACGGGAGCTGGGAGGCGGAGCTAGGGAAGAAGCTCGACGCCGCCCAGGGGGTGCTTGACGCTGCCGCTGCCCGAGAACAGCGGGCGGCGGAGACCGAAGCGGCGTCCCGGCGGCGCGAAGACGCCCTTGAGGCGCGCGCCATGGCGCTGGAAGAGCGCGCCTGCGTCGTGGAGAGGGATCTGGCGGACCGCGAGGCCGCCGTCACCATCCGGGAAGCAACGCTGGCGGCGCACGAGGCTGCTTGCGCCGAAGAAGAGTTCACGCTCCGCCTCCGCGAGGACGCGCTCATCGAGCGGGAGCGAGCTCTCGAGGGGGCCGAGGCCGCGGCGCAACAGCTGGCGGTTAGCCTGTCCCTCCGCGAGGCAGCGCAGGAGGAGCAGGCACGCCGCAATCTAGAAGGTGCCCGCGCCGAGAGGGCCGTACTGAACCAACGGGCCGCTGAGCTCGAGGCGCGGGAGAAGGAGCTAGACGCGAGGGCGCGCAGCGGCGGGGCGGCCACGGGCGAAAGCGACTTAGCCGCCCGCCTCGCAGTTGCCGAACGCACCATCGCCGATCTGCAGGGCGCGCTGGACTCGTCCGCCGGGGAGGTCGAAGCCCTCCGCTTGGCAGGCGAGGTAGGGCCCGGCATGCTTTGGGACGCCGTCTCCCGCCTAGATTGCGCCGGTCGGCAAGTGGGCCTCTGGAGAGGGCGGACCGTAAAGTACGCCGACAACCAGGGAGGCCTCGCCCAGCGCCTCTCGAAGATGGCCGGGGCTCTCCAACGGCTCCCCGAGGAGCTCGAGAAGACAATTAAGTCATCCTCAAGGGACCTCGCCCAAGGAGCGGTGGAGCTCGTCCTGGCGAGTTACCAGGCCAGGGACCCCAATTTCTCTCCATGGATGGCGCTGGATGAGTTCCCTCCTGGGACCGAGGACCGCGCGCGTGCGCAGGTCCGGGATGCCGCCGACCATATCGTCGACAGCTTCGAGGGCTCGGCCCCTCGGCTTGCATTCGCCCCCAACTCCGACGAGGAGGGCAATGCCGGTGGTGCAGGCGACAGTGACGTCGAGGCCGGCGATCCGGGCGCATCGGATTGAGCCCCTAGACCCCCGCCATTCTTCAGTTTTTTCTTCTTTTCTTTCTTCTAAGGCCTTTGGGCCTCTTTTTTGTATAGATCAACTTAATCTGTAATCAAAAATGAAGAAATTTTTGTGTTAATTTCATCTTGCTGTGAGTATGAGATGAGGATGATCTGTGCCGTGGTCCTTTTGTGTCTTAGCTTGAATAAGGGCTTGTGCCCAGGTTCTGGTCCTCAAAAGGCGCGGGTCGGGGCTAGTTCCTGGGGAGATCCACATGTCGAGACTGGCCAGGCCGGGAACGTGGTGACCGAGGGTTATGGGTGACCCGATTGTGGGTTTTTGCCGATTCCCCCCCGGAGTTCACCACGCCTCGGGGCACGGCTCGGTTCTGGGCCCCGTTTGGCGATTTTAGCCGACCCGAGCCCCCGAGGGCAGGATTGAGCACGAGTGACCTATTTCAAGTCAAGATTCTTCAAAAGGAAAAAACAGCACAGATACAGCCTTTAGGAAATTGAAACTGCTTTTATAGAAATTCAGATATAAGAGAAATAAGAATATGCATATGTTGTAGCCCCCGGCCAACCCTGCACGCCCGAGGGGGGTGCGGGGTTGGCTCGAGCCCGAAACCTGACACCCGACCCCCCCCTCAGGGGTAGAAGCGACGAAGGTGTTCGATGTTCCACGGGTTAGGCAGCTCAGTGCCGTCGCCCGTGGCCAGCCGTATGGAGCCCGGCCGGGGGACGCCGACCACTCGATACGGACCCTCCCACATTGGTGAAAGCTTGCTCAATCCAGCACGCGTTTGGACGCGGCGTAGGACGAGGTCGTCGACGCAGAGTGATCGGGCCCGGACGTGGCGCTGATGGTAGCGCCGCAGGCTCTGCTGGTAGCGCGCGGCTCGGAGGGCCGCGCGCCGCCTTCGCTCTTCCAAGTAGTCGAGGTCATCTCTGCGAAGCTGATTTTGATCAGCCTCGCAATACATGGTAGCCCGAGGAGACCTCAGGGTGAGCTCGGATGGGAGAACCGCTTCCGCGCCGTAGACGAGGAAGAAAGGCGTTTCCCCGGTTGCTCGGCTTGGTGTAGTTCGGTTTGCCCAGAGCACCGCTGGCAACTCCTCGATCCATGAATCGCCATGCTTCTTGAGTATGTTGAAGGTCTTGGTTTTAAGGCCTTTGAGGATTTCCGCATTGGCGCGCTCCACTTGGCCATTGCTTCTGGGGTGGGCAGGTGAGGCGAAGCAGAGCTTGATGCCCATGTCTTCGCAGTAGTCGCCGAAGAGTTCACTAGTGAATTGGGTGCCATTATCCGTAATAATACGGTTAGGCACTCCAAACCGGGCCGTGATGCCCTTAATGAATTTAAGTGCGGAGTGCTTATCGATCTTGACGACCGGATAAGCCTCGGGCCACTTAGTGAACCGGTCGATCGCGACATACAGATACTCAAACCCGCCCGGGGCCCGCCTAAACGGTCCCAGGATATCGAGTCCCCAGACAGCAAATGGCCACGAAAGTGGTATGGTCTGCAGGGCCTGGGCCGGCTGATGGATTTGCTTGGCGTGGAATTGACATGCTCTACATCGCCGGACCAGGTCGACCGCATCATTAAGAGCTGTCGGCCAATAGAAACCCTGGCGAAAAGCTTTACCAACCAAGGTGCGCGAGGCGGAGTGGGCTCCGCATTCGCCTTCATGGATATCGGCAAGAAGCACAACGCCTTGTTCCCGAGGAATGCACTTCAGGAGGATTCCATTAGCCGCGCGCCGATAGAGGGTCCCTTCTACCAGCACGTAGCGTTTGGAGATGCGATGGACGCGTTCACTCCCTTCGCGGTCCTCGGGTAGAGTCTTATCTGTGAGGTATGCTTGGATCTCGGCGATCCAAGCAATCAATCTAAGGGAGTTGGAAGCACTCCCCTCGGGTCCCGAGGCCTGGACTCCGACAGGCCTCGGGGGCCGGTCAGGCGCATCCGTCTCCCCTAAGGGGTCGGGTCGCGCCGACGGCTGGGCAAGCCTTTCTTCAAAGGCGCCCGGTGGGGTCTGGGCTCGCGAGGACGCGAGCCGTGAGAGTTCGTCGGCAATCATGTTATCCCGTCTGGGCACATGCCGAAGCTCAATCCCGTCAAAATGGCGCTCCATACGCCGTACTTGGCGCACGTAGGCGTCCATCTGCGGGTCAGAGCACCGATACTCCTTACAGACTTGGTTAACGACCAGCTGGGAGTCGCCTAACACCAGGAGGCGGCGGATCCCCAGTCCAGCTGCCACTCTTAGTCCGGCAAGGAGTCCCTCGTATTCTTCCATATTATTGGTCGCTCGAAAGTCGAGGCGGACCAAGTATCTAAGGACGTCTCCGCTCGGAGAGGTCAAAGTGACCCCCGCACCGGCGCCCTGAAGAGACAGGGAGCCGTCGAACTGCATCACCCAGTGGGCGGTGTGAGGCAGCTGCGAGGGGTCCGTGCTGGCCTCGGGGATCGAGATGGGCTCGGGAGCCGGGGTCCACTCTGCCACAAAATCGGCGAGGGCCTGGCTCTTGATAGCGTGGCGTGGTTCAAAGTGCAAATCGAACTCAGAAAGTTCGATTGCCCATTTCACCACCCGTCCTGTACCCTCTCGATTATGCAAGATTTGACCGAGGGGGTAAGACGTAACTACTGTGACCCGATGCGCCTGGAAATAATGGCGCAGTTTCCTCGAGGCCATCAGAATAGCGTAAAGCATCTTCTGGGCCTGAGGGTATCGGGTTTTGGCGTCCCGGAGGGCCTCACTAACAAAGTAGACGGGCCGCTGCACCTTTCGGTGGGGCCGATCCTCTTCGCTAGGGGCCGCATCCCTGGGGCACTCTTCGTCCAAGCAGCCTCGCGGGGCGCACTTATCTTCTGTGCTGATGACCTCGGGGTCGGAGGATAACAGGGGCGGCCTTCCCACAGTGGCTTCGGAGCCGTCCTGGGGGTCGGGGGCTCCTGGCGTCGTCGGAAAAGCGGGCAAAGGGCCAACTCCGGTCGTCAGGGGCCTTAGGCCTCCGTTCGGCTCGGGAGCCTCTTCTCCCTGCTCTTTCCCGGGTCGGGTCAGCACATGGTTAGCCTCGGGGTCGAAGGGCGATAGGTGCGGCCTTCCCACAGTGGCCTCAGGGCCTTCCTGGGGGTCGGGGGCTCCTAGCACCGTCTGACAAGCGGGCAGAGGGCCAACTCCGGTCGTCGGGGGCCTTGGGCCACCGTTCGGCTCGGGAGCCTCTCCTCCCTGCTCTCTCCCGGGCCAAGTCGGCACAGGGTGGGGAAGCGTGAAATGAGAATTGTTCTCATCGCGCTCCACAACCAATGCCGCACTAACTACTTGCGGGGTCGCCGCTAAGTAGAGTAACAAGGGCTCGTCTGGCTCCGGGGCGACCAGAACTGGGGGAGAGCTTAGATACGCCTTCAACTGGGTGAGGGCATTTTCGGCTTCCTCCGTCCAGGTAAACGGTCCGGAGCGTTTGAGAAGCTTAAATAAGGGTAACGCCTTCTCTCCCAGCCTCGATATGAACCGACTTAGGGCGGCCATGCAACCGGTGACGCATTGCACATCCCTAAGTTTGCTGGGGGGGCGCATCCGCTCTATAGCCCGTATCTTCTCAGGGTTGGCCTCAATGCCTCGGGCAGAGACCAAGAACCCTAGAAGCTTGCCCGCAGGTACACCGAACACACACTTATCGGGGTTTAGTTTTATGCGGGCGGAGCGGAGACTCTCAAAAGTTTCCGCTAGATCTGAGAGTAACATTTCCTGGTTGCGCGTCTTTACAACCAAGTCATCGACATAAGCCTCAACATTACGTCCTAATTGGTTACCCAAAGAAATTCGAGTAGTACGTTGAAAAGTAGGACCTGCATTCTTTAACCCGAAGGGCATTGTCGTATAACAATAGGTTCCTATGGGGGTAATGAACGCAGTTTTTTCCTCATCCTCCCTAGCCATGCGAATCTGATGGTAACCAGAGTATGCATCTAGAAAACACAAAAGGTCGTACCCCGCAGTGGAGTCGACAATCTGATCTATGCGAGGCAGGGGGTAAGGATCCTTAGGACATGCCTTGTTAAGGTCGGTGTAGTCGATGCACATCCGAAGCTTGCCGTTTGCCTTGGGAACGACCACCGGGTTCGCCAGCCACTCCGGATGGATGACCTCACGGATGAATCCGGCTTCCAGAAGTCGCGCCACCTCCTCGCGGATGAAGGCTTGACGTTCCGGGGCCTGCCGCCACACTTTCTGCCGGACCGGCCTTGCGCCCGACCGCACGGCGAGACGGTGCTCAATCACCTCCCTGGGGACCCCGGGCATATCCGCCGGTCTCCATGCGAAGACGTCAGCGTTTGCCCGCAGGAAGGAGACGAGCGCGTCTTCCTATTTGCCGTCCAGAAGACCACCGATCCGTGTGGTCTTGGACGGGCCGTCGCCCAGGGCAACCTCCTTGACCGGGACCTCGTCGCCTGTGATCATCCGTTGCCTCGGGGTGGCGGGGGCGGAAGCGCCAAGCCCCTCGTCGCCACCCTCGGGCTTGGATGCAGCGGCGAGGTGGTCCGCGCGCTGCTCCAGACAAGCGAGCGCGACTTTGAGGTCGCCATGGACAGAGATGGGGCCACCGGGGCCCGGCATCTTCATCTGTAGGTAGGCGTAGTGGACCGCCGCCATGAACTTCACCAACGTGGGCCTCCCCAGGACCGCGTTGTAGGGCAGACTGAGGTCCGCCACATCGAAGTTCACCCGCTCCGTGCGGAAGTTGGCGGATCCACCGAAGGTGACCGGTAGGTCGATGTGACCTAACGGCCACGTGTGCCCCGGCGTCACACCGATAATTGGCTGGGACGGCCGGAGCACCATCCCCGGGGCCTTGATGGCGTCAAAGGCCGCAGGGGAAAGGATGTTGAGGGCCGCTCCCTCATCAATGAGGACACGCCCCAACTTCACGTTGCAAACGGTGGGAGAAACCACCATCGCAATCTGCCCTCCCCGGGCAACGCACGGTGGGTGGTCGGTCTGGTCGAAGGTGAGGGCAACCTCCGACCACCGCGCCCGACACGTCGCCTCATGAGTAGGGGCCGCGGCCAGAAGCTCTCGCTTCATGGCCTTGAAGCTCCGGCGAGAAACGTGAGCACACGCTCCCCCATCGACGGTGGCAATGGTGGCCCCAGGCTCTTGGAAACCTAGGTCATCATCACCGTCATCGATGTCCTCGGCGGGGGCCTTCTGCTTGGCCTCACTTCGCCGATTACCGGAAGGAACCGCCGGGGATTTGCCCTCTCGGCGCTCCTGCCTCCTCTCCTCCTCCCACTTCCTCGTCCGCTCAGCCAAACTTTTGACTGCACGGCAGTCCGCGAGGTCGTGAAGGGAAGTGTTGTGGACGGTGCACCACTTGCCGGTTGGGCGCTCCCTGTTGGGAGCGCCGGCCTCGTTCTTTTTGCCTCCCGCAGGCCTCCCCTTTCGGGTGGCCCGCGAAGCGCCCTCGACGGCGAGGACATGACCCTCGTCGTCGGTATGGGCTGACCTCTTCTTCCTCCTCCTGTCACGCCGCCCTATCTGAGCGGCGGATCCGGGGGCGGCCGAAGCTGCCACACCGGAACCGGAGGGGTTCCAGGTCCATGCCTCCTCCTTACGAGCCACTCGGTCCGCGAGCTGAAAAAGCTCCGCGGTAGTCTGGGGCTCCTTGGAGGCGATCTTTTCAAGCATGCGGTTGTGCCGCACACCCCCCCTGAACGCGTAAATCACCGCGTGCGCAGGGATGCATGGTATGGTGTTGCGGACTTGACAGAACCGCTGAATGTACGAGCGAAGTGACTCATCATCCCTTCGCTGTACTGCGTGCAAGTCCGCTTCCTCACCTGGGCGCGGATATGTGCCTTGGAAGTTCATGGTGAACTGTTGGCACAAATCCTCCCAAGAGTGGACAGACGCGGGTGGCAAGTTCATTAGCCAACCCCGCGCTTGTCCTTTCAGGGCCATGGGAAAGAAATTCGCCATGACCCTGTCGTGACCCCCGGCGGCCTCGATCCCGGTCGTGTAGACCTGGAGAAACTCGGCGGAGTTGACGCTCCCGTCATATTTTTCGGCGATGGTGGGCCGGAACCTTGGGGGCCAACGGACATTCCGAAGGCTCGCCACAAAGGCTCTACAGCCGACACCACCAACCGGGGGCACGGAGGGCTGATCCCCGCGTCCGTGGTGAGGTGACACTCCGGACGAGGAGGCGCCCTCCGTTGCGTGGGGAGCACGTCGGCCATTACGCCGGCGCTCGATACTGATGCGAGCATCCGGTTCCCCACGCAGATCTTCCCGGGTCGGAGGCGTTGACGAAGGAGTGGCGGCCGAATGGCGAACAGCGGCTGCCGCTCGCCGCGCCCTCCGTCTTGACGATGCGGAGCCGGTGGTAGCAGCACCAGAGGCCTTGGTGGCGGAGGACCGCCCACCAGCATCTAGGCGCTGCCGTGCAGTCATGACCAATTTGGCCACATCGTCCAGCCAACGTTGGGCTGGAGACTCCGGGTCATGGGCGACGGGCGGGTGACGTAGGAGCGCGCCCGCAGCTTGGAGCGCGCCCTGGGGCGTGCTGCCGTCGCCGTAGACGAGGAGGCGACGCTCCCCATCTCGCCGCCCTTCTCCACCTCCTGTGGGTGTCGAAGTCGCGGATCCTTCGGCCCTCTCGAGCGCCTTCTCCCGCCTAGGACTTTGGCGTGGAGGGGGCGGTGGAGTACGAGCTCGACGGCGTGGGTTTGGCTCCCCGTCGTCACCGCTCATACTCGGGGAGAGGTCGTGCGCCTTTGCTGGCTCGGCCATTGGGCTGAACAGGAAAAGCTTGGCGCACACGAAAGAGTGCGAGAGCTCAGAAAATCCCTCGCAGAGCCCCCTACCTGGCGCGCCAGATGACGGAGCGTGGGGCTCCTCACCGGGAGACCGCGCAGGCCCCCCTTTGCCGGTTCGGTCGGGGACTCAGGGAGAGATTCTAAGCTCTCTGTATGTGGAAGGCTCGCGAGACAGGAAACACACAAGACACGGGCGATGTATACAGGTTCAGGCCGCTGAGAAGCGTAATACCCTACTCCTGTGTTTTGGGAGATCTGTGTATGAAGGAGCTACAAAGTATCAGCCAGCCTCTCCCTTGTTCTGGGTTTCTAATCTGGAAAAGTCCAGTCCCCCATCTCAGTGGGCAAGGTCCTCCTTTTATATCTTAAGGGGATACCACATGCACCATTTCTCTCTTTTTTGTGGGGACTTACCCCACCTTTTCATAAACAGACGGAGACTTGTATGGTTGCCGTCCGAATGACCTTCTGATGGGACGGCCCATACCTACCTCCACTTCCGCCGGAAGCAGGCGCGACGTGGGAACATGGCTGTCTGCTGACGACATGACCAGTGTCAGACCGGTCACAAATCGGTCATTCTTGTCCACCACGTGTCAGTTTATCAATCTGCATGTTCGCCCTTCTTCATACAATATCTTGCCTGTAATGGTTAGGATGAAGCCTGGCATATATCTGACCAGGACTAACGTGCCATCTCTGGGAGGTAACACGCTAGCTCCAGCTGGGGACAAGCGCCTAGAAGCCCTCGTCCTGACGGGATGGGGCGAGGCGTGTGTCAGATCGCCTGTCGCCACCTAACCCGCGATCTGACCGGTCTGTGACTGGTCACAGACCGGATAAACGAGTGCACTGCACTGCGTTACATGCGGCGTGACACGCTCAGCCAAACCGCAATAAATGTGGTTAGGTGAGCCCCACTGTGCTCACCTAACCCATACACGCGGAGCAAAAACCCACGAGGGGTCGGGGCACCTCGGCCCTCGGGGCCGAGGGGGGTGCGGCCCGACCCCCTCGGGGGGACTAAGAGGAGGACGAACGCATCACCCTCGGGCCCGACGTCCCTCGGGGGTACCAGGCCACGTGTGCGATTGTGTCTGCCTCAAACCTCTAGTCATGATACTCCTGATCCCATGTCACCGACACCGTCTATCGCCATCAAATCGCAAAAGGTTCGCTAACATAGCAGGTGGAAACCTTAGCTCAGGCAGGCTGATCTTACCAGCCCTGCAACATAAGTTGTACACTATCCTTCTTTGTGTAACAGCGCTATCTCTTTTGACCCTTTCTTGGTACCAAAAGGCAGCACCACAATAAGGGCATTCATGCGACGGTCCACCATAGTAGGATCGCTCAGGGCACAACGCTGCATATTTGTTAGGTGCGAAGCAAGGAGATAGATGGAGCTAAAAGTACCAAAAGAACTAATCAGCATTGAACAGACCTTTCAATGATGCAATATAGTCCTTAGGCAAGGGCAGGACATCATCAAGAGTAGGCACTGGACCTATGTAGTTGAAAGTACAGCAAGGAGACCTCATTAAGCCATGACGGCTATCAAACAACACACTTGTACCAAGGGGAAAAAAGAAGAAAGAAAAAATGGCTATGCAGCAGGTTTACCATCCAGAATTTTCTGCAGCAAATGACCCGAGTCACCTCCTGCTCTCTTCAAACGGCGTCGTTCTCTATTTGCTGTAGCGGCATGCCGTGGCACATCTAAGAGTGTTCTTTTTCCTAGACCCAACGGCAGCATGGAAAGCTAAACATAAGCATCATTGGAGAGAACTATGGTGTAGAATGCAGATCATTGTAAACTTACTGCTAGGAGCGGGTTGTGAGTCATGCACAGGACACGACGTGCTGCCAATCGACCCGGTCTGAGACTCAACACCCACGTCCGAGATAGTAGGCAAGCTGAGAGCAGGTTTCGGCACACTCGGTATAGAACCTGATAGACCTGGGAGGACAGTGGTGAGCCTAGGGGCTGTAGGGCTAACATTGCTGAACACAGGAGCCTGCAAGAATCCTAAAAAGGGAAAACCATTTTTTGGGTGAGGCCCATCGAAAAAATCGTATGTAGCATTTTAAGCAATGCAAAGAAGCACGAACCCTGGCCTATAGAAGCACGTCGGCGCGTTCGACTTTCCCGTGCCCGCTGTACACGCTGGGAAGAGCTACCCGACATCGTGTATAGGGAAAATCCTAAACTGGGTAAGTTGCTCGACAGGAAGGGGGGCAGGCACAAACCAAATACCAAAACTGCAGAATCATCAGTAAGAAACCATGGAGCATTTAATATATAAATGGGCACGCACATACAAATCCAAACAACGACTCATCCATTAGAAACAGATACGCTGAAGAAAAGGTACTATTACACATAGTTTTACGAAACGCGTATCCTAAAACACAATTGTTTGGTGCAGTAGCTACTTCTATGGCCTATATGTGCTATAGAAGAAGTGGTCTTCCTTAACAAAATTGGACCACAGAGCAATGCACTGTCGCAGAATACACTCACATGACAGATCCATGGGACCATAGCGCGCCCGAAACCTAGCAAGGTGCGTCGAGGCCGTAAGAGCTGCATCGACTGCAGAGGCAGCTATTTGACGGTATAAAAGCAAAGTCTGCAGGTTGTAGTCGTGGACTGCGAACTCATACTTGGCAAACAGAAATCTAACAGCCTGATGTGCAACCATTTCATGGGAAACAATAGGCTGATCAGATGTAGCGATCCAAAAGAACTTGCTTACGGTTTTGCTGGGACTCTCATCGGATGGCAGAGCAAGCTCAACACCTGCTAGCAGGATATCATTCCCATCTAGCTCCCAGAGGTATGAGACGGATGGCAGGCGACAATGCCATGCGACGGCATTCAACAAAGAAACAAAGGAAACTCCCACAGCCGCCATCTTGGAGAAAGAGCTAACACTGCGAATCGCAGAGAAATATTTCAAAGGGCGTGTAGAGACGCACAGCAGTTCTAGCACTATCAGGCAGTACTATGCAAAAGCACTGAAGTGAGAAAAGGAAAGATCAGAAAGAGGCAAGCAGCTGCAGCTAGTATGGTTGTATGGGCCCATATGCAGTGCCTGGTAAGGCACTGAGACACATTTTTCCATATATAACATATATTATACTGTCAGTAACTATAGAGCAGGCACAGAACAAACCAACCACAATAAAATCACGAAATAAAGGCCAAGCGCAATGGAAAGAAACGCAGAAGAACAAATGAACATCAAAGCCGTAGAAGGAGGAGGGATATATACCTCGTAGGATCGAGGAACGCGTGCAGACATGGGCTAGCGAAGAAGCCAATGGGCAGAGTCACCTCGGCCGAGCGTCCTGGCCTACAGCGCGAACCCCACCAAGACCTTCGAGCGAAATGAACAGGGCGTCGAGGAGCTAAAGTCGTACACTGGAAGGCAAAAACAACAATCAAGATCCAGGACAATAAGGAAGCACAAAGCTTGAGTTAGGCAATATACCTAGATGAGCGGGGCAAATCCTAAGTGTCGACGCAGTATCCACAATGTCCCCTGCACACGCATACACATTCAGAATAGCAGTCAGGGAGAACGAAAGACATATGGGGCAGCATATCACCTGGTGCTCGCCATGTGCGCAACAGCGAAAAGGGGCAAAACGGGAGCAAAGCACACCAACGAACCGAACCAGCAACAGCCTCGAGCAGAACTAACGAACCGGGTATGAAGAGGAGAAGGAAAGGCTAAGACCATGACGTGGGCATCGGTGCTCGCGCGCACGCCGGTACGGTGTGTATGGACGTCGATTTGATGGTGCCTCACGCGGTGGCGTAGCGCGCGGCGCTCACAAAAAAACATGGCATCATACAGCTATAACCTCCCGGATGGGCATAGTGTATGGCAGGTGGGGAAGCACACGAAATTGACCCCACCTATCGCTGACTGCAACGAATAGATGCATGTGCATCAGGATTTTTGTGGTATTAACCAGCGGATAATTTCTCAGCTACTTTCAGTGGTGTTAGGTGAACGTGCTCCTAGCGCACGGAACACGCATATAGGAAAGCACCTGTGTGATGGGGGACCATGGTGCACCACGTTGGTAGGAGAACCACGAATAGACGTGTCTCACACAGAGAGACAGTGCATTGTCCTGAGTAAAAGTGGGCGGTGTACCAAAAGGAAAGCCTGTCAGGCAGGGAAGGAACTACCTAGCACCGGCGCACCATGGACCAAAGTGACTACCAGGTGGGCCATCGAGCGTCAGCTCCGTTGGTAGACAGGCACCCACGCACATCCCCACAGCGAACCAGGCACAGAGGGGAGCACAGCACAGACCATATAGAGCACAACAAACCTGGTGATGTCTCCAACCTGCCAATTATTTAAATATTAAAAAGAGCAACTTTACAGATAAAAGTAAGGTACGGTACTGTAGTTTCTTAAATGTTCTGATTCATGCCCTAAACCTTGCCCTGATCGCCCTCTTAAAACACGTTATGAAGCTAGCCTTATCCAATGCCTATTCTAAACCAGACTCTCTCAGACATTAACCGTCCAATATGGTCTCATAGAAATGTGAAGGGCTACGTGTATGCAACAATTTAGCAAATTTTGTGGTTCTCTTTAATATTTCAGATACATGTCCTTCAATCGCGCTCTGGGGATTCTAAGAATTCGCGTGCACCAGGTTTCTGATTCTATTTGCTTGCAAAATTGCAATCTTGGAAACTGGTGCGTGCGTGCGTTTTATGCGACATGCAGATTAGTGCAGACAACACACCGGAAATGGCAGACATAAGTCCATATATTACAAATCCCTTTTTACACCTACTCGCTGTGAAAATAATGTTGTTCAGGTATAAAGGGTAGACACGCTCAAATTTCCCTACTAAAAGCTGTTCCATGCGTGAACAACATCGCTGTTGCATGTCCTGCTTTGAAATAGTCATCTCAGTCTGTTGGTAATCTCTTAAAAGGCACTGAAATGTCTTTGCATCTGAATATGTTGGAAAAGCCGTTAAACAAAAAAACTGACAGCCCTACTTTCTCCTGTTAGCCTAAATTTCAAAAGGAGGTTGCTAGATAGCAAGAAACATGGCATATAGCTCTGACATACATGAGCACCATACATGGAGGGAACCAATCCTTTTTACATGAATAAGATAAAAGAAGAATTCACATTTGTTATTTATAATAGGACTGTACCTACCACCCTCCAAAGAAAGGGGCAACCTATCTCCATGTATAACAGTACCTTTCCATTGAATAATAAATCATATACATTAGATGAAAAGCCATAGGAAGACAACGTACATCTAAATTATCAGGTATAATCCAATGACTGATGCTCCCCTATTCACACCAGTTTATGAAGAAAATTTTTCAGAGTAATCTCTTATTCGATATCTAGGACATGGTACCTAGTCCCAAACTTAAAAAAAGTAGAGAACTTTCCATATTCTCATGTGGGTGTTAAATAAAATCCAAATATCAACGAAAAATTTTCTATGTTGGCCTAGTTCTGGTTAGCCTGGCCTGAATTCTAAAGGGGTCATGTAATCTAACAGTTTGCATCCGTGCAGTTATGCTTGAGGTGTTGTCGGCTAACAAAAAAAATCCCAGCAGGCCTAATTCTGCTTAGCCTGACCTAAATTCCAAAGAGGCAATGAACTTGCATCTGTGCAACTATGGCAGAGCCGTTGTCTCGGCAGGGAAAACACTGGGGAAACAAACACCTCGGATCTGTTTGTTCGGGCTATATACAAACACAACTAAAGCAAAATCTAACCATCACAAATCAGAATTAGCATTGTTCCGGATAAATGCAAACACAACCAGGGGAAAACATAGGAATCACAAATTTGTTTTTTCGTAGGCAGCCCATTCTTTGCAAGCGAAGAACATAGGAAGGAACTGTCTGTGGATTAACTTACCAAAAGTGAATATGGGAAGCCAACCAATATCATCATATCTGTAATCGGCAAACAGCGCTGGCGGCGCAGAACGGCGGAGCTTGGTGCCGCACGATGGCAAAGACTCGAGCTTGAACAGAAGGGGAACCAGCAAATCGAGACCAGAACATCGATCGATCCCCACACCATCGATTTGGCATGCCATCAGCAAGAAAGGAGGGAAGATAAGAGAGAAAAGGAATCAAGACCAGAACATCGATCCCCCACACCATTGATTTGGCGCCGCACCGTCCAATCACCTGGTCGACTGTAATCATGGAGGAAGAAAGGAGGGAAAAGGTGGCTGGGTGACGGCGGCGGGGATGGGCGGAGGAAGAAAGGCGGAGATGGGCGGGGGACAGCGTGAGCGATGCCACCCGCGGAAGACGATTGCGGCGAGGAGAAGCGAGGAAGGGTGAACAGTGACGGCTAGGATTTCGGCGAAGGGAGGGGATAGGGATGTTTTATTTTTGCGAAAAAACCCATGGCTTTCTTTTTTTTTCAGAGCACGGCCCTATATTTAGAATCTTACCTCCTTCGCGCTGGTCTTGACCATACAATGAGGGATCTAACAGTTATTATTATATAGATAGAGGATTTTTTTGCAAAACGCCACCTCTAGCGCCGATTTCAGCGAAGGGAAGGGATAGGGATGTTTTCTTTTTCCGAAAAAACCCATGAGTTTCTTTTTTCTTAGACCGCGGCCCTATATTTAGAATCGCGCTGGTCTTGGCCATACAATGAGGGATCTAATAGCTATTATTATATAGATAGAGGACTTTTTTGCAAAACGCCACCTCCAGCGCCGGGCGACGTGGATATCACCGGAAGCGAACACGCCAGCCAAAAAAGCCCCGGAGCGCTGTGGTGGCTCCATTTCGCGGTCCCCTTTAATCTCTCCGATATGAATACAAATTTTTAAAAGAAATTATATATTCTCAATTTTTTTTTTTGGCCACCATCACACCGATCGATCGATCAAACTTGATCGATATTCTGAATCATATTGGCAACACCGGAGCTCGTGCAGCGCGTCTTGCAGCAGCGAGTTGTGGTGGGACGCTAGCTCGTTGATCCCTCTCAGGCACCCCGTCCGCGCGTCGTAGTCCGCCGGGCCGGCGCGGCCGTAGAACGACGTCAGCGCCGGCGGCGAGCAGCCTGACGGGATCATCCCGGGGACCACGATGCTCTTCGCCCCGTGCTTCATCAGCCTCTGTTTGAAGAACAACAAAGAGAGATTGGTAGATTAGTTGCTAATTTACCCTGGTCTGATTGTCTGATCATGCTGATAAGTACTCCCTTCATCTAAAATCATAAGAAATATTTCTTTTACTAAAAAAATCAACTTATCCCTATATAACAAAACTAAAGAAATATATGTACGTATGCAATCAATAAATTACTTGGATTCTAGTCAACAATTAACTTTGCATATGAAGATTATAAATATGACCATCTTTTCAGAAAATCAAAAAAAATATATACTTAACACTTTTAGATAGAATGAGTATTAGTGAGAGTATTAGGTGCTTGCCACGATGGCCATGGAGATGGTCTTGACGACGAGAGGAACGAGCGATCTGGTTTGCCGCACGCTACGTTTTTTCAAGAACAAGAAGTAGTCGTTAACCCCGAATTCGCCCACGAAAAAGAGGGATCCCCCAAAGAATTCCTCGCATTCTGCAGCACGCTTGGCGTGCCATCCTCATCCGTGCTCTAATCTCTCAATAATCCCGGTTGATTAGCATGTACTAATGCGACACAGAGTGGTTAAATTAATTAACCTTGGGCCGTGCCGCACAGCGAGGGCATCAGCGACTCGAACCACGCGAGCTGCACGTCGAGGCTGGTGTTGAGGGGGAACTTGCTGCCGGCGCCGGGGATGTCCCTGTCGTGGAAGAAGCCGGCGTCCAGCGCGGTGGCGCCGGCGACGGCGAAGTTGGCGCCGCCGCCGAAGCTGCCGCCGTGAGCCAGGTACGGCGGCACGAACGGCAGACCGAGGCCGGCAGCTGCAGTCAGGCAGGCGGATTGATCACTCACTCAAGCAAAGTTCAGTGATGGATACCCTATTCGACGGCGGCGATGGGCGGCGGCGGCGACGTTACCGATGAGGTCGAGGATGAGCCGGCCGTCGCTGCTGCGGCCGGTGGGGTGGCCGAAGAAGGTCTCGCCGTAGGGAGGACGCATGACGTTGGAGGGGAGGGGGTACCACGCGTAGGCCACCGGCTTGTTGCCGGTGTCGGCGAAGGAGTCGCCGAAGTTGAAGATGGAGTGGTAGCGCCGGTGGCCGCCGGCGGAGAGGGAGGCCGACGCGGCCGCCGCCGCCGCCGCGGCCTCCGACGACGCGAGCAGCAGCAGCAGGTGCAGCGACGTGGCGGCGCACGGCAAGTAGCTGCCCATCTTGACTGACACAGTGACACTGCACCGGCGGCTGCAAAGCTTGTCTTTTAAGATAAAGGTTAATAGTATAGCCAACTATTAGCTCCAATTCATCTATAGCCAATCTAATAGCCAATTCATACAATAGTTGCTTACTATACTATTAGCATATGGTCCCACTGTCATACACACATTGTGTATTGGAGTCCGTACTGCAGCTGGCTACAGATTTGTAACCCGCTGCTCTTCTCTCTCATCTTTTATCTTATTAAAATATGTTTGCAGTTGGCTTATAGCCTGCTATTGTACCTGCTCTAATAGCAAGCTATAAACCAGCTATAAACATATTTTAAAGAGATAAAGGAAGAGAGAGAGAGGAGCAGCGGACTACAGATCTGTAGCCAGCTGCAGCACAGACTCCAAAACGTAATGTGGTATGATATGTGAGACCATGTATTAATAGTATATAAAGCAACTATTGTATGAATTGGCTATTATATTAGCTATAGATGATTTGAAGCTAGTAGTTGGCTATACTATTAAACTTGCTCTAACAAGGAAAAAGGGAATGATTCTGGCAAGTTAAACATTGACTTGGCGTCAATGGTTTCTGAGATCTGCAAGCAGGGTTGAAGAAGTTAATAATACTATCCAAGAATAATTCAGAGAGCAGGTGCTGTTCTTTGCTTACAGATCAGCAGTGAGCAAATGCTGAATAAGCAAGCTCTGTCCACAAGGCGTTACAATTTTGTAACATGTAATCTCTTACGACAAAAGAATCATCATCATGCAGGCAAGCAGTACTGTCAAAACACAGGATTCATTCCCCTAGTTCCCTACCTGGTAAGACAAACAACATGATAAACTAGGGGGCAGCTTCCAACGAGTGAGGTTCAGTGAGCGGCAGATGAGCTCTCTGCCTTGTTCTGAACATCCACCACCGGAGTGGATGCCTCCGTCGAGGTCCGCGTCCCGGTATCGGTCCTCCGCACATCTTCAAGCATCCTCACCACGTCCGACATCTTAGGCCGCCGTTCTGGGGTCCTTGAGACGCATGCCATGGCGATCTGGAGCATCTCCACCATCTCCTCCTCGATGTTGGGGTACCTCATCAGCTCGACGTCAAACACCTCGGCAGTCCACTCCTCCCGGACAACAGATTGCACCCATCTGACAAGGTGAACAACCTCATTGCCCCCACCAGTGATCTGAACAGGTGATCTCCCGGTCAGGAGCTCAAGTATGAAGACACCAAAGCTGTAGACATCTGAACATTGCGATGCTTTCCTCGAATCTGTGACCTCTGGTGCACAATATCCCAGAGAACGGGACCTTGCGGTGATTGGGTTCATCAGCGATGCCAAGCCGAGGTCGGAGACACAGCCATATTGCTGGTTGTTCAGGAAGACATTTGAGGCCTTGATGTTGCCGTGAACAAATTTCCCATTGTTCTCAGTGTGAATGTGTGCAATCCCTCTTGCTGCTCCCAGGGCTATCCTTACCCTGGTTTCCCAGTTCAAAGGTGTTCTGTCCTCCCCTCTCTTTCCTGCGTGGGGCAAAAAGAGATGGTTACGATCTGAACATCACATTCAATTATGGGTAGAATAAATACAATTGGGTTATCTTGCTAATTTATCCTGATCCATTTCAGATGAAGAAAAACATACCAACATTACTACAGCGGATCACAGAAAAATTCATGTGTTTTTTATTTTGTTGATGAAATATTGTATCTGAATTTAGGAATTCGGTCATTTATCTGCAATAAGATGCCGCATCTAAGGAAATATATTGTAATGCTACCATTCTGGCCTTGACATGACCAGTTGACCATACCAAGCATGCCATGTGAACTTGAATTGAACTGGCTCCACATGCAAGATTGCAAGTGAATACAGCTAAGAGCAATGGTGGAGCCTTATAAAATATAAGCTTACCAATCAGCTCATTCTCAATGAGCATGGCAAGTTTAAGACAGAAATCCAAAACAAGGAATATAAATTTAGAAGGTTCTAATTTCACATGGCTGCATATAGGCACTAGAGATATTAGAACTATATACCACTTAAAGTAAAACATGAACGGGACATCAAAATTGGCCCAATTAGAAAGGTAAAGAAGTCCCGAGTGGCATATTCAGCAAGAGTGAAAGAGGATAATTCACATTTATACTGAAATAAAAGGTTAAAATCAAAGCAGACAAGAAAGTATATATAGAAAGAGAACCAAATTGACCAAATGTAAACTGGGTTTTACCCCTAAATATCGCAAGTCAAAGGTCTCAAGTTCTCAGGTAGAAAACTCAAAATAATGCAGCCCCGTACCAAGACAAGGACCTGTCGAGTATTTTGTACCCTATATACTTCACTAGTTCAATTATGAAATACATCCAAAATTGTCCACCCTACCATTCAATCAACAGAAGTTTCCTGCCTCTAATTAAACAAGTATAGCTAACTTATCTAACTTCCATCACCTTCCCAAAAGACAAGCAACCTCATATATCTAAGCCATCACATTACAAATCATTTTCCTTCTGAATTACGACATCTCAATTTTTCTTCTAACTTATCGTGGCACCTTCTAAATCCTAGAAAAGCAGGTTCTTGAATATCACACCTATCATTATCATCGCCAGTTAACAATTAGACCTATTGACCGAGAATGACATCAATAAAATACAACAGTAAATTAATTGCAATGTACAATTTAGCATTGATATGATGATTGTGACATCCAGGATTGTTATGAGAAGTGAACCTGGGGGGTTTGAGGTTTCCCCTCCGGTTAGAAAATGACAGCAAGAACAAGAGCAAGAGCCATACCGTGAAGCATGTTGGATACGCTTCCCCGGCTATAGAAATCGTAGACAAGCAGCTTCTCGTCCTTGGAGTAGTAGTATGCCCGGAGCTCCGCCACATTGGCATGCCGAATCCGGCCGACGAGCTCCATCTGCTGCTCGAAGTCGCGGCGCCCGGCGCTCACCTCCTTGAGCCTCTTCACCACCACCGTGGTGGCGTCCTCCAGCACCGCCCGGTACGCCGTGCCGAACGCGCCCTTCCCAAGAACCTCGGCGGAAGCGCGGAGCAGGTCCTCCAAATCGAACGCCAATGCCGGGCCCTCGAAGAACACGATCCGGTTCCCGTCCCCGGCCTTGCCTATCACCGCCTTGGACTCCGGCGACTCCCTCCCCTTCTTCTCCCCGCTCTTGCCGGACACGACGCGGCTCACCTCCTCGTCGCCGCCGCCGCCGCTCCTGTTGCAGAACGCAATCAGGAAGACGGCGATGACCGCGGACACCGCGACGCACCCGCCGACGACAATGGCGAGGATGGCCGCCTGGCTGAGCCGCACCCGCCTCTTCGCCGGCGCGCCGGCCGCCGCAGGAGACCCCGAGGGCGGCGTCCCCGCTGGCGACGCCGACGCCGGCCGCGTCACGTTGTTCCCGGCGAACGCGGTGTCGTTGAACCTCAGCAACGAGGTGGGCACGGGGCCGTCGAGATGGTTGTTGGACAGATTCAAGAACTGGAGCGCCGGGAGGCCGAGGTCCGGGACGCGGCCGGAGAGGGAGTTGTTGGAGAGGTTGAGCGCGACGAGCTGGGTGAGGTTGGAGAGCGCGGCGGGGAGGGTGCCATTGAACCCGTTGAACGAGAGGTCGAGCACCTGCAGGGCCCGGAGCCGCGCGAGCTCCGGCGGGAGCGCGCCGGAGAAGGCGTTGAGCTGGAGGTGCAGCCCCGTGAGCGACGCGAGTGAGAGGAGCTCCTCCGGGAACTCGCCGGAGAGGCTGTTGGCGCGGAGGCTGAGCACCTGCAGCGCGGTGAGCCTGCCGAGCGTGCCCCGCGGCACGGGGCCGGAGAGGCCGAGGCCCGGGAGGCGGAGCGCCACGACGCGCGACCCGTCGCCGCTGCAGGTGACCCCCGTCCAGTTGCCGCAGACCCGCGGGGACGACGCCCAGTTGATGCGCCCCCTGCCGCCGCCCAGCCCCGCGAGGAAGTCGAGCAGCGCCGCCCTGTCCGCGTCCGGCTCAGCCGCGCACACCACCACCACCAGCGCCAGCGCCAGGAACGCCGCCAGGCACGGCAGCCTCGGCGGCGGCATGGCGGAAAACCAGCAGAAGCGGGGGAGAGTGCGTGTGGGTTTGGATCTGAGGAGATTGTGGTGGTGGAGATTGGAGAGGAGTCGAAGCTGCAGCGGCTGCGGCTGCGCGTGGTTGGGGAAACGTGCGCCAGGGGGGGTTCTTGCTGGGGTTGGGGTTGGTGCCGCGCGGGCGGGGCGTGGTGTTTGTTTTGCAGGATTTGTGGGGAGCGGCATGTGCGTGCGAGCGAGGAGAGGTGGGAAGGTGGTGGTGGTGGAAGGCAAAGGCGCCGCGCAGCGTGGGCGGGGGCGCGCGGTGCACGGGCCGTGTCGGCTGAACGTACGTACGATTGGGCCGGGCGGGGCGGTGCACGAGAGTACGAGACCGAGACGGGTCGGTCGCTGTGGCGCACGACGGCGCCGCGCCTGATGGCTACCGTTTTTTTTTTTTTTGGGTTGGTTTCGCGTGGTTGGCAACTGGCAAGCGCGACGCGACGGGGCAGGGCACGCCTCGCCTCGCCTCGCCTCGCCTTGCCTCGCGGGATTTTCACGTGAGCCCGATGCGTTGATAACTCATATGCCGCCCCTGGCGGCGGCGGCGGGGGCGGCAACCGGCAACGAGACTGGCACGGGATTGTGAGCGCTTCGGGCTAGAAGCCTCCTTTGCTGGCTACCATTTTTGTCACCTGGGACGTTTTGATGAGGGAGAGGTGTTTCACAGTAGTCTCTATTATCAATACAATCAATATGAACCGTTCATAATTTTTCTAATTTTTTTCACCAGATAGACCAAAGAATTGGCCAACCAAATTTTATTAGGAGAAGAAAATGAGGTTTACAAGCGTTTACAAGATTGGCCCACCAAATTTTATTACGCTGTCGAGACAGGGCGACAACCGAACCGATCATCACCCCCCCCCCCCCCCCCAAAAAAAAAAACAGAGCAGGGAGCCAACTAATCACATTCCCAGAAAATTACTGATCGCATTAACATACTCCAATTCCGTTAATCGCAGCCATGTGACCGCGACATGCTTTCACTACATGTGCCCACTTCCTGTCCATGTCCAGTGAGCAACCAACCGAAGTCCCAACGACCCTACATGTCGTTCGTTCCCCTTCCCAAAGTCAAAAGAACCAAACTTAAACGCGAAAAAAAAAACTTAACAAAGTTTGACAAATGACGAGAGCTGAAAACTGCATTAGCAAGAGCAGTAAGATCACACTACATATGACACATCCACATCAACCAACGCAAGCAGCAGCAGGAAGAAGTGGAGGGGCCTTTGGATTGGCCCGGCGGGAAAAGCGTGGCGATCTGCCATGGACTTTTGTACAAGCAAAAAAGATTGCGAGTTTGGAACCGTGATGATTGCATCCAACGGCAACTGTTCTTGGAAAGAAAGAAAAATAACACTTACGAAAAAAAAAGACGGTGAAGAAGAAGAACACCAGAAAGACAAGTGTGCCATCCCTGCAAGCTTGACTTTTACTTTTTGTCAGATCAGACAGACAAGTTTGAACCATCTATCGCCAGCAATTTGCTGCATCTCTCTGGCAGTTTCATGCTTGTGGGGCACTGACAGCATTAGCATGCAGTTTTACCACTACTCTAAAACATCATCAGGGGGGTAATCATTGTCAACGCGAAGGAATCAAGCAGCAGGAGATTTGCATGATGGATATGAAGCTGCTGGTGCTACTACTACCAAAACCAAAAAGGCTGTTAGCTCACGCTAATTGCTTTTAGCTTTAGCTTTAGAGTTCAAACAAAAGAGACGTACGGGTAATAAGCAACTAAGCACACAAACATAACAAGGCTAGCTTGTACGTACCCGTCTCTCCTCTTATTACGACTCATAGCATGATGGGTTTGCGATTGCATCATTGGCTCATCATTGAAACGAGGTTAAATCAATTCGCCGCTATAGTTAGTTTAGTCGACGCAATTAATTAAGCAGTATTTATGTGGATGCTGTTCCCAACTACTCGTAGTAGCTGCATGGAGGGACGCATTTGCATGCCATATTGCGCAGGCTGGAAACAGCAATGGTGTTTATTCCAAACGGAGCAACTGGAATACCAGCCTCGTATAAATATACGTACAGCCGTACACTGACTCACTGCTCACCGGCCGCCGTCTCCGTTTGTCGTACACAAAACTCACTGCTATATACACCCTCCATCCTAAAATAAGTTCATTTATAGGTCTCTATGGTTCAACGTCTGACTGTCAATCTTATTTAAATAATTAAAAAGGTAAAAGCCATATAAGTATTATTAATATTTTATTATCAAATAATAATAAAAATATTAACCATAATAAAAATTTTAAATAAGACGGAGAATCAAACGTTAAATATAGAAACAGTATAAATGAACTTATTTTTTATTTTGAGATGAAGGGCATACCTCCTCCTACTACTACAGTACGATAAATTAATCCATCTGATCACCATGTGCCTCTGCAATATTGTGCATTTCTGCATGCTTCCGTGTACCATACGAAGCAGTATTTGCACGCGTAGCTCTACGTATACTAGTACTCGATCTCCTCGAGATTTATGTATGGGTCGCCGTTTTCTGAAGGCTGGAGTTTTTTGTGTCCTTTTTTGCAGGGACTTCATTTGGCTGTGGATGCTGGGTAGATCGACATGGAAACGGACCACCGAGTACACCATGATTTGCAGGCACATGCGCATACGTACGTACCCTACCCCCTCATCTCATCCACCGAACCCTCGAGATTTCAATCAATTCTCGTCTACAACTTGTACCGTTTTTGTTTAATCTGTACACTGCCATACGGCTGATTAGTACCACTACCATCTCTTCTTGAAAAATAAAAAAGGCTATTGTAATAGGATATCTTGGCATCATGCTCTTGCTGCCGTGGCAACAGAAAATAAAGGCAAAGCGATGACGCTGGAGCTTGGATGTGACCAGTGATCTGCATCCGATTTCAAATCGTTTTGTATATGGGTGACTTTGAGACGTTTCTCCATCACGCATGGAGGAGCAATCAACAAAACTTTTGGCTTTTGAAGTTGTGAAGTGATTATTCCATTGTCGGCTCCTTTCCCTTGGTTTGACAGATCTGCTAAGCAGATAGGAGTAGTACAAAGGCGGGATTAGGAATCGTGTTTGACGGTTAATTCGGTCCCGCAATGTAGCTGAAGCTGCTCAACTACCATTCAGAGTCACGGATTGACAAGGAGATTTGCAACTTGCTGGCAGAGTAGCTGGGCAAGAATGCAAGATAACCTACCGGATAAAACCAAATTAAAGCTTCCGGGTAAATTAGACTTTGCCAAGCAAAATCCTCACCTCGTAGTCTCGCACAGCTCACTGCATCACTGTAAGGCAAAGGCTGGCACTGTGAACTTGAACAGTCCGTAGTCCGTACCCTTGTTCATTGCGAGAACAGTCTCAGCTTATCAGCAGCAGCAGCAGCAAAAAGCCAGCAAGGGGGGGGGGGGGGGGGGTCGCCGTCGTCGTTATCGAGCGAGATGAAAAGGCGATCGATCAGGCGAGCGAAGGGACGAATCGTGTGATGGATTGATGCAGCTGTAGTCGCCAAGGCAAGGCCAAAGCCAAAACAAGTAGCCAAACAAAAGGCAGCAGCAACACAACAGGATGCGGGACAGGACACCGGGTGGTGGGGTTTGGACTTGTCATTTCTCGCCCGTGAGAGGTATCCACGGATGCACGCGCGACATGTACAGGGGGCGCAACGCAAAGCGACGAGCCTCATCCTGCACCGCGCACTGCAAAGGATCGTGTCCTTATTTGTGCTCTTGCCATTGTTATACTATTATTACATGATGGGCTAGGGGTAATGCTGCATTTGTAAATGAAAAATGAAGGTTATTATTAACGGTTAATAACCTGCAGGAGTTGTTCCAGGATATATTTGGGCTTGACAGTGACTTGTGCATTGGCACAGCCCACACAGGTCGGCACCATCAGATGGGCCAGCATTTTGAGCCGACACTTTTGCCCGGGGGGCTAATATATACTCCTCCGTCCAACAATATAAATATATTTAAAGAATTTGAATTTTGTTAAAAAATATAAGAAACATTTTACTGCTAACTACCATTCCATCCCATTCACCCCTCATTTAATGAGATATATGTTAAAGTTTTTTCTTCTCAACCTTAATCTCAGTTAAATAACATAGAAATGTTTATATTGTTGGATGGATGGACAGTTCAGACAGCTAATAGTAAAGCACTGTAGTAGTCCGAAAGAGTGGTTAATGTGCAAATGAAGTTATACTTATGCAAGACTTCAACCACAACATAATCCCATTACAAAGAATTGACAACAATGGAACATAGTTCAGACTAAACAGAGTTCAAAGACAGCTACATAGCCGAATACTACAAAACAAATAGAATAGAGTGATACAGATCAAGGTCAAGAAACACGCAATAAAAACTACTAGCAACTGAAGAGATCCAATATCAAACTTCCACAGAATATAAATCACTATCATAACCGTCCATCAGGTTTTGAAAGGAAGCCGGGATAGGAGGCAATTCAACGCCGACAATACCTTCCAACATGTGAATAACTTGCCTCATTGATGGCCTGTGGATCTCATCATCCTGGATGCACCAACAAGCAACTCGGCAGGCAACATCCAGCTCCTTCAAACTCGCATTTCCTTCCAGCCTGTCATCAAGCAAGCATAAAACATCTCCTTCGTTCACTTTAGCAGCAGCATAAAGGGGGAAATATCGATGGTTTCCATGTTGAATTTTCTCCGTACTCCTCCGCCCTGATATTATTTCGAAGAGCAGGACACCAAAACTATAGACGTCTGCCTTGTAGGTAATAGGCTGTCCAGATATCCACTCTGGTGCAAGATAGCCAATGGTTCCTCGGATACTGGTGAGTACCGCGCTGAATTCCCGTCCAAGAAGCTTTGCCATACCAAAATCTGCAATTTTGGGGCATAACTCCGCATCAAGTAGTATATTTTCAGGCTTAATGTCACAATGTATGATGGAGTCCCTGCATTCCTCGTGCAGGTAGGCCAAACCTCTAGCAATACCAATGACAATCCGATGGCGAAGATTCCAACTTAATACCCTTGAGGTTTCTGAAAAGAGATGAGAATCCAAAGAACCGTTTGGCATATACTCATAGACTAGCAACCTTCTAGTCCCTCCAGTACAGAATCCCAAAAGACGGACAAGATTAGTATGTTGGATCATCCCAACAGTCTGCACCTCTGTCCGGAATTGCTTCTCTGTGTGCCCTAGGCCTTTGAGCTTCTTCACAGCAACAATCGTTGAACCTGCAATTGTTCCCTTGAAAACACTTCCAAAGCTTCCTTCCCCCAGTTTGTCAGAGAGGTTTCTTGTAGCTTTCTTGACCTGTGCATAAGAGTACACTGCAAGAAAACCTTCCATTTTTGCCTGGCTTGCAACACATGAGGATCTCTTCTTGTATATCAAGAGAAGCATCAACATGACAAGAATAACCGCTATTGACCCAAAAATTAGTATGAAAACCAGTATGTGCAGCCTGCTTTTATTTGGAGAACCTATACGCATATAAATCTCGGTGTATGGAGGGTTATCAGCTAAAGTCAAATTAAGCAACATGCTGTGCCATATCTTGCAGCCAGAATGATATGAGTATGCTGCGCAGAAGCATTCGCTTAGACAGGCAGCTTGACATTCTTCACTAGTTGCTGCCGTCACATTCTGAGGATTGTCAGGAAAGCCCTGCAAGTTGTCTAACAAAACAAACGAGTCGGTGGAAACAGCACCTTGACAGTTTGAGGGGGTAATTCTAGAGCAGCCACTAACAAAATGTCCAAGCTCCCATTCACTTGGCTCCGTTGGACTGAAACCATCAATGCATTTGCATGTTCCTGTGCTTGTGCACACCACAGTGAAAAGCACTAACTTTGCAGCTGGAAGGGTAGCTCCACACAGGTTGCCAACCACTACTTGTTGCATTATTTATCCACTTCAACAAACTGACTTGCCCCAGATGCAATTTCATGAATTCAATTTCATTTGGAATTTCTGGATCATTTAATCGTACCAAACTGCCATTTTCTTCATAGGTAACCATCCAATCTGGAAATGTTCCAAGATAGTCATGCCCATCAATGAACATGATAAATCCCCTCTTCCTACTTTGGTCAATCATGAGGGTACAATTATAAGGAGGCTTGTACAGGGTAAGCAAGATGTTGGCTCCGATGACCATATCCAATCCAAGCCATGCTCCTGGGAGCAGTGCATCAGCTGGGTGATCAAAGCTCTGCCATACGACCATAGAAGAGTTGAGCTGATCTCTTACTACAAAGTTTCCAGTATTAAGGATAACTGCCACAGCAGTGTCTGATGCATTTTTCATTGAATTTGAGGTCCATAGAACAGAGCCAAGCTCCTCAATATAAAGTTCACCGGCATCGATATACAATGTTGCATTAAGGAAGTTAGTAATGGGAATCCTGTTTCCCAGCCAGAAGTTTACTGGATTGCTGCTTGTAATGTTCTTGTATCGTATGCCGAGGTAGTGCTTTGTACCACTTGGGGAGAAAAAACCCAACTCAAAAATGCCATTTTCTGATACTAAGGTTTCACTGCCTGAGAGAGGTTGGCCAGGAAAAAGGGTATTTGATGCACTTGCAGCATGGCTACCCAGAAATAATATAATCAAGTTGAGGATCATTGCAGCAGAGAGGGCAGATAAAGAATGTTTGCAGTTCAGTTCCTATGTGAAAGCACTATCTCTGAAGAGGAGACAGGAATACATAAGGACATGAGCAACATGAACATACTGAACAAACGAAATTGCAATAAGGATAGATACCTTGAGTAACGATTGAAGAATATTCATGCTGCTCCCGTTTCCATCATAGCCTGTGCACTTCGCCGTTTACAGTGGAGACTAGATTTGTTTAGAAACAGGAAGAAGAATGTGTTTGCCACCGAGATATTTCTTTTGCACTAAAACTGATGAAGACAGTCAACTATCTAACAGTCACATACTGTACCAAACTGGTCAAGCACCTTTATCTCAAAAATGCTATATATAAAAATAAAAAAACGATGTCTTTTCCAGCTTTTCTTTTCATCGATTGTACTATCACTGCTATAAAACCGGCCCCGATAGCACGCTGAGAACCAAACGTGGAAGAAACGTCATAGGAGATCCAAACACGATGACGACACCGAGGAACGATATTTGTTAACGAGGTTCAGCCGAAACCTACATCCCCGGGGCACTAATTACGGGCGCTTCTCCCCGATCCAGCATATTACAGCGTATTAGAGTTACAACGACTCATGGCCGGACGCCACTGGCAGCCGCTCCCTCTCGCAATACTAAGTCGCCATGTGCGGTTACAGCAGGTCCGCCCCTCTATTTAAGAGAGGTTCTAGGATAGAGTCTGACTCTTACTCTAGTCATAACACCTAGTACAACTCCAAGTCCTAAACTGTAACTGACTTTGTACACATATTCGACACAAACTCTAATAATCACTTTCCAAGTTAGGGAAATGGCCATTCGGTTGGACAGCTACTGTTTTGATCCACATGTGCTTGCTACGATCAGTGATGTACTTTCAGCACTGGCATGCAGACGATGTCATGAATAGAAGTACAAAAGTGCATGCATCCTGAAACAAGAAGGGATTTCCTCTGGAAAAGGAAACCCTTAAGGGAGAGAATATGTGGTGTTAACAAGAGATTTGTCACTACGGGAAGAATTATTGGCCAATTTTAGCATCTTAGGAATTTAAATCAACATAAGGAAGGAAAATGGAACGAGCAGACCATTCTTACTCGATAGGTAGACCGTTTCTGACTTTATGAGACATTTGCATCCCACAACCCAACATGATCTGTTCCAAGTACCATTGACTTGATATGATCCAAGACTGGCCTAACATTTTTTATCTGGTCAGAATTATAGTTCATGGTCCACCAACGTTAGCAGCTTCCAATAAAAATGGAGCATATCATGAATGAACAACATATAGTGGTACATTACTAGCACAAACGAAAACATTGGGAAAATTCACATAGAGGTAGGATAAGATGCAAACAGTCTATGCTAATTTAATGCAAAATTCTGTGATCTTCAATGATGCAAGATATGCATTGTTGAACTGTATGCAATGTTTCATTCCACTTGAATGTAAAGTTTTCCATGTTAACAATGAAAGGAGTGCATGAAAACAAGAGAAACTGTCACAGTGCTGACTTGGTAGCAAGATATTCGAATTAAAAAATGGTTTTATCTGCCAGAAATAAAAGACTCAGAATTCTGGCAGTTGGTAGTAGTTTTGGTAAATACACACCAAACAGTTAGGCCTGGTAATTTTGATAGTGCAGCATCACCTAGATCTGCACTGATCTTTAAACATAAACTAGGGTGTGCCTTCTTTGTTCAGTTGCCGTTGTAGGTCCGCATGTGAGGAAACACGACGAGTTTTCAAAAAGAAAGAAAACAGTGGTAGTTGAAAGATAACAATATCAGGATGCTTATATTGGAATGCACAAAACTTAACCAAAAGTGGAGACACCGAACTATGTCATTGACTAGCATGAAACAAAAGAATCAACATGGACAAACAAGCTTCATCAGATAGCACACACCATAACCTTTTCCTAACTAGCTTTATCATGCACCCTTAGCAGAAAAAACTTTGCTGTTTTTTAAGCCTTGTGGTTTTCTTGACTTTTATATAGCTTTTAGTCAAACTTTTTAATATATGAAGTATGAATACCACCAGTGTCTGTTCCAAATGACAGTTGGTTAAGTTCTTACTTTGCTTTTAGCAAACGTTAGTTATTTGCATAAACAGGGATTGGACCCAGTTCCTTCACATTGGCAGGGATTTTAGTTTAAAAAATCACAACAATCCTGAAAGGAAAGGATTTGACCTAATCCCCATCGACTGATAGTCAAACAAGTGATAGTGAGTTACTAGCACTTTTCATTCCTCTACTTCCAGATCATGTATATTGTATGCATAAGCCACTTGTGTTGAAGATTTTATAGTGCAAAAACTTCTCAGTTAAACTATGCGTCAGCCAGTAATCTATTTCTAATAATTGACCTTCGACAATGGAAGCTAGAAAAGAGTGCATATATCATGAACAGTGCTCATGTGCCTGATGACTAACGATGATCTTAAAATTGATGATAGAACTGCTCTAACCTTCCTGTTTTTGCTCGTTCAGAATGGAGTTTGCGTTAATCCTTCAATTGATGGCTCCTGTTTCAGCTCCTCATCAGTGCATCCTGCTAAAAAAGACCACTTTACTGGACAAATTAAAACAGTACACCCAGAAAAGGTCACTTTAACTTTAACTTATGAAGCAGTGGAACTTGGAAGTGTACAGATGCCAAATCCAAGCATACAGCCAAAGAAGCATAAAATTTAGATTATTATAAGTGGCTCAAAATGTGCGGATAAGGTGCCGAATTAATTAGTTTGCCATTGTCAACTCAAGTAGCCCCCCATGGACCCATAAAGCCACATGACTCTTCGCTGCTTTTCTTGGGTCAAACATTTCATGACTGATCGTCTGTTCTTCCCTTCCCCTTAATCCGGCTTTCACATTCTTGCATCACTTTCCCCTGCTATATATATATGGTCAGTATATATCCACAATTCCACATAGAAAGGTCAGTGATCAAATCAAACTTGACAAGACTGATAATGAGTTGATATAGTTACTAGTGCAGCTGATTCCTGCCAACATCAACCCTTAATGTGGCTTTCACATTCTTGTGTCACTTTCCTTGCTATATATATATGGTCAGTATATATCCACAATTCCACATAGAAAGGTTAGTGATCAAATCAAACTCGACAAGCTTGATAATGAGTTGATAACTAGTACAGCTGATTCCTGACTACATCAACCCACAATTGAGCCAGTAAATTGCCCATGTGGATTTAAGCCGTTTAGATATTCGCCCTGCACTAGTTTTCATTCGTCGTTGGTTTCTGTTTTTTTTATACGCTTGGTTAAGATATTAATAAGTGCAAAGATTTTGCAAATTAGCTTGTTCTGCGAGGAACTACAACCTTAGAGAAGAATAATTAGAGAACAGGTATGCAGTTTGCATCCGGCGTCCCTAGGAGTGCAGATGCAAACGAACCTTAGGGTTGCGGGGGCCTGACGACGAACATCCCGACATGCCGTCGCCCTCGTCCGCACCGTATCGTCGGCAGCCGCCGCCTCCTCCACGCGCGGCTGCTCGCCGTCGACCGTCCCCCGCCCGCAGTGCGCTGGACCGCGCCGGCCGGCCGGCCGGCTGGCATCGGACACCCACGCGGCGCCGGCGCGGGTTTCCCCATCCATCCGCCGTCTCCCCCTCCGGAAGTGATTACGTTGTCGGCTCCTTTCCCTTGGTTTGACAGGCACAGTGCAAAGGCGGAATTAGGAGTCGTGTGCTAATGACGGATTAATTATATTTAATAAATTTATCTCACGGTTTTTAAGTGAGTTTTAGTTTTTTTCATTCGTATCAGAAAATCCCTTCCGACATCCAGTTAAACGTCTGATGTGGCACCTAAAATTTTTTTTTTCACGAAAAAAGAGGTGTGTTTAGTTTACACCAAACTTCCCCGTAACTCCCAACGTTCCATCACATCTAAAACTTTCCTACACACATAAACTACCAAACTTTTTTTCCAAACAACCAACTTTCTCCAAACTTCTCGCTAACTTCATAAACTAACAATTTTGCTATATATTTGTCGACAAATTTTCCCCCAAAAATTTGACAGATATAATTACAGTACAATCGTAATATAATTACACTGTAACTTGCATGTCATTACACTGTAACTATAATGTAACTTGTACGTAACTTTCAAAAATCTCTCCGTAACATGTTATTTGGGTCAAATGGAAGTCGTGGGAATAAATCTTTTCACATATGTGTGTGCTGTGATTTTTTTTCTTCCTCACCATAACAAATCTTGTATTTCCACTGTTTCACAATGTAAGTCATTCTAGCATTTCCCACATACATATTGATGTTTATGAATCTAGACATATATATCTATCTGGATTCATTAACATCAATATGAATGTGGGAAATGTTAGAATAACTTACATTGTGAAACGGAGGGAGTAATAAATTTAAAGATTCAAAATTACGTGAAACTTACATACAAGTTATACTGTAGTTACATGCAAGTTACAATGTAATTACACTACGATTGTACTATAATTACATCTGTTAAATTTTTAGAAGAAAATTTGTCAACAAATGTATAGGTGGTCCCTAAACTAAACACAACCAAGGCCTAAATAGCCAAGGCAACAGGACACGGGGCAACTTTGGGGCATTAACCTCTTGTGCTCTTGCCAATTGCCGTTGTACTACACGATGGGCTAATGCTGCATTTTTTGTAAATAACAGTGATGAAGGTGATTATTAAACCCATAATTACCGACACGGAGTTGCAGCACTGAGCTTGACAGTGAGTGAGCTCAGGTTGTGGGTTTGCCACGGCCCACAGCTCAACACCGTCAGACGGGCCAACTGTTTCGCCGTCTCAGGCAGAAAAGAAGTCCATTTTACCTCCCTCATACAATTGCAATCCATCATTACTCCCTCCATTTCATAATGTAAGACTTAATAGCATTATTCATATTCATATAGATGGTAATGAATCTAAACACACATATCTATCTAGATTCGTTAACATCTATATGAATGTGAGTAATGCTAGAAAGACTTACATTATGAAACGGAGAAAGTACAAACTTGCGCGCAAAAAAATCGACAACAATTGTGCAAAGTTCAGACGATACAGAAAAGTATGATCAGTTCTGATTAAACTGAACAAATCGACAACAATTGTGCAAGGTTCAGACTGATACAGAAAAGCATGATCAGTTCTGATTAAATAGACAACATCAAGGTCAAGAAACAAGCAATAAAAACTACTAGCAACTGAAAAGATCCGATATCAAACTTCCACGGAATATATATCACTATCATAATCGTCCATCAGGTTTTGAAAGGAAGCAGGAATTGGCGGCAATTCAACGTCGACAACACCTTCCAACATGTGAATAACTTTCCTCATGGATGGCCTGTGGATCTCATCATCCTGGATGCACCAACATGCAACTCTGCAGGCAACATCCAACTCCTTCAAACTCGCATTTCCTTCGATCCTGTCATCAAGCAAGCATAAAACATCTCCTTCATTCACTTTAGCGGCAGCGTAAAGGGGGAAATACCAATGGTTCCCATGTCGAATTTTCTCAGTACTCCTCCGCCCTGATATTATTTCGAAGAGCACGACACCAAAGCTATAGACATCTGCCTTGTGGGTAATAGCCTGTCCAGATATCCACTCTGGTGCAAGATAGCCAATGGTTCCTCGGATAGTGGTCAGTGCAGCGCTGAATTCCCGTCCAAGAAGCTTTGCCATACCAAAATCTGCAATTTTGGGGCAGAACTCTGCATCTAGTAGTATGTTTTCAGGCTTAATGTCACAATGTATGATGGAGTCCCTGCATTCCTCGTGCAGGTAGGCCAAACCTCTAGCAATACCAACGACAATCTGATGGCGAAGATTCCAACCTAATACCCTTGAGGTTTCTGAAAAGGGATGAGAATCCAAAGAACCATTTGGCATATACTCATAGACCAGCAACCTTCTAGTCCCTCTAGTACAGAATCCCAAAAGACGAACAAGATTATTATGTTGGATCATCCCAACAGTCTGTACCTCTGTCCGGAACTGCTTCTCTGTGTGCCCTAGGCCTTTGAGCTTCTTCACAGCAACAATCGTTGAACCTGCAATTGTTCCCTTGAAAACACTTCCAAAGCTTCCTTCCCCAAGTTTGTCAGAGAAGTTTCTTGTAGCTTTCTTGACCTGTGCATAAGAGTACACTGCAAGAAAACCTTCCATTTTTGTCTGTCTTGCAACACATGAGGATCTCTTGTACATCAAAAGAAGCATCAGCAGAAAAAGAATAACCCCTATTGACCCAAAAATTAGTACGAAAACCAGTATGTGCATCCTGCGTTTACTCGGAGAACCTATACGCATATAAATCTCAGTGTACGGAGGGTTATCAGCTGAAGTCAAATTGAACAACATGCTGTACCATATCTTGCAGGCAGAATGATAGGAGTACGCTGCGCAATAGCATTCGCTTAGACAGATAGCTCGACATTCTTCACTAGTTGCTGCCATAACATCCTGAGGATTGTAAGGAAGCCCCTGCAGGTTGTCTAACAAAACAAACAAGTCAGTGGAAACAACACCTAGACAATTTGAGGGGGTAATTCTAGAGCAGCCACTACCAAAATGTCCCAGCTCCCATTCATTTGGCTCCGTTGGTCTGAAACCATCAATACATTTGCATGTTCCTGTGCTTGTGCAAATACCAAATGCACCACAGTGAAAAGCACTAACTTTGCAGCTGGAAGGGTGGCTCCACACAGATTGCCAACCACTAATTGTTGCATTATCTAACCACCTCAACAAACTGAGTTGCCCCAGTTGCAATTTCATGTATTCAGTATCATTTGGAATTCCTGGATCGTTTAATCGTACCAGACTACCATTTTCTTCGTAGGTAACCATCCATTCAGGAAAGGTTCCAAGATACTTGTCATGCCCATCAATGAACATGATGAATCCCCTCTTCCTACTTTGGTCAATCATGAGGGTACAATTATAAGGAGGCTTGAACAGAGTAAGCAAGATGTTGGTTCCCATGACCATGTCCAGTCCAAGATATGCTCCTGGGAGCAGTTTATCAGCTGGGTGATCAAAGCTCTGCCATGTGACCACAGAAGAGTTGAGCTGATCTCTTATTACAAAGTTTCCAGTGTTAAGAATAACTGCCACAGCAGTGTTTGATTCATTTCTCGTTGAATTTGAGGTCCATAGAATAGAGCCGAGCTCCTCAATATAAAGTTTACCTGCATCGATGTACAGCGTTGCATTAATGAAGTAGGTGATGGGAATTCTGTTTCCCAGCCAAAAGGTTATTGGATTGTTGCTTGACATGTTCTTGTATCGAATACCCAGGTAGTGCTTTGTACCAGCTGGGGCTGAGGGGAAAAGGCCCAACTCAAAAATACCATTTTCTGATACTAAGGTTTCAGAGCCTGAGAGAGATTGGCCAGGAAAAAGGGTATCTGATGCAACTGCAACATAGCTATCCACAAATAATATGATCACGTTGAGTATCATTGCTGCACAGAGGGCAGAGAAAGAATGCTTGTGGTTCATTTCTTATCTTCAAGCACTATCCCTGAAGAAAAGACAGATATACATAAGGAAATGATTAATATGAGCATAGAATGCTTGCAGTTCAATTTCTTATCTTCAAGCACTGCCCCAGAAGAATAGACAGGTGAACATAAGGAAATGATTAATATGAACATACTGAACAAACAAAATCGCAATAAGGATGGATACCTTGAGTAAAGATTGAAGAATATCCATGGTGCTCTGGTTTCCATCGTAACCTTTCCGCTTTTGCAGTTTTCACTGTGGTAATTAGATTTGTTTAGAAACAGGAAGAATAATGTGTTTGCCAGTGAGATCTTTCAATTTATTGCACCAAAACTGATGAGGACAGTCAACTACCTAGCAGTCATGTACTGTTGGTATGACACCAAACTGGCCAAACATCTTTATCTCAATAGCGCTATATATAGCTAAAACTGATGACTTTTTCATCTTTTCTCCTCATCAATTATACTATCACTTTCCAAGTTAGGGAAATGACACCATTCGGCTGGAAAGCTATTGTTTTGATCAACGTGGACTTGCTATGACCAGTGATTTACTTTCATCCCTGGCATGCTGATAATGTCATGAATAAAACGACAAAAAGTACATGCATACTGAAATAAGGAGGGATTTCCTCTGGAATAGGAAAACCGCAAAGAGGAACAATATATGGTGTTAACAAGGGATTTGTCACTATTGGGAAGAATAATTGGCCAATTTTAGCATCTTAGGCATTTCATTCCAATCACTATAAGGCAGGAAAAGGCACAAGCGGACCATTTTTTTACTGGATAGGCAGATCAATTCTTTCTTTCTTTCTGAGACATTTGCATCCAAAAAGCCCAACATGGCATGTACCATTGACTTGATATAGTGAGAAACTGGCCTAACAATTTTACCTGGTCAGAATTTTAGTTCATGGCCCAACATTAGCAGCTTTTATTAAAATGGAGCATATCATGAATGAATAACACATGATGGTAAATTACTAGCACGAGAAAGCATTGGGAAAAAAATCACACCAAAGCAACCAATCTATGCATCTAATGCAAATTTCCACAATCTTCAGAGATGCAAAACATGCATTATCGAATTATATGCTATGTTCCATCCCACTCGAATGCGAAGTTTTCCATGCTAAAATTGAAAGAAATGCGTTAAAACAAGAGAAACGACAATTGCTGACTTGGTGGCAATTGTGGCATACTCGTAGAAAAAAATGTTTTATCTGATATAAATAAAAGAACATGGGAAATCTGGTGTTTGATAGTAGTTTTGGTAAATACACACTAAGCTGTTAGGCCTGGTAATTTTGATAGTGCAGCATCACCTAAATCTGAACTGATCTTTAAGCATAAACTAGGGTGTGCATTCTTTGCTCAGCTGTCCTTGTAATTCCATATGCGAGAAAACATACGTTTTCAAAAAGAAAGAAAGTGGTAGTTGAAAGATATAAACAATCTCAGCTTGCTTATATTGGAATGAGCAACACTTAACCAAAGGTGGAGACATGGAACTATGCCACTGATCAGCATGGAACAAAAGAATCAACGTGGACAAACAAGCTTCATCAGATAGTGCACAACAAACCTTTTCTTATCTTAACCAGCTCTGGCTAATCCACTGTTTTTTTTCCTTCTCCATAATGCGGCTTTTAACATGTTTGCGTCGCTCTCCCCCACTACATAATGGTCACTTGGTCAGTATAGATCCACAATTCCACATCAAAGGTTTAATCATCCAATCAAACTCGACAAGCTTGATAGTGACTTGTAAAACGCTGACTCCTGCCGCCATCAGCCCAAAACTGAGCAAGTCAATTGCCCATGTGGATTAAATCCGTTTACTGACTCGTCCTGCGCTAGGGCTCATCCAACATCCATGGTTTAAGAGTAAAACTTGCGGGGAAATCAGAACACCCCTGAGTTTTTTTTTATTCCAACATTAGAGAGGGCAATTCAGAAGAGAACTGATTAGAGAAACACATTCGAGATATGCGGTTTGCATCCGTAGGAGTGCAGACCTTAGGGTTGCGGGGCTGACGAAGAACACGCCACCTTCCGCATCGTCGGCAGCCGCCTCCTCCACGCGCGGTTGCTCGCCGTCCACCGGTCCCCCGCAGTGCGATGGATCGCGCCGGCGGCCGGCATCGAACACCCACGGCGGCGCCGGCGCGGGTTCCCCATCCATCCGCCGGCGCATCCTCCGGCGGCCCCCGCAGTGCGGCGGTGCTAGGCCTCATCGCCGGCCGCAACAACCCACGGGTCACGGAAGCCCACAAGAAACGCAGCGGACCCCGGCCCAACTAAAAACGGGCCACACGTACGTCGCGTTCTGAAACTAGTACAGGCCGTGCTATGAAACGGAATCTTATTTGGGCCACTAATTGGGCTGGAATGAGATTCACGGGAGGGTAACTGGCGGTATCGAAGAAGCCCGTTTTCTCCATATCAACCTTGCAGATCCGGAGGTGGTTGACTGGTTCTCTGCCAGTATGCTGATTTTGCGCTGCACTCACCAGAGAGCTTTGAGGCAAAAATGTAGTAGGCCACACTGCTAATTAATTCCATCCAATAATAGAAAAAGATTAGCAACTACTCCTTCGGACTACTTTGGAGAAAAAGCAAACCCTTTCCTAATAAAAGAATGCTACCACTTGTGAAAAAAGGCACGTTGATTGGACTAGTAGTACTACTACGTAGTAGTAGTAGTAAATTTAATTTGTTGTCTGCTTGCATGATGAACGGCAGGGGAGCTGCATCTGCCTGGCATCTTGGACGTGGGCACGTGCACGTAGGACCAGAACGTCAACGGTTCATGCACTCGCGATTTTATCGCACGAATTGCAACTTATCATGATCGTGACCGCAAAACAGCGGCGAGTTCAGAGGTGATGATCGCGACAGCACTTCCGATCAATCCATGGCGTGCTCGTTTCTCTGCAAGCCATGGCTGCCATTAACGGAGAGCGCGAAGCCCGCTCGCTCGCCGGCGCCGTCTTCCCGCGCAAGAACGGTGGTGCAGCAGCTCGCCGTCCTCTTACTACTGCTCGGCGGCGTCGGCGGCGGCGGTGGCGCGCTGCTTGCCGCGGCCGCGTCGACGACGGACACCATCCTCCCCGGCGAGAGCATCACCGGGAACCAGACGCTCGTGTCCAAGAACGGTGAGTTCGAGCTCGGGTTCTTCAACCCGGGCGTCGGGATCCACTACTTCCTCGGCGTCCGCCTCAGGAAGCTCGCGGCGTACAGCCCCACGTTCTGGATTGGCGACAGGGTCTACGTCGTCGACCTGCCTCGCGCCGCGCTGGAGCTCTTCGGCGACAGCCTCTACATCAAGGAGGACGGTGCCAGCCTCTGGTGGTCGTCGCCGTCGTCCTCCTCCTCCTCCTCGGGCGGCGGCCGCGGCGGCGGCGCGGCCGTCGCCGTCCTCCTCGACACCGGCGACCTCGTGGTGAGGGACCAGAGGAACTCCTCCCTGGTGCTGTGGCGGAGCTTCGACTACCCCGGCGACGCGCTGCTGCCGGGCGGGAGGCTGGGGCTCGACGTCGCCACCGGGGAGAACGTGTCGCTCACGTTCGAGGGGTTCACCCACAACGGCAGCCTCCGGGCCGACGCGAGCAGGAGGAACGGGTTCGTGCTCACCACCGACGGCCGCGACACCCGCGGCGCGTTCCCGGACTGGATGGTGACCACCCAAGACAACGGCGGCTCGCTGGTGCTCAACCACCCGGACGCCACGAACTCCACCGAGTTCCTGCAGCTCAAAGTCGGGCAGGTCAGCCTGGTCCGGTGGTCGGGCGCCGACGCCGGCTGGGTGCCTCGCTGGACGTTCCCCTCCGGCTGCAAGTCCGGCGGCGGCTTCTTCTGCGGCGACTTCGGCGTCTGCACGACGGCGACCGGCGGCGAATGCCGGTGCGTCGACGGGTTCGCGCCGTCGGACACGAAGGAGTGGGGGCTCGGTTACTTCGTCACCGGCTGCTCGAGGTCTCTCCCACTCAGCTGCGACGCCAACGGCCAGACCGAGCACGGCGACTCCTTCGCCATTCTTGACAATCTCCAAGGCCTCCCTTACAACGCGCAGGATGAGCCAGCGACCACCGATGAAGATTGCAGGGAAGCTTGCCTGAACAAATGCTACTGCGTTGCATACTCAACTGAAACTGGATGCAAGCTCTGGTATTACGACCTGTACAATCTGAGCTCAGCTGATAAACCTCCATACAGCAAGATCTATGTCCGATTGGGTTCCAAGCTCAAGAGCAAGAGGGGATTGGCCACAAGATGGATGGTGCTCTTGGTTGTTGGATCAGTAGCTGTAGCTTCTGCAATGTTGGCAGTGTTGCTTCTATGCAGGTACAGGAGAGACCTGTTTGGATCCAGTAAGTTTGTAGTAGAAGGATCTCTGGTTGTCTACTCATATGCACAGATCAAGAAGGCAACGGAGAATTTCTCCGATAAGCTCGGCGAAGGCGGATTCGGAAGCGTTTTCAGAGGTACATTGCCTGGATCAACCACTGTTGTTGCTGTCAAGAATCTCAAAGGGCTCGGCTACGCAGAGAAACAGTTCAGAGCAGAAGTGCAGACGGTTGGAATGATCCGGCACACTAATCTTGTCCGTCTCTTGGGATTTTGTGTCAAAGGGAACAGAAAGTTGCTGGTCTACGAGTATATGCCAAATGGATCCTTGGATGCTCATATCTTTTCACAAAAGTCCAGTCCTTTGAGTTGGCAAGTTCGATACCAAATCGCGATCGGCATCGCAAGGGGTCTAGCATATCTACACGAAGAGTGTGAGCACTGCATCATACACTGCGACATTAAACCCGAAAACATACTACTCGACGAGGAATTCCGCCCCAAGATCGCGGATTTCGGCATGGCAAAGCTTCTTGGACGAGAATTCAACGCGGCACTTACCACCATCCGAGGTACCAGGGGCTATCTCGCGCCAGAGTGGCTGTATGGGCAGCCGATTACCAAGAAGGCAGACGTGTACAGCTTCGGCATCGTGCTGTTCGAGATGATCTCAGGGATAAGGAGTACTGTCACGATGAAATTCGGGAGCCATCGGTATTACCCCAGCTACGCGGCTGCGCAAATGCATGAAGGAGATGTTCTGTGCTTGCTGGACAGTAGGCTGGAAGGAAATGCCAATGTGGAGGAGCTCGACATCACCTGCAGAGTCGCCTGCTGGTGCATCCAGGACAGAGAGGGTGACAGGCCATCGATGGGGCACGTCGTTCGCATGTTGGAAGGTGTTGTGGACACGGAGATGCCCCCAATTCCAGCTTCGTTTCAGAACCTTGTGGATGGTGATGACAGTGATATATACGAAGAAAACTGGCGTTTGAGGACCCAAGATTAGTGCCAGTTTCCCTTCCTGTTTTCAAAGGGAGAAGTATATTGGTTTCTTGCTGGACCTATTTGATTTCAGCAGATTGATCAGTCAATAGAAATTAGACATGTATGAACTTGTATGTTGCAGTACCTGTAAATGTATAGTGAAAGTTGCTGCTCTAGTCTCCTTTCCTTCACATTATCTGTAGTGCAGATATGCGCGTGCACAAAACTGGAGGATCACAAAAAGGTCTAAATTGCGAAGCTCTGATCCGGGCAGGAACTAGTTCGTGAAATTGTAGTTATACACACTTGTAGCCGTCCGATCACGATCGATGGACGGCCCCTATGCCTCGCGTCGCGCCCACTCACCCTCGCCGCCGGCGGCCTGCCACCCTCCGCCGCCGGCGGATACCCTTCGTCGTATGGCGCGGCCGCCGGAGGATTGCGATTCGCTAGGGTCTCTATCCCTCGGGTGGCCTCGTGTCGCTTCGGTTCCGCTCGTTTCGCTGTCGCCTGACATGATCGGGGCGGAGATGGCGCCGGCGATGGAGGAGGCGGTGGCCGGCCGTGGTGGACGTACGCCGGAGGAGGAGGAGGCGCGCCTTCGCGTGATCAGGCGGGCGCAAATTAAGGTGCCGTTTCTCAACCTCCGATATGATTCGCTCGTCCATCAAAGCCATATGGATGCTTGCCCTATGCTGTTCCTTCGTTTTAGCAGTGAATTAGTATTGAAAATTAACATGATGTTTGGATGTGCAGCGACTGATTTTGCTTGTGATCTATTACTAGCTAAAGTGTGTGAGCTATTGCAACAAGCCAATAAATAAATCAAACTTGATAATGCCAGATTACAAGCTACGAAGGGAATGCTGTATCCAATCTGGCTTTCTTTCATGATTGCCATTGAATTTCCCTGCAACGTTTTCTTTCTAAGGGTAGGAGCTAATTAGCTATTTAGGTGCCAATGATGTGAAACATACAGGATACAGTCGTGGGTACAATTGCTCTGATATTGCCATAGCTAATAAGTTGATGCTTTCTTCGAATGGTTTTATGCTCATCTGCAGACTGCAGTAGCACACAATATCAAAAGGAAGGTTAGCAGGGCAGCAAATTTTGAACTTTTTTATTGCATTTACAGCTAGAACATACAGTTTGTGCATGTCTAGTTTCTACTGATTAATGCACTGACTCTACTGATCATTCCACTGACATACTACTTTACACCTGCCTAAATTCACTGCTGAAAAACTAGTTTGTGCATGCCTAAATTCTAACCGATTAGTCTGCTCACACCAAGCAGGTCCACGGAGAAACCGAGAGTATCATTCTGAGAAACTGGAGGGGAAGCTAGAACTGATCTCGGGTCCTGAAATTCCAGCTTTCTTCAGAGTATATACCACTGTCTTCACTCTCCATGAGGTTCTGAAATGAAGCTGGAATTGGTGGCATCTCCATATCGACAACGCCTTCCAACATGCGAACGACTTGCCCCATCGACGGTCTGTCATTCTCTTCATCCTGGATGCACCAACAGGCCACTCTACAGGTGATGTCAAGCTCCTTCACGTTAGCATTTCCTTCCAGCCTGCTATCTAGTAAGCACAAAACATCTCCTTCATTCATTTGTACCGCTGCATACGTAGGAAAATAGCGATGGCTCCCAAATTTCACTGTCTCCGTAGACCTTCTCCCTGAGATTATTTCAAAAAGCACAATGCCAAAGCTATAAACATCTGCCTTTTTTGTAATAGGTTGCCCATATATCCACTCTGGTGCAAGATAGCCCATTGTCCCTCGGACGGTGGTCAATGCAGAGTTAAATTCTCGTCCAAGAAGCTTCGCCATACCAAAATCACAGATTTTGGGGCAAAATTCATAATCAAGTAGTATGTTTTCAGGTTTAATATCACAATGTATGATGCAGTCCTCACATTCTTCATGCAGATAGGCTAGACCCCTTGCAATACCAAGTGCAATTTGGTATCGGACATGCCAACTCAGCAAACTAGATTTTTCTGAAAAGATGTGAGCATCCAAGGATCCATTTGACATATACTCATAAACCAGCAACCTTCTATTCCCGTTGACGCAAAATCCCAAGAGACGGACAAGATTAGTGTGTCGAATCATTCCAACAGTCTGTACTTCTGTTCTGAACTGCTTCTCTGCTTGCCCAACACCTTTCAGATTCTTCACAGCAACAACAGTGGTTGATCCAGGCAATGTCCCCCTGAAAACACTTCCAAAACCTCCCTCACCAAGTTTATCAGAGAAATTCCCCGTAGCCTTCCTGATCTGTGCATAAGTGTAGACAATAAGAGAGCCTTCTACTTCAAACTTACTGGATGCAAACAAGTCTCTCCTGTATCTGCATAGAAGCACCAGTCCCAACATTACCGAAGTTACAGCTAATGATCCAACAACCAAGAGCACAATCCATCTTGTGGCCAACCCCCTGTTGCTCTTGAGCTTGGAACCCAAACGGACATAGATCTTGCTGTATGGAGGTTTATCAGCTGAGCTCAGATTGTACAGGTTGTGGTACCACAGCTTGCATCCAGATTCATTCGAGTATGCAACACAGTAGCATTTGTTCAGGCAAGCAGCTCTGCAATCTTCATCAGTGGTCACTGGTTCATCCTGAGCATTGTAAGGGAGGCCTCGGAGATTGTCAAGAATGGCGAAGGAGTCGTCGTGCTCGGTCTGACCGTTGGCCTCGCAGCTCAGCGGGAGAGACCTCGAGCAGCCGGTGACGAAGTAGCCGAGCCGCCACTCGTCCGGGTACGACGGCGTGAACCCGTCGACGCACTCGCATCCGCCGCCGCCGCCGGCCGTGCAGGCGCCGAAGTCGCCGCAGAAGAAGGCGCCGGACTTGCAGTCGGAGGGGAACGTCCAGCGAGCCACCCAGCCGGCGGTGGAATCCGACCACCGCATCAGGCTGATCAGCCCAAGATTGAACTGCAAGAACTCGGTGGAGTTCGGGGCGTCAGGGTGGTTGAGCACCAGCGAGCTGCCGTTGTCTTGGGAGGTCACCATCCAGTCCGGGAAGGCGCCGCGGCTGTCGATGCCATCGGTGGTGAGCACGAACCCGTTCCTCCTGCTCGCGTCGACCTGGAGGCTGCCATTGTGGGAAAAGCCTTTGAATGTGAGGGAGACGTTCGTCCCGGTGGCCGCGTCGAGCCCGAGCCTGCCGCCGGGGAGCAGCGAGTCGCCGGGGTAGTCGAAGCTCCGCCACAGGACGCCGGAGGGGTTCCCTTGGTCCCTCACCACCAGGTCGCCGGTGTCGAGGAGGACGGCGACGGCGCCGCCGTCCGAGGAGGAGGAGGAGCCGTTCCCAGCGACGCTGGACCACCAGAGGCTGACCCCGTCCTCCTTGATGTACAGCTTGTCGCCGAACACCTCGAGCGACACGCCGGGGAGGTCGATGACGCCGACCCTGTCCCCGATCCAGAACGTGGGGCTGTACTCCGCCATGTTCCTCAGCCGGACGCCGAGGAAGTAGTGGATGCCGGAGCCCGGGGTGAAGAACCCGAGCTCGAACCGCCCGTTCTTGGAGACGAGCGTCTGGTTCCCGGCCATCCCCTTCCCCGGGACAACGGTGTCCGTCGACGCGGCCGCCGCCAAGAACGCGCCGCCGCCGCCGCCGCCGGCGAGCAGCAGGAGGAGGACGAGGAGGAACGCCAGCGTCGGCGCCATTCTTCCACGGGAAGACGGCGACCGAACGCGCCGCACTAGCTCACCGTCGCCATCACCATCAGCGGCCATGGCTTTGCTTGCAGTTGCAGAGAGAGGAACAAGCAACCGAGCACGCCATGGAAGAGGAAGACGAGCCCAACTAGTCCGGTTCGCGTGCGGTGTTGTCAGCCGTCGGATCTGGAGAATGGAGGGCCAGATTCGTTCCCTGCTCAGCTCGGGGATTCCCTCGTAGAGCGGCACACTGGCAGTCTGGTACACGGACACGCCTTTGCTATTTTTTGAAAGCAATGGGCGGGTCGGCAACCCGTGCTGTGTGAATTTCAGCTGTTTAGGTAGGCAAGGATCAACTTGGATACAACAGCTCCTAATCTCCTATCGCTATCCGTTAGAGGATAATGCAATGCACGCAAAGTTACTTTGTTGACCATCGTCATTTAGATCGGGTTCGTTTCAAGGTGATGGGAACTACTCCATCTATAAGTGAACTTAAAACGGAATGATTCGTTATCACATAAACTTAATTAAGTATTAGTTTTTCTTAGAAATAGATTATATGTTTTTTAAAACAATTATATATGTATATTATATATACATATATAATTGTTTTAAAAATTATATATACATATATAGTAGTTTGAGAAAATTGAGTTGGTAACTCCAATAAAAAAACTCAGCCTAAAGAAGTGTGCTAGTGCTAATGTCCCACTGTTTTAGTGTTTTATGGACATATTATCACCGATGATGATCAAAAGGGGCTATAAAAGTGATGTAGTGAAGTGATGGAAGTGACTGTTCTTTCTGGGCCTGCACGTGAGACCACTTCCAGGCGGGGATGGTTGCGATCTGTTCTGAACTCTGATCTGATTTTGTCTATGATGTCCACCGCAACTCCCAACCTCACCCGACACGGCCATACATGGGTGCCATGTGGTCGGCGAGCTCCTCCTTTAGAGGGCTCAGCGATGCTCGGTGCTCGACGAGTGGAAGCTCGCCGGTTGTCCAACAAGTTGTCGGAGGAGAGAAGATAGAGAGGAGGTGGCGAAGGAAGAAGATGACAGGCAACCTTGTTGGCGTGTTACGTCGGTAAACGTAGCAAAAAATTAAGAAGTTTTTATTCAATGGTAAAAAATCAAGTGCAATTCTAAGAGGGGTATTTGGATAATTGACAAACCTACCTAATAATGGCAAATAGTTAAATTCCCCTATCACCGATGGTCAATTTTTTTTCATAGCATTTGTAATTTGTTGTCTGTAAGGGATATAAATGGGGCTATAGATCTTGTTATTAAAAGATTACCCTTAACCCTCTCCATTTTTGTTTGGGCTTAATTTACTGGACTATTGGGCTGTAGTGATGTAGTGAAGTGACTGTTCTTTCTGGGCCTGCACATGAGACCACTGCCAGGCCGGGCTGGTTGGCCTCTGTTCTGAACTCAGATCTGATGGGCTCTTTAGTGAAGCCCATTATAGCTGTATCATGGGATTTTTAGATAGGCCCTTCTTAGATAGGGTCTTTCACATAAACTTCTTATCCCAAACTTCACTGAAGATGCAGAGATGCCATGCATCCAGGCTGTTCATTTGTTCAGCCTGAACAGGTTTCTGCTCTTTTAATGAACTCCAGCTTTCCTGTTTTATATGACTTGGGGAAAAAAATAAAGTTAGTATAAAGACAAGTGGTCAACCTGAACTGAATGTGGCAAATATGCATTCAGGTTGATTTGATGTTCTCCATGCCCCCTGAGCTCAACAGTGCTTTCCTTGGGGTTATCCTGGCCCAGCTTCATTTAGCAGATTGCTGCAGATTATGGTTAGCCTTTGCACCACTCCCTGCTGTTCCCCTCTCATGTTTTTTGACTAAGGTTGGCCATCATGTATAAACATGGCCTCCCAGTAATCATGGCCACTTCTTTTGTGCTAGTGTGATCATGGGCTCAGCTCCATGAACTGGATCCAGATAACATTTCCAAAGACGAATACTCGATGATTTGATTGATGTGTGACAATGTACACCGTAAACTAATCGCCACTTGAGCTTGAGATGTATGTACAGGTGAAATTTGTCTAACTGATTCTGAAAAAATGCAGTTTTGGACATGCAGGTTGCTTTCAAGACAGAGGTGTTTCCTTCTGAATACCGGTGGCGGTGGAACTTTGATTCAGAGTATCTTGAACTCCTGAAGAAGCATGGAGCCCAGCAGGAAGCAGGCCAAGCACTACAAGTTCCAAGGCTATCAATACACCTCGTATTGTCATTGACATAAACCACTCCACTAATTCCTACTAGATACTGGTATCAAGATTTACATTTGAGAGTAACTTCAGTTAAAAATGTTTTTCAAATGATTCCTTGTAGTGAACTACTGTGAATATGGTCTAAATTGATAATCCTATAGCTCTCTGACCTTGCATTTGCTGTAACCTACTCATAAGCACAGCAGTTACTGTGCTCATCATCGTCCATTTCGCTAAGCAATTTTTTTGCAGGGTTCATATATGATATGATCATATGAATCGTCGGTGGTGTTTTTGTAATCTAAAACAGAGGAGCATGGCAACGCTGCAGCTGCCTGTGCAGCGCATGCGGCAAGTGTCAGCCAGATCCTGTTGTTTTTCTCCCTCTCTCAGGCATGCGTGCAAAACGCTGACATGGAAAAAAAGGACTAGCCACTCGATTATTAGTTATGGTCTATGGATTTTTCTCCCTTCTTTTTGACAGTATCAGTGTTCTTTCTCTTTTAAGGATGGAGTACATTTTTTAACATCCCAAAAAAGAAGCTCGATTCAGACTTTCAGAGCTTTGTATGTGATCACTGAATCCCTGAAAAGATGCTTCCTTTAGCCCCAAAAATGAACCTTTGTTCGATATATTTTGAACATTGGATAAATTAAAGAGTGTGGTAGTCACATTATATTCTGGTCAAATTCAATTCTCGATTTCAGGTTGTATTGTACTTATCGATCGCTTCGCCTTTGGCGGACCAAGATCAGGCAGGCCCACTGACACCAGAGATCATCAGGTCACATGTAACTGACGGCCCAAAACCACGTCTAGTGGTAACGTGACACTACATACACCATGAATGTTGTTGGTACATGCAAGTCGAAGACGTTATTTTTTTACATGCAGTAGAGGCTAAAAAAACTTTTCTGACGCTGTTTCTGCACTTCTCTGCAGTCTGCAGCTAGCTGCTCCGTCGGCTCTGCATTTCGGTGCTCTGAAAAATTGCAACGCAAATCAGCGGCGAACCGTGAAAAAAGGCTCATCGCCATGGCAGCGCTGCGAGCATTGGCTGCTTGCCTGTTCATGATAAGATAAAGCAAAAGCAATCTAAGACTTTGGTTCACTCATTTTCTTGGCCCATTTCACCATTTTGCCATGTAAAAATGGGGATATCAGGAAGGATTTCAGGTTCAGGTTTGCCATCTTGTGGATGCATTTTGCAAGAGAAAATATGTGGGGATTATTGAGAGGGCAGCCAATTATTGTGATGCTTTTGTAATTATGGTTCGTGTTTTGTGGGTTCCTTCCTTTCATCATGTTTTCTTTTCACCGGCTTGCATAATTGTGCCTGACCGGCTAGGCCAGTTTCCAGCTCATTCGAGTTGCTACAAATGTTGCAGCTCGCATGTACTGTAAAGGCGAGCGCAGCTTCTGCAAATCTTGTCCTCGCAGAAAGCATTTTTGGCTTGTACCAAAAGCTCTCAAGCAACACGATGGCTGTAATGCGAATTATGCAATACGAGTACTACTGTACCATGTTCCAAACTTTTTTTTAAAAAAAAAAAACATATTGGCAATGCTTCCTGTTGTCTGACTTCAGTTTTTTTTCAGTGATACAATCATGGAGATGAGGAAAATAATGTTCAGTTCTGCACATTGTTAGCACATTATGGTCACTGAAATTATGATCACCGAAGTAGCGAAGTATTTGAAAGACAGGAAAAAAATGAAGTTGGAAATATTCTGTTCCACTTCCCAGAAAATAGTTTACTTGAACTGATGCTTGTTAGAAAAAAATGCTGATATGCAGATCACTTCCCATGCAGCTACATAGCTCAAGAACGTGCACATCGTATTACATATTTGAAAGTAATGTTAAGCAGCAATGCTAGTTTAACCAGTAAAATGGCAGGAGCTACAGGTGATACAAGAGCTGCCTATTGATAATTCAAGTCAATTGGTTGACCATGGTGTATGTTTTGCCTTAGGAAATCGAATGATGTTCTTCAGGCATCATTACACTACAATACTACTAGTATACTACATTACTTCAACTGTCACAAGAGCTTGTTCTTGTATAATAATACACAAAAGCTTGGCTCTAAGCACAATCATAAAGCCAAGCTAATCTAGAGTTTGACCTAAACGAGTTACTATAATATGTTCAGGTATTAAGTGCAGCTCAATCACCCCAAGTTCTTTGAAATATAACTAGCATCCTAGTGGGCTGATGGACCACACCGTCCATTTTAACAGACAATTTTGTCCTTTGGGTCCATCCCAATGGCTCGGACAAAACAGTTACTAATATTTCTCCTTTTTCTTAAGCTCAGTCACTGCCTCATCTGCAATTTTCAAGTAAGTGGTGCACCGATTTTTAGATAATGAAGTAGTAGTAGTATTACGATAATTGTCATGGTGCCACTTCCAAGTTCAAGAAAAAGTAGAGGGAAAAAAAAAGGCTATATCGCCTATCACTATATCGTTGAAAAAGATTCAGAAAGAGTCATTGTTGGTATTTAACAATTCGGGATGAAGCCGAGACATGGCGAACATCATGGTATGGAGCTGAATCGGTAGGATTCTGTGTACATGTATACGAGAAAACCTCATTCTTGCTCGTGCACTCATCACTGACAATCAGGCTTAGCCTCTTCTGAATTTTCTGGTGTGCAACTGCACATATATGCAATTATCAACAAGCCCATAAATGTCTCATATCTGAACTGCGCCGCTGTCTGTAAGACTGTAACCACAGCTTCTCTTAGACTGGACACTGGAGTATTAGTATTAGCCATCACTGAACTGTAATCTGAAATTCTGAATATCTGAATAGTAGGAAGTACTCCACTATATCAGTGGAACTATTGCACTTGCAGCAGCTTCACAAGGTCAGAGAAGAACGCAATGGGTCTGTGTAGAGTGTATTAGTTCGATGCTAGCTAAGCTTAGCTCAAATAGTTTTTTCTGAAGCTGCAAGAGTAGTGGGAGGAGAGTGTCTCGCCACTACGGGCGCCTATCTGAATTCTGAATGTAGCCTCAGTACTTTTGTTTATGCCACTATATATTTGTAACGTCCAGTCCCAACACCGAGCTAAATTAGAGGTCAAATTCTCTCTGCATTTCGAGGCTATAATTCGAGGCCAAGAATTCGGCCGCCTTCAAATCGCATGGGAAAGTGAGTCGAGTTTTAATGGCCTCGTGCCTTTTTGGCCGCTGCCCAGCAGCAGCTTCTGCTATCGCTGTAGCATTTCAACGCCTCACAGCCGCAGATACTACA